TCCATAGTTAATTATATATTATATATTAAAATTAAATAATTGGCTTTTACTGGTATAAAGGAAAATTTCTAAATTTTAATTAATTTTATCTTTGTTGTTATTAGGAAAGTTTCAAAATTTTTAAGTTAGTTGGTAATAAGAAAGTGTTTATAAAGTAGTTCTTATTTTCTATTAACAATAAAAAGTAAATTAACGGATAAATATTTTTAACAAACAAAAAATTAACATATAAATAAATTATTAAAGAAAATTATATATATTAAACAAAATTATTAAAAACCATAATTAAACTATTTCAAAATTTAAATCATGACAAACAATTAAAATATAAACTGCTAACCTAAAATATATTAGTTGTAGTCCGTGTTGATGTCTTAGGTCAATGAGAGCGTCCACATATGACGTAGAAATTCAAGCTGATTGGTCCACATCAGTATTTTTTATTAAACCTAAAAAATATTAAATATGACTGATAATTTAAATAAATTAAAATATGCAAATATATAAAATTATCATAGTAGAATAGAAAATTAAGATAAAAAGTTTAACTAACAAAACAAATAAAATAAATTATGTCAAAAATTCAAATTTATGTTTGTTAAAATAAAATGGAAACTTATTGTCACAAAAGCTAAACGAACAAAAATAAATATGTAAATCAATAACAAAAAAGTTTAATTAAAAATGATTTTTTTAACATATATATTTTAAATAAGTAATTAATTTAGAAAAAATGTTTAGATTAAATTATTTTTATAAACATTTATAATTGTTATATAAAACTATCAATACCACCCAAAAAATATTTATGTTAAATTAACAAACAAAAGTCATGTAAAACTTGATATTATTATTTAGAAATCAACACGAAAAGCTGAGCTAACCAAAAAGTTTAACTAACAAAAAACCAAACATAAATTATTTTTTGCAATATGTAAATATAATTAAAATAAAAATTCACATCGAACAAGTTAAATTAACAAAAAAAAAAAAATTAACTTCATACCTATGCTATTTTTTATTTAAATAAATCAATATACACAAAATAAGTAAGAAAATAAAAAAAAACTTAAGTAATACTAACAAAACTTTACTAACAAAAAGAAGATAAATATTTAAGCTAATTATTTAAAATATTAATATTAAGAAATTATTTCAGAAAGAGAAATAAAACAAAAATTAAGTTTTACAAATTGTAAAATTTTTTAAAAAATCACCTAAAAAGAAACTGACTTCATATCTGACTAACTACTTGAGAAATCAATATTAAAATATTTAACTAAAGAAAAAACAAAAAAATATATTCAAAAATATTAATATTTTCAAAAATATTATGTGTTCAAATAAAATATAAATCAATATTAAGAGAAGTAAATTATCAAAGTAAAAAGTTGTATAAAGAAAACCTAGCTTGATATTTAGGCTAATATTTTGAAAAATCAATATAGAAAATTAACTAAAAAAAAACAAATGATGGTATAAACTTTTGAGAGAAGTCCACATAAAATTTAGAATACCCAGTTATATCATTTCAAAATAGCATTATAATTAAAATAAAAATTAATGTAAAGAATAAATTTAACAAACAAAAAAAAATTATTGTAAAAGAGATTAAATTGATATATGCTAGCTATTTAGAAAATCAATAACAAAAAGATTAATGAAAAAATATATATATTTTAAATATAATAAACATGCACAAAATAAGATAAATTAAAATAAAATAAAAAATTACCATCAAAAGATATGGAAAATAACAAAAAACAAAAATCTAAGAAGAAAATTAGTTTAAAATTTAGTTCTAGAAAATTCATGAACTCTAAAATATTGGTATTGGCTATGAATAACTATATAAAGTCACAGTAGGTTATACAAGTTTCTAAATTAAATATAAGAGTATTATTTAAATTTACAATAACTTATACATTGTTTGCGTCTGGTTTAAAAACTAACAGAACAATACTACACAAGTAATTTTATATTCGAAATATAACAATTAATTTATACATATGTATTACTTATAACTTAGCCAACATGAACAGCACATGAGTAACATCTTCTAAATTTTTCTTTCAATAATAAAGTATGATAAAGTTATGAAATAAATTCAAATTGGAATATATCTAGATGAACTATCCAAATCAAAACATGGATAAACCATACAAAAGATAAAAACAGTAATAATGTGAAGACTTCACATCATCTTGCATGTTTTAAAACAAAAACTATCAAATAGTTTACTGCAAAAAAACATATCTTATAAACTGAAGAGATATATAACTTAAAATTCATAGAAGATCTGGTAGAAAAGCAAGAAGTAGCTTTACATGATTATTGTAGTATCCTAACAAAAGTAAATCCGAATCAACATGAATCATATATATCATATATACACAGGTACACAGGTACACAATATCAACGAGACATTTAATCAAAAACTAAATATCTGAACATATAAACCTCTAAAAAGAAGAACTATATAAATCGTAAGGACACAAAACAAAACACCAAAAAATTAATAAGGAAATTATTTTCTAAATCAAACGTATGCACGTCGAAGTTGGATAATTTGTTAGATATTATTACTATGATTTAACTAAATAAGATTTATAATTTTATAATAAAAAATAGTTAAAACTACATATTATGTTTTAGTTTTCTTTTATATAAAAGAAAATTTCTGTAAATATATTATCCTTTTGATAATTTAAAAGATATTAGCCAAAAAAGAACTAAACAAAATTATTAATACAAACTCGCACGTAGCGCGAATTAAAAGCCTAGTAATGCATAAAAGTTGAAGGCATACTGCATTGAAGGCGTCCACATGTGATTGAAAAAACTCAATTTGATTAGTCCACATCAACATATTAGTTAAATAACAAAATGTTAGTATGATTAATGAGGGAAAAACTTGATTTAATTGGTCCACATCAGCTTTTTTATCAAACCAAAAATTGTGAAGTATAATTAAAACATTAAAAGTTAATGTAACAAATTATGTCCAACAAAAAAAGAAAATTCAATCCGATTGATCCAAATCAACATATTTATTAAATCAGAAAATGTTAATATGGTTAAAAATTTAAAAGTTAAATAAAAAAATTAACAATACATGTATAAAAAAAAGTAACCATTATCAATTATCAATTTAAAAAATCCACAACAACTCGATTTAACAATTAAAACAATTCCATCATTATCAATTATCAATTTAAAAAAATCTAGAACAACTCGATTTAACGACTCGAGTTCCTTAAAATATAAAAATGACAATAATCTATAAAAGATTAAATCTTCTTATTTAAAGAAATAGGGCTTAAATATTTTTTAGTTTCAAGCCCATGGAAACACTTCAAATAACACCAACCAATTTTCTATTTTTTTTTAAATCCTCCATCAATTAAATTTTCTTTTCATTTCATTGTTGACTAGAAAATCTCAACCGAAGAAAACCCAATTTACACCAGGTTTATAAATATGGTGTAAACGATATGGTTTTAAAAAATAATGCGAAGACTTCACACCACCAATCCTACAAGTTTAAAAACTAATATTATTAAATACTAGATTGCAAAAAAAAAACAGATCTCATTGAAAACTGAATAAAGATATAAGGTAAAACTTGTTGAGGACTTGGGGGGAAAGGAAAAAACAGTTTTGTGTGATCATTGCAACTTCCTAACAAAACTAAATACAAATCAACACAAATAATAGATTATATATACATAGATAGTACATCAATTAAACATTCAATTAAAAAAAAACTAAATATTTGAACACATAAAACTTAAAGAATTTTTCTTTCTAAAAAGTCTATGGAAAACAAAACAAAATACCAAGATCTTAGCAAGAAAACTCTTCTCTAAATCAAACGTATATGTGTGTCAAATTTGGATAATTCGATAGGTGTCATTGTTATTATTTTACTTAATAAGATTAATAATTTTGTAAATAAAAATAGGAGAAAAGTACATATTATATTTAAATTCTCTTATATAAATGAAAATTTCTGAAAATCTATTATAGTTTTGATAATTTAAAAGATAGTAGACAAAATAAAAGAATCGAATTAAACTATTAATACAGACTCGCACGTAGCGCGAGTTATAAACCTAGTAATTATAATCACTAATATTTTTGTAGTCCTGAAACCAGAAATCTAACCATTTGTGTCTTGCTTTCGGTAAGATCACATATTTCTAGTGAACAAACCTTTTTTTAAGTGATTGTTATAATTTTGGAGGATCTTCTTCTACGATGTACTCATCTTTTAAACCATCATGGATATGATGAGGTAAAAATATCATATTTCTTGCCTTTTTTTCATCTGATATTGGTTTCAACTTATCGATGGTATCAAGAAGCCTGTATCCTCTTGGATGCATTTTTGCACCTACTGCCCATGTCATATGTATTTTTCTGACTATATTAAGGGCATCACTTTTGAGCTTTGCCAGATTTGAAATTGTAACATAATAACAAAAAATTAATTCATTGAACTTAATGAAAATTTAGTTATAAAAATTTGAGTATGGTAACGACATAATAAAAGATAATAATTTGAAGCAATATGAAGAGGCAAAGCCTACCATACAATTATGGATTCTATAATAAATAAATGAACAAAGACGAATGTTTTATCATCCCATTCAATAAATAAATAAATAAGAGTAGTGATTTTAATCTCCCATCCTATAAATATGATTTGGAGAGACATAATCTACCGTATGATCATTTTGCTCGTGAAGATAAAACCTACAATAATGATCAGTTCGAAAGAGGTATAGCCTATCGAAGGAAGCAGAACCTTTCGTCCTAACATAACTAATAAACAGAAAAAATAGAAACTATTTTTCCGTAAATAATATATGAACACCATTATCATTATTAGAGTAACTATTACATTTGACCATAAAAAAACGTAACTATTACTTCTTCGAATTCCTTAAACTCTCATCAATGGTTTTTTTATAACTTAGGTTTAATCTCTTTATACCAAAAGTAGTAGCTATCTCCTCAAGCGCTTATACTGCACAAATAAATCGAGTATATATAGAAAAATTATCAGTTTAAGATTTTAAATGATTCAGGAATCAGATAGAAAATTATAGATACAGATGATTCAGAAAAATACTAGAAACTCTCATGGAACGATACTACAAACACTAAAAACTTTCATGGAAAGATACTACTCCACAAACATTCATAGCAAATGTAAGGTTTTAAAAAACAATTTTGGTGATATGGCTAAAAGGCAACATGCACAACTTTTCCTATTACAGTGACGAGGAAGAAAACTCTGCTGTGGAGTTTAAGGTGGAGGATTCTGAATGCAGATCATAACCAGACATTGAGGTTGACTCTTGCGTCTCCATCAGCTTTGAGAAGTTCAAATCATGTCCATATACGGTAGGACCTGACATAATCTGTGTTATTTCCATCTCTCCCTCAAGCATCTGCACGGCCTCTGACATCAATGGCCTTAACAAAGGAGATGCATTTGTGCAAACGAGAGCAACTCTGATCATCCTCACTGCTTCTTTGCTGTTGAATTCACCTTTGAGCATCGGATCTACGATCTCCATTACGTCCCCTTTCTGTTCCAGTTTCAACGCCTGAGAAGGATTTAAACTTATTGTCAAGGATATCACAGATCCAACTATAGAACCGATGCAAAAGAAAGTCCACGCTTACCCAATTGATAAGCGACACGTTGGCATGACTTCCATTCTGAGTCATATTACTCTTCCCGCTAACAATCTCCATTGCCACAACCCCGAAGCTGTACACGTCTGCTTTCTCTGTCAAGTGACCTAATAACGCATATTCTGGAGCCATATATCCGCTATATTTTAAGAAAAATGAAGACAACTTCAGAGCTTGAAGCAAGACTATCATGTTTATATTCCATGGTGTGTTTAGAAAACACTACTTACATGGTTCCTGCAACTCTGGTGCTAATGTGGGTGTGATCTTCTTCGTGGAGCCTAGCCAAACCAAAGTCAGATATCTTTGCATTAAGGTCAGCATCTAGAAGCACATTAGGGGTTTTTATGTCACGGTGAACCATCCTCATCGTCGATCCTTCATGGAGGAATTCAAGCCCTCTTGCGATTCCTACACAGATTTTCTGTCTCGCTACCCAGTCTAGTTTCATGGAGCTCTTTTCTGGAACAGGATGTAAATCAACATGCGGTAACATAACAGGTACACTTGTATTAGACTCAAAACATAAAGAAAAGATGAGTGATTATGATTTACCAGACAGCACAAGTGCAAGGGAGTTATTTTCCATGTACTCATAGACGAGCAACAGCTGATTCCTCTCGACACAGCATCCATAAAGCTTGACGAGGTTTGGATGATTCAGACCAGAGATCATTCCTATCTCATTCACAAACTCTCTGTTTCCTTGACATGACTTGGCAGAAAGCTGCTTCACTGCTATGATTGTTCCATCCGATAACTCTCCCTGCATTATATGTTTCTAATATCAGAAACCAAAACAAAAACAGCCATATTTGAGAAGAAGTTGGCATATGTTTAAGCATACTTTGAATACAGATCCGAAACCTCCTTCTCCAAGTTTGTTGGCTTCATCAAAATTGTTTGTTGCAGCTTGCAGTTGCCTCCAAGTAAAGCAAACCGTTTGCAGACCTTCAGCTCTCAAATCTATATGATCATGTGAGAAAATCAATAATAATGCCGTGAACAAATATAAGAAATGGATTCATATCCTCTGTGAACTTTGATACCTCTCTCTCTCGTGTTTTTGTCACCTCTGCATCGTTTCTGAGCATATAATCCCAAAGCCAACAGAGTAAGTGCAACCAAGGCTCCTGTTACCCCGAAAATTAGTGGATACTTAGTGTGATGTTTTGTTTTCTCCGCTGCAAATGAGACTTCAAAAGTGTTAAATAATCTACAGAAAAGGTGTTTGTAACAAAGTATTTTTTTTGTTTTTTTTTGGGACCTCCACAATGTTGCTCCAGACCTGAAATTTCGAAACACAAATATTATTGCTAGGTCGCAAGAACGAGTAGCAAGCAATAATGAAAAAAAACAAAAAAGAGTAATGTTATGTTTGCTCAAGTTGAGACTTGGCAGAGAAGAAATGTACTTACTGTGACACAAGGAGATTGCAGAGATAAGAGGACCATAGTTTCCTCTTTCAGGAATGAGTGTTGTTCCTTTACCCGCCCAATACAACCGAATCTCTAGCATATGATCGGTCACATTCACATTCACTGTTTTGACAACGGGCTTCAAAGTCCCATTAGCCTCCTCTTTGATGTTCAAATCCCTCAAGAACAACTTTCCCTATTAGTTTAGAAAAAGTAAAAAAGCAAATGTAACTTAATCTTCCACGCAACATTACAAAGGAGCAATTATTCAGTAAACAGTGAATCTTTACCTGAACATAGACATCAAATATGCGCCTACCCAGACGACTGTATGGTTCTTCGTCAGAAAACTGGATCTCCATAAAATGGAGTTTCACATTGTATGCTCCATTTTCCAAGCAAAATGCATAATAAACAAGAGAGAGAGCAGATCGACGTGCAGTCTTATAGAGATCAGGATAATCTCCCAATGGTGTTAAACTAGTTGAAATGATGTATGTGTCCTCATCGATTCCATCATCCCCAAAGTCACCAGTGTTGCTTATTCCCCAGTTCTTCGTGTGCTGGTTTGTAGCGGCTTTGATTTCACTGTTATCAGCTTGGTAAGTGATTTTACCCGAGGAGTTTGTAATAGTTACATTTTTTCCACCACAATTGATATGTAGTGATCGCTGATCTACAATCAACGACGATTATCACCATTAAGAGAACAAAGTTAGAGGTGTTCGATTCTCCTAAAGTGGATAAAGAAGTAATTAACAAAAGTGAGTGCGTCAAATTCTCTAATGCATGTTAGAGACAAGTTAGAACGGCTCGATGTGTACTTACAGTTCCTGCATTTGGTTGGGACAGAACATGGAAATAGCTCGTTTCTGTATGACAAGATAATCATAATATTTAAGCATCTAATTAGCACGAGACTTACATAAGATTTCTACTACCTCATGATAATGCAGAGGAGTGAACTTACAAATTGTTATTCAAATATGAGCTCCGGTATGTATTAATGTTGCTGAATCAATAGAAAGTGAGCATAAACTTCAGTATGAAAATGTTATTAACAAATAAGAACAAATATTTATGTTTGTAACTGTACCTCCTTTCCTGGCAGTTAGGCGACCATGAGAAATTGTTATAAGAGAGATCACTGTGAGATTCACCAAACGTAGAAAACAATCTGAAAGGTTAGTTTCAATGACAGAAGATTTCTTAAGCCATACAGAAATAAGGAAAGGCCAAAATGTACATATTTGATTTTCTGTTGAGGAAAACACCAGATTTGATGTTTCCGGAAAGCATATTGCCAGTCAAATAGCTGCAAGAACAATGTCAAAACTATAAATTATCCATGTGTGATTCTATGATACTCATCTTAAATTATCTGTATCTTACGTACGTGTATTTTGGTGCTAATTTTATTCCAAGAACTTCACCAGTCAATTTGTTAAACGATAAATCACTGCAGCAAACAACATGTACAAAACAAATGAATTTCTTTTGGTATGAACATCTTTGAGTAAATACTGTTTATAGTTACATATATAAATCTATAAATCAATAAATCTTGCATATCATTCTCACAGAAGTTACCTTTTCTTCTCTATATTTATTAGTGTGCTTACCCATGAGTCCATGACAATTTATATGTACAGCTAGAACTGATATAGTCCAGTAAATTTAAGCATATAAACGTACAATTTCATGAGTCATATGCACATATTTGATCAAGTGGACCATGTTATACAATCTGGTATTGAAAATTAGAAAGGGTTTCTTCACATTTCACCCAAAAAAACTTACAGAGTTCTCAAGTTCGGCTTACTCCAAATGTATGAAGGAATTGGACCAGACATACTCACATTCCTCAGAATCCTGAAATAGGGACATAGACTTTAGTATGACATTCTCAAATAAAACCAAGCTTCTTCATTGGAAAACACATACAGGTTTTTGATGGCTTTGCTAGATATATTAGGAAAAGAGTCTATCCCAATCGTATCACTAATACTCCTGCATATACATGCAAAAGGCTTAAAACATCAGCTTCATATCAGTGGTCCTTTTGCTAATCTACTGGAACTAGTTCGTTACAGTTCAATAAGATTTTCTAGGCCGGCCACTGCATCAGGAATAGGTCCTTTCAGTCCACTTGCGGATAGGTGTCTGTTGATCATAATCGACACAACTTAGAAGGGATTTAAACACAAACTATATGAGAAATAAAAATTAGTGATGATGGACAATCTTACAGCCTTTGAAGCCGAGACCAGTTGCCAATATATTCTGGGATGGTGCCAGTGAAGTTATTGTCACTTATCTTACTGCATAATGTAAACAAACAACTAGTTTAAAACTTTGTCAAAAATTTAATAATAGGTATGCTATCCAGGATGATCTCTTCACAACTTTAATAAGCGTTTCGTAAGCGTCTAATCAATTCACAACCTTGCAATTGAAGGGAAAGTTGTCAACTTTAAAAGCTCTAATCAACAGGTTTCAGTTCAATCTAGATGCCAATAAAAAAACAACTTACAATTTCTCAAGGTTCACCAGCCTAGCGAGAGTGGTAGGAAGGCTTCCTGTAAATTGATTGGATGCAAGAAACCTGAAAAATCCAGTATTTCAAAAATTATTAAAAACTGCACATTTTTCTATAGAACCAACGATTTTTTGTGATTTTGAAAAATGGTTTTAGAGGCAAAGGGTCGTACAGTATGGTCAGGCTAGTCAGGTTACCAAGCTCATCTGGAATGGTGCCAGAGAACTGGTTCGCTTCAACGGATCTGACAATTTCATTACATCACCATAATATTAGGACAAATCAAAATGCATATCCGGAGTAAGAGACCATTTTGAGACGTACATGAATGTCAGACTCTTGAAGTTTTGCAAACCAGGTGGTAAAGGCCCAGACAAATTATTAGCGCAGAGTGAGCTGCGTGAAGATTCAAAGTTAACTCGGCAAATCATCAGGACGAAATTGTCGGAGCTGGAAAAGAAACAAGGACAGAGAGGCAGAGAGCTAACATGAAAGTGAGGTTTGGCAATAAAGCCCACTCCATTGGGATTGAGCCTGACAGGTAGTTTCGGCACAAGACTCTGCAAAGAAGTGCAGAAACTCACTATTAAATTTTCCCATGGCTCTTTCTGGAGATGCTCTGGCTTATTCAGCTTCTGAATCCACAGTCTCAAACTTACACACGAGATTCCCAGAGGGAAGAAGTTTGAATTTCAATTTATTATCTTTTGAAATAATGATTTATTCCAATGATAGAGGAAAACCGTATGTTCACGATAATCTAATAGATAATAGAACGAATGTTTCTAAAACAAGAGAGAAATTCTCAGCTAGGGTTGAGCTTTACGTGACAATAAAGACAAGAGAGAAAAATAGTTTTTTTTTTAAATTTCTGATTGAATTGATGAATGTGTCTTACAATTATGGGAAAACCAAAACCCTAGTAATAACTTATAACTTATAACTTCATCATATCTATTACTAATAAAAATTGATGCTAAATACCTCTAAGGGTGTCCACATAGGATTTAAAAATTCAATTCAATTGGTACACATCATCATTATCTTTAGTTAATTATATATTATATATTAAAATTAATTAATTCGTTTTAATTGTTATTCGGAAAATTTTTAAATTTTAATTAATTTCGTTTTTGTCGTTATTAGGAAAGTTTCTAAATTTTAAGTTAGTTATTAATAGAATAGATTTTCAAAAATAGATCTTATTTTCTATTAACAATAAAAAGTAAATTAACAGATAAATATATTATGATAGAAATATCATATATATTGAATAAAATAATTAAAAACTATATTTAAAACCATAACTAAATTATTTTAAAATTTTAATCACGACATTCAATTAAAATCTAAACTTCTAACTTAAAATATATTAGTTATGGTTTGTGTTAATGTCTTAAGCCAATGAGTGCGTCCACATATGACATATATACTTAATCTAACTAGTCTATATCAGTGTTTTTCATTAAACATAGAAAATATTAAATATTATTAATAATTAATAATTTTAATAAATTAAAACATGCAAAATAGAAAATTATCATAGTAGAGTGGAAAATTAAAATAAAAAATTTCAACTAACAAAACAGATAAAATAAAATTATAAAAATCCAAATCTATAACCTTTGTCAAAATAAAATGGAAACTCATTATCACAAAAACTAAACTAACCAAAACAAATATGTAAATCAATAACGAAAAAGTTAAATTAACAAAAAGAAAACATTTAGCATATATATTTTAAATAAGTAATTTATTTAGAAAATATATAAGATTAAATTTTAATACAAACATATAAAATTATTATTTAAAAATACAGTACTACCAAAAAAAATTCATGTTAAATTAACAAAAGAAAAAATCATCTGAAAATCGATATTTAGCATAATTATTTAGAAAATTAAGACAAAAAGCTTAACTAACCAAAATGATATTTTATGCTAAGTAATGAAGAAAGAAATATAAAAAAATGTTTAACTAATACAAAACAAAACATAAATTATTTCTTGCAATATGTCAATACAATTAAAATGAAAGATCGTATTGAGAAAGTTAAATTAACAAACAAAAAGGGTATTCACTTGATATTTATGTCATTTATTTAAAAAAATCAATATAAACAGAATAAGTAAGAAAATAAAAAAATTTAGGTAATACTAAAAAACTTAACTAATAAAAATAATATAAATATTTAAGCCAATTATTTAAGAAATTAATTAACTAAAAAACTAAAACGAAAAGAAAATTTTTTTACAAAATGTAAATTTTTTTTAAATCACCCAAAAATATATTGACTTGATATCTGCCTAACTACTTAAAAAATCTATATAAAAATATTTAACTAACAAAAAGTAAAAAATAAAATTATGTCTTCAAATCATCAATATTTTCAAAACAATTGTGTGTTAAAATAAAATAGAAATCAATATCAAAAAGGTAAATTATCAAAGGAAAAGTCGTATAAAATAAAATTAGATTGATATTTAGGCTAACTAACAAAAAATAAATTAACTAAAAAAAGTAAATGATGGTATAAGCTTTTAAGAGAAGTTCACATGAAATTTTGAATAACCAGTTATAGCATGTCAAAATAGCATTTTAATTAATTTAAAAAGTAAATTTAACAAATAAATTTTTTTAATCTAAAAGATATTAAATTGATATATATGGTACCTATTTAAAAAATCAATAATAAAAGAGATTAACTAATATATATATATATATATATATATATGTTTTAAGTATATCAAACATGCAAAAAATTAGATAATTAAAATAAAATATAAAATTACCATCGAAGATATTTAAAATAACAAAAAACAAGATATAAGAAGAAAATTAGTTTGAAATGTAGTTCGAGAAAATTCATGATTTCTAAAATATTGGTGTTTAGTATGAATAGCCATATAAAGTTATAGTATGTTATACAAGTTTCTAAATTAAACATATTATTTAAATTTACAAAGACTAATACCTTGGATGCGTCTGGTTTAAAAACTAACAAAGAAAAATACTACACAAGTAACTTTACATTCAAAATTTAACAAGTAATAATGTCTGATTTTTATACATAGTTATTGCTTATAACTTAGCCAACATGAACAACATCTTCTAAAATTTTATTTAATTAATAAAATATGACAAAGTTATGAATCAAGTTCAAATTAGAATATATATATAGGTAAACTATTCAAATCAAAACATGAATATAACACACAAAAGATTTTAAAAAAACAGTGATAATGTAAAGTCTCTACACCATCTTACATGTTTAAAAACAAAAATTAGCAAATAGTTGAATGCAAATAAAATAGATCTTATAAACCGAATAGATATATTACCTAAACTTCGTTGAAAATCTGGTAGAGAAGCAAAAAATAGTTTTACACGGTTTGTGTAGCATACTAACAAAAGTAAATCCGAATCAACATATATCATATATTATATATGTATAGGTACATAATATCAACGAGATATTTAGTAAAAAACTAAATATTTAAACATAGAAACTTTACAAAAAAAAGAACTATAAAAATCCTAAGGACATAAAACAAAATACCAAAAATTTAGTAAGAAAATCATTTTCTAAGTTAAACGTATGCACGTCGAAGCTGGATAATTAGTTATGTGTCATTAATATGATTTTACTCAATAAGATTTATAACTTTATAAACAAAAAAAAGAAAAAAAATCATATTATGTTTTAATTTGTTGATATAAAAAAAAATTTCTATAAATATATTATAGTTTTGATAATTTAAAAGATATTAACCAAAAAAATAAAAATAAATTATTAATACAGACTCGCGCGTAGCGGGAATTAAAAGCCTAGTAATATATAAAAGTTGATGGCATAGTGCATTGAGAGCGTCCACATGGGATTAAAAACTCGATCTGATTGGTACACATAAATATATTCATTAAACAGAAAATGTGAACTATGATTAGGACGAAAAAACTTGATTTAATTGGTCCACATCAGCTTTTAAATCAAACCAAAAATTATAAATATAATTAAAACATTAAAAGTTAATTTAACAAATTATGTCCAACAAAAAAGGTAAATTCAATCTAATTGATCTAAATCAACATATTTATTAAATCAAAAAATATTAATATGGTTTAAAAATTTAAAATTTAAATAAAAAATTAATAATTAACAATACATGTATAAAAAAAGTAACTATTATCAATTATCAATTTAAAAAAATCTACAACAACTTGATTTAACAATTAAAACAATAAAAACAGAATAAAAATATAACATAAAACTCTTGGAAGACATGATGGAGAAGGAAAAAATAGTTTTGCATGATCATTATAACTTCCTAACAAAATTAAATAGGAATCAACATGAATCATGGATTATATATACAGTGGTACACAACATCAATAAGACTTTCAATAAAAAACTTAATATTTGAACACATAAACCTTTAAGAAAAAAAGAACTATAGAAATTCTATGGAAAACAGAAAATAATACCAAAATCTTAGCAATATTATATTTTTCTAAATCAAATGTATATGTACGTCAAAGTTGGATAATTCGATAGGTGTCATTGTTATTATTTTACCTAATAGTTTTTAACAATTTATAAATAAATATAGGATAAATTACATATTATATATTAAATTATCTTATATAAATGAAAATTTGTATAAATATATATAATTTTTAATAATTTTAAAGATAGTAGCTAAAAAAAATAAACCAAAATATTAATACAGACTCGCGCGTAGCACGAATTATCTACCTAGTATAATATATAAAAGTTGATGGCATAGTGCATTGAGGGTGTCCACATGGGATTAAAAAACTCGATATGATTGGTCCACATCAGCATATTCATTAAATAAAAAATGTTAAGTATGATTAGAACTGAAAAACTTGATTTAATTGGTCCACATCAGCTTTTAAATCAAACCAAAATTATTAAATATAATTAAAACATTAAAAATTAAATTATGTCCAACAAAAAAAAGTAAATTCAATCTGATTGATCCAAATCAACATATTTATTAAATCAGAAAATGTTAATATGGTTTAAAAATTTAAAAGTTAAATAAAAAAATTAACAATTAACAATACATGTATAAAAAAAAATAACCACTATCAATTATCAATTTAAAATAAATCTACAACAACTTGATTTAACAATTAAAATAATGAAAACTGAATAAATATATAACATAAAACTCTATGAAGACATGATGGAGAAGGAAAAAATAGTTGTGCATGATCATTACAGCTTCCTAACAAAATTAAATGTGAATCAACATGAATCATGTATTATATATACAGTAATACACAACATCAATAAAACTTTTAATAAAAAAACTAAATATTTAAACACATAAACCTTCAAGAAAAAAAAGAACTATATAAAATTCTAAACAGAAAATAATACCAAAATCTTAGCAAGATTATATTTCTCTAAATCAAATGTATATATACGTCAAAATTAGATTATTTGATAGTTGTCATTGTTATTATTTTACCTAATAATTTTTTAAATTTATAGATAAAAATAGGATAAATTACACATTATATAATAAATTCTCTTATATAAATAAAAATTTCTATAAATATTTATAATTTTTAATAATTTTAAAGATAATAGCTAAAAAAAATAAACCAAAATATTAATACAGACTCGCGCGTAGAGCGAGTTATATACCTAGTAGATTAGAAACCTTATAATAAACTTAACCAATTAACGAGAATGGTTCCCAAAGTTAAATCAAACTTACGGCTCTAGCTCTAAAATGGCAGAATTGCTTGTGTTTAAATGCTATTCCGCAACCATGTTAACAATCGAAAATAGTTTGCAAAACATATAAGGAAATTTATTCCAATCATGGTTTGCAAAACCAACGACTAATCATCGTTTCTTTATATAAATTCCAAACTTACATCTTCTGGATATGCTGAAGCTTGGCCAGCTCAGGCGGAAGTTTCCCTGAAAGGCTTGTGGACTTGAGAATTCTGGGATTGTTCAACAAAAAAGATTAATTAGAAAAGAAGAGACTAAAGATTTATTACGAGAAGACAAAAGATTAACACTCACAATTCTGTAATATGACATGTCGTGTTGTTGTTGAAGGTACAATCACAAGCAATGGTGTTGTTCACATCCGGATTCCAGACACCACCAATTCTTAGAGTTTTCAAAAGGCAAGGATCTCCAGCACTTAGGTCCAATCTCTTTATTCCAAGTGTAGTAGCTATCTTTCCAAGCGCCTTCACTACACAAATCATCGAGTATATATACATGGAAAGATTATGGATATTAAAAGAATTAAGATTTGGATTTAATACATTCGTCTGGATGGAGAGCTGGTGAAGTGGATGCTGTTAGAGTTGAGAAGAAGCTTGTGATGATGGTAAAGAACAGTAAGAGAGCCGAGAAGACGATCCACATCATCGATCAAGTGATCTTTTTGTATGTGTACTTTTTTGGTTATATATTCACAAATATTACCATCAAGAAGAGATGAATAAGTGTCATTCTGAAAGCTTAATGGATATACTTTAAGGGTCTTCTTGGGGTCGTCGGCTAGTAGAGAGTCAATCTTGAATTATTGAGCAAGTTGCAATGGTCGACAGTTACAGGTCATGAATGCTTGATGTTTCATGTCCCTTTTATGTGTTTTTTCATCAATTTACACCAAGTCCGATCTAACTTCAGCAGGTTTTAGACGGAGATAGATAGAGATGTCTCCATATATGATTTCATATTTATACATTCTTGGTCTGTTTAAATGTTGATCAACTTCTCTCTTTCGTGTCCATTTGATGCTGTCCAATTCAAACCTAGAGAGGGAGAGACAAGGATGTAAATGATTTTGGAAAAAAATTAAGAAAGAGAGTTTGATTTTGGATCTAACATTCATAGAGATACAACTACAGTACGATGATATGTTACTATGTGATAATATTTTTTTGATTTATGTAAATTGAGCTAGCAGTAAGATTTCAGACTACTTTAGTGATATGACTATGTAGCTAAGTATAAGATAACTTTCATAAACCTTTTTACTCTCTCATAAAAGATAAGGCAATGTGTGCAAAGGAGAGCAAGTTTGATCATCCTTACTGCTTCTTTGCTGTTAAAATCACCTTCGAGCATTGGATCTACGATCTCCATTATGTCCCCTGTCTGTTGCAGCTATTTCACTAACTCCGCAAAACGAAAACAGGTCAAAATTTTCTGTGTAAAAGAGTTCATCTACCACAATTACTGTTGTTTGGTTTGTATAGAGACTAGAGAGTGTAGACTCAGTATTCAGGAACTGCTCTTTAACCAGCTAACTGCAGTTATAACATGCTCTGATCAGTCCTAGCGTGGCTATAATAGACCTATCACCTATAGCTTAGGATCAAAGCAGCTGAGTTTCTTCAAGTAGACCAAATGTGTCTTTGGCTTATGAGTAGTAATGCATTTTCCCCAAATGGCCAAATCTGAAACCTAAGGTCACACGAGAAAAGGAAGCATTAACGAATTGTGATGCAACTCTTTAGCCTTGAGACTTAAAACCAATAAATCAGATGCCTTAAGGTTTCGGTAATTCGTTTTTATTCGCTCACAATTGGGATAAGCAATTAAACATGGTCTAATTAGAAACTGATGTCATCCCCCACTAATCAACATTTTACCCAGAAATTGGCTACGCACCAATTAGGATGAGCAATGAACAGACAACCCCAGAATCAACACCTTACCAAAATTCGAACTTTTATTCATCCGTGAAACCCAGAAAAGTAGAAGTCGGAGATACGAAAACAATGAGAGAAATCGGTGGTTAGAGTGAATTTCACGACGCTGTTCCAAAACGCAGCTTTTAGAGAGATTACCGGTCGCTCTGGCCTTGACCGACCCGGTTTACCGAACCAAAAATCAATTTCTTAATTTTGTTTGCAGCAACCCAACGCATCAGACTTTGTGAGGGAGGAGGAAGAAACGATTTATCGAAGTTTAAAACCCTACCTCACATTCAGAAATGGTATAATCGATGCGGACACTAAAGTGTTTGAAGTCACAAATGCTAGAGTAGGAGAGTAGATGTGCTTCTTGTCAATCGGAGATCATTCAAACTCCAAAATAGGGTCATGGATGTGGAGGAAGACACTAAATTGTCAGAACCTATTTTGGTGTTTGAATTTGATCACCGATTAACCAGAAGCTTTGTAAGAAACAAATGTTGTTCATGAGTGTGCACCATTTCTCTGGTTTCTCGCGCAATGTAAATAATGCATGTGTATTCTCTGGTTGCGGATCTGTTGTTGGTGCACTCAAGGTGTTCGACGAAATGCATGGAGACGAGTGAGTGTTATTAAGATGTGTGGGAAACACTGATGAATCTTGCTTGGCGATTGAATGTGCGTAGTTGGTTCAGAAGTTGAATGCCACAAGACATTTGTTTCTAATTTATACTTACAGGGTGCTCTACTGTGGAGTCTAGGATCACAGATTCAGGGTATAATGGGTAGAGATCACTACCAGAAACAGAGGATTTCATTGTTGTTGCTGTTGTTTGATCGGTCACACCAGACATGCTCGAGCTACCATTTGTATCACTGTCCCTCAGGTTTGAGATGTTCCAGTCGTCTCCGTATATACCAGGATCTGGCATAACCTGTGTTATCTCGATCACTCCCTCGAGCATTTGCACGGCCTCTGACATTGTTGGCCTCAACGAAGGCGATGAGTTTGTGCAAACAAGAGCAACGTTGATCATCCTCACGGCTTCTTTGCTATTGAAAACACCTTCCAGCATTGGATCTACAATCTCTAATGTGTCCCCTTTCTGCTGCAGCGTCAGTGCCTGAGATTTGATGTTAAAAAAGAAAACAGGTTTCACTAAAGAGAAACTTGTAGACATCAAATGGGCTATAAAGAGAAAGGAAAGTTACCCAATTGATAAGCGAGACGTGATCATCAGTTCCATTGTGTTTAGTATTACTCTTCCCACTAACAATTTCCATTGCCACAACCCCGAAGCTGTACACATCTGCTTTCTCTGTTAATTGACCCCATAGTATATATTCCGGAGCCATATATCCGCTGCATTACAAGACAATACCAAGACTGAGATCATTTTGGTCGGCCATGGTGCAGTATTTTTTTTGTTTTATGTTCTATACTTACATGGTTCCTGCAACTTTAGTGCTAATGTGAGTGTGTTCTTCATGATGTAGCCTAGCCAACCCAAAGTCGGATATCTTTGCATTTAGATCAGCGTCTAGGAGCACGTTACTGGTTTTTATGTCACGGTGAACCATCCTGATCATCGATCCTTCATGGAGGAATTCAAGCCCTCTCGCGATTCCTACACAGATTTTTTGTCTGGCTCCCCAATCCAGTTTCAGGGAGCTCTTTCCTGAAAATTGATGTAAGCCAAAGAGAAATGATATCACTTTGCATGTGATAACATATATGTACACTTGAATTAGGCTCAAGACGTGAAGAAAAGCAGAACGAGTATGATTTACCAGACATCACAAGAGCAAGAGAGTTGTTTTCCATGTACTCATAGACGAGCAGCAACTGATTCTTCTCGACACAGCATCCATAAAGCTTGACGAGGTTTGGATGGTTCAGACCAGAGATCATTCCTATCTCATTCACAAACTCTCTGTTTCCTTGGCATGACTTGGATGCAAGCTGCTTCACTGCTATGATCGTTCCATCCGACAGCTCTCCCTGCGTTATACGTTTCTCATATTAGAAACCATATTTTCTCAGGTATATATCTACGATTGAGAAGAACATGGCATATTGTTTAGTATACTTTGAATACGGATCCGAAACCTCCTTCTCCAAGTTTGTTAGCTTGATTAAAATTGTTTGTTGCAGTTTGCAGTTGCTTCCAAGTAAAGCAAACTGTTTGCAGACCCTGAGCTCTAAGATCTATTGTGATCATGTCCCAAAGAGAAATTAATCAGTATTGCTAACAACGAAACATAAATTGACTGTGAACTCTGATACCTCGTTCTCTTGTGTTATTGTCTCCTCTGCATCTTCTCCAAACATATATTCCCAAAGCCAACAGTATAATTGTTACCAAGGCAACCATTGCCCCCAAAATTAGTGGATAATTCATGTGACGTTTTATTTTCTCCGCTGCAAATGATTTAATACAAGTGTAAATATATATACACATACATGATAACTATTGTATCGTATAAAGACCAAGCTACATAAAAGTATCTTCAACAAGGTAAAATTTGTTTTTGTTTTTGGACCTCCACATTGTGGCTCGAGACCTGTAATTTTGTAAAAATGAATAATATCGTCAGGTGACAGGAAGCAGTGTCAAGAATATGAAGGTTATTTATGGATAACTGAAGAATGAAACAACTCGATGTGAAGAAAGCCACAGAAGCAATACAAGGAGTAAAGTTGCTGCAGATAGTCAAATACTTTGGAGTATCAATGAGCAGAGGATAAGTGTTACTTACTGTGACACAAGGAGATTGCAGAGATGAGAGGACCATAGTTTCCTCTGTTTGGAATGAGTGTTGTCCCTTTACCCGCCCAATATAACCGAATCTCTAAGATATGATCGCTCACATTCGCATTCAATGTTTTGATAACAGGCTTCAGAGTCCCATTAGCCTCTTCTTTGATGTTAAAATCCTTCAAGAACAATTTTCCCTGATTAAAAGCATATGTGGACTTCAATCTTCCATGCATGCATGATTAAAGAAAACAATGACTCTGTAATCAGTAACGACGCTTTACCTGAACATAAACGTCAAATATGCGTCTGCCGAGACGACTGTATAGTTCTTGGTCTGAAAACTGGATCTCCATAAAATGGAATCTCACATTGTAGGTTCCATTTTCCAAGCAAAACGCATAATAAGTTAGAGACAGAGCAGATCGACGTGCGGTCTTATACAGACCAGAAGAATCTCGAGATAGTCTTAAACCAGTTGTAATGATGTAGCTGTCATCATCACTTATATCTTCGGTAAAGTCACCAGTGTTACTTATTCCCCAGTTTTCCATGTGCTGATTCGTTGCGGCCATGGTTTTACTGTCATCAGCTTGATAAGTGACTTTACCGGAGGAGTTTGTAATATGTACATTTCCTCCACCACAATTTATATGTAGGAATCGCTGATCTACAATCAACAATGAGTATCACCCTCAATAGAAAGAGTGTAGAGATTTACAGTTTTGGGATTTAACCCAAACAAAAAAAAAACACTATGTCAATATTGAATGCATGTTAGAGATAAAGCTCGATATGTACTTACAGTTTCTACATTTAGTTGGACCATTGCATGGAAAAAGCCCAGTTCTGTATAATAAGACGACCATAACATTTAGGTCTCTCATATAGCACAAAAGCGAGATATACAAAAGTATAATCGGATATTGTTCTTACAAATTATTCTTTAAATATGAGCTCCGGTATGTGTTAATGTTACTGATTCAACAAAAAAAACTTCAACATGAGCAAGTTATTAAAAAAAAGAAGATTCAAAGATGTTCCATTTCATGTTCATACCTCTTTTCATGACAACTCGATGTCCAAGAAAAATTGTTATAGGATAGATCACTGTGAAAACTCACCGCATATAGAAAAACTCACAAGTATATAAGCTCTGATGATTGCACATTTCTCAAACCATACAACATATTATTTCTTTAGCCAAAAGAAACGTACATATTAGGGTTTCCGTTGACGAAAAATGCAGATTCAACGTTTCCAGAAAGCATGTTGCCACTCAGATAGCTGAAAGAAAACCAGATTATTCTCAATCTCGAGTAAAAATACTCAGTTTCGGATTGTAACAGCTTACGTGTATGTTGGTACATTTTGTACTCCTTCAACTTCACCAGTCAACTTGTTAAACGATAAATCTCTGCGTAAATATTAATTTTTGCAATATACTCAGCAGGTAGATTTGAAATAACAGAGTTCCGACTTTTAAACAATTATCATTAAAAAGAACTTACAGTCTCTTTAGGTTTGGCAAATTCCAAATGTAAGAAGGGATTGGACCAGACAAACTCAAGTTTCTCAAAATCCTGCAACAGGAACAGAAACATTATTAGATTGAAAATTTCCGATAAAGAAACAATATTTAAGCTGATGATCAGTGGAAAATAAATAAATACAGGGTTTCGATGGCTTTGCTGGATAGAATTGGAAATGAGTTTATCCCAGTCGTATCACTAATTCTCCTGCGCATATGAATACAAATACGGTATATAGCTTTAAAACATGATTCTTGTTTCAACTTTCCTTTTGCTAATCTATTAGTTAGGTATAGTCAATTACAGATCAGTAAGGTATTCTAGGCGGGTCACTGCATCAGGAATAGGTCCTTTCAGTCCACTCGCGTGTAGATATCTGATGACCATATAATTGATAAATGTTAGACGATAAAGAAAATTCAAAATTAGCAATGAAGGAGAAATTATAAATAAGCCTACGTACATCCTTTTCATTCGAGACCAGTTGCCAATAAATGCTGGTATGATTCCACTAAAGTTATTGTCAGAAATCCAACTGCAATATAAAAACAAACAACTAGTATATTGAGCGGTTCATAAGGGTTTCGAGATCAATCTCACAATTAAACGACACATACTACGTAGTAACAAACCATGTATTAGCAAAATGCTCAGAAAGCTTGGAATACACGTTTCAGTTTATCTAGGTGCTCATGTTTTTTTTCTTTTTTTTCTAGGTGCTCATTTTAAACAGCGTCTTCAAGAAAAAAGGCAAAAATCTTTTGAGAAGTAACAAGAACTTACAATTGCTCAAGGTTTACTAGTTTAGCAAGAGTGATAGGCAAGCTTCCAGTAAATTGATTGGATGCAAGATGCCTGCAAAACCCAAGTTTCAGAAAAGATCAAACTCTCTACATTTTTCTATATCAAAACTAATGGGACTTAAGATACATGCAAAGCCAAAGACTGTCTTACAATTTTGTTAGGTTGGTCAAGTTACCAAGCTCATCAGGAATCTTACCAGAGAACTGGTTGCCTTCAATCCCTCTGAAAGGTATCATGACATGATCTTTATATTAGGTCAGATCAAAAGGCACAGAAGTAGGAAACAGTTGAGAGACGTACAGGAGTTTCAGATTCTTGATGTTTTGCAACCAAGTTGGTAAATCCCCAGACAAACGATTTGCGGAGAGAAAGCTGCGAGAAAATTCAATGTTACTCGTTAATCATGAAGATGAAGCATCAGAGAGAGGGAAGGAGAGAGGGAGCTAACATGGAAGTGAGATATGGCATTGAAGCCCACTCCACTGGAATCGTGCCCGAAAGGTAGTTTGAGGATAAGTCGCTGTAAATAAAGAGAAAACAACTCAGTAAGAATTTTTTCTTATGGTTCTCTTTGGAGATTTTCTCGCTACAGGTTTTGTTGATCAATCAACTTTTAAATTTTACTAGCTGAAGACTTCCACGCAATTTCCTTGCTCCAAAATGACTCTAAATAATAAAATAACTAGGTGGTTGGCCCGCATATGTGTAGGTATAATGTTTTTGATATACATAGTTAAAATATTAGTATATTTATGTATATATATATATATATTGTTTTAGTATTTCACAACTTATTACTGAAATTAATGTACTTTTAAAATTTTTTACTTTTATGATATTTGTATTAATATATAATCAAAAATATAAAATTTATATTAAATAATAATTAAATTTTTATAATATTATTTATAATATATTTTATTTCTTCTTACACAATCTACAATACTTTTTTACGTCTTACATAATATGAATTTGAAATACGTATATAATATATTTGTAAATATATATTTTTCTTCTATTGCAAATTAAACTGAAATAGTTTTTACCATTTTTACTTATCCTAAGAGTGGATAGATGGTTGATATGCATGTGTGGGCGTACCAACCACCGCACTACACTTAGAATAGATAAAGATTTTTTAAAAAAAAATTGTACTATAAAAATTAAAGTATAAATTAGACTGTAATAAAGCTTAACAAATATTAACATGTACGAAAAAGTTCATGTGACTTCTACTCATGCACAATTAATATTTATGTATGTACGGCTATTTGTAAAAAAGTCGAAATATGGCTCTTACATGTTAAAAAGTTTTTAAGCGATTTTGTAAAACAAAGTGTGAGAGATTTATTTTTATATACTTCTATTTTTAATTCTTATTCATATTTATTTCATCTTATTTTAATTTATTATTTCATCGGTTATTTTCATTTATGATCTCAAATTTTTGATATACAATAAAAATTTGTTTATGAATATATATATATATATATGAATTTGATAAAAAAAATTATTTATTTAAAATATGATAAGAGATAAGATGAGATGGTAATATAAGTTATGTATATTTTAGAAAAAAACAATAAAAATGTGATAAAAGTTTTGTAAAAATATATGGTCCTATTAATATTATTTTTAACATTTTATTCTTTAAATTATTTTTATCATGATTGTATTTTATTTAAAATTGTATTATTAATAATTTGTTTATTTAAACTGTTTAGATGTTTTTACTATATTTTGTAAATTAATAATTTTCCAAAAAATATATATCATACTTTAAACATTATTAATATATAGAATTTTTACTATTCTATTGGATAATTTAGTATGATTTTTTCGATTTTATATGAAATATATATATATATATATTTTTTTTTTGTTGAAAACATTTTGTAATTATATTTTATGAAATTATGAATATATGTAAAACATTAAAATCATAATAATAATTATTTTCTGTTAATTTAAATTTGTTAATTAAGTGTTATAAGTATAATCTAGTGTTTTATGTTTTAATTCTATAAGTTCTTTATTTTAATTCAACCAATCAAAATATTTTTTTTATTTTAGAAAGTTTGACATGTCGTCAATTAAAAGCACTAAATTTGCCTATATTGTTGACAAGTCAGCTATTTTCAATAATGTTACTTCTCAAATAATATGTAGTGGGTATAAAACAGATCCTCATTAAGGGAAAACTGTGAAAATAACCATTTTTTACTATTTTTATAAATACCAGCGCTACCTTTCTGATTACTGTTATTTGTAGACTAATGGCGGACTAACGGTAGACTGAATGCAGACTACTGACAGACTGATTTATCAAATAATTGAATGTAGACTATTAGCAGACTAATGCTAGACTAATTACAAATTACTGACAGATTAACATCATATTGAAAGCAAACTAGTGAATTCTTTTATAGATTATTTTAAGAAAAGTCATATTTTATAATAAAATTGTGAAGTAGGTTATTTCAAAAGTTATCCTTTTTTCTTTTATTGTTTTGGCTCTAAAGTTTTGAGTTGTACTTGTGAAAAAAGAAACGTCTTGGCAAAATCAATAGAAACATCAACAAACTTTCTCTTAATACATTTCATCTATATGAAGATTAATTATTTGAAAATGTATTGTGATATAACTAAAAGCAATTCAGCCAATCATGCCAAAAAGAATATATTTTTTTGTAAATTACAATTGCAAAATATACAAAATATAGAAGCTTAATTTTCAACCATTTCTTGCAAGTAGATTTTTGGTATGAATGGTAAGAGCATTTCTTGCAAATTTATCAAACCTTTGGACTAATCATTCATTTGTTTTTGTAGGACTTACATTGACCGGAGATATCGAAGCTTGGCCAACTCAGGTGGCAATTTCCCCATAAGAGAAAAATTCCCGAGAATTCTGTATTTGTCGAAATTAATGCAAAATAAAGAAAAATTAGTAAACGAGAGAGAGAGAGAGAGAGAGAGAGAGAGAGAGAGAGAGAGAGAGAGAGAGAGAGAGAGAGAGAGAGAGAGAAAACAGAAAAAGAAGATTAACACTAACAATTCTGTAATATGACATGTCGTGCTGTTGTTGAAGGTACAATCACAAGAAATGGTGTTGTTCACCTCCGGATTCCAAACAAAACCAACTTGTTGTGTAATCATTAAAGTTTCGAAACGGCATGGGTCTTCATAACTTAGGTTCAGTTTCTTTATTCCAAGTGTAGTAGCTATCTCCTCAAGCGCAGTCACTACACAAATTACCGAGTATATAGAAAAAGATTATGGATATTGACCTCTGATATATAAAAGAATTAAGATTTGGATTTAATACATTCATCTGGATGGAGAGCTGGTGAAGTGGATGTTGTTTGAGTCGAGAAGCTTGTGATAATGGTGAAGAACAGAAGGAGACAAGAGAAGAGGATCCACATTATCGATATAGATTACTTGTTCTTGTTTGGTTAGTCTCATGAATAAATTAAATAACTGTCATAATGAAAAGAAAAAAATAAGATATTATCTTGACTTTTGGGGTCTTCTTGCCTTCTTGGGTCGTTGTCTCGTCAGCTAGTAGAGAATAGCGACACATATATGACTAAAAGTTAAAATGTGACTACTGTTATAGTTTCGATTATCGTGCAAGTTGCAATGGTGGACAGTTATAGTTCATGAATGCTTCATGTGCAAATTATATTTAGAGAAATTAGAAGGTATTTTGCTAAACTTCAATAACAAATTAAGGTACTTTGATGAATTAAAGCATTTTAGATATATAAAAAGATATTTTTATTCTTAAATGATAATAACAGTTGTGTACGAATGTAAACCGTTGTTGTGAATAAATGTATGTGGATGAATTTTTATAAACAACTGTTTCATTGTGGACAAATGTGTGTGGATGTACATTCGTAGACAATTGGTTTTATTGTGGAATAATGTGCGTGGATGAACATTTGTAGACAACTCCATGGTAGGACAATTGTTCCTATTGTGGACAAATGTATGTCAATGAAATTCATGCTCACGTGGATGAGTCTTCGTGAACAATCAAATATATATTATTTAATTTTTTCTATTTATATTGCATGTTTTTCATAAATGAACCTTCGTAAACAGCTAAATATGATTGAATATGTATCTTTTTTATCCACACAAAACTGAACACAAAATTTACAATGATTGAACATCATCCATGCTTAGTCTTAGTCTTTTCAAACTCGTTTACGACCCTGTGTCACACACCTCATCTACAATAAATTGTGTCATGTCATATATTTCGTCCATAATTCTCAATCTATATGTCTAAAATATTGTACACATCATCAAATCAGTATCCACAAAACTCCATCCATATACACCCATCAATATTGTGCATGTTTTCCATTCTCATCACCACCTTTCTCTTCTACTCATTCACTATTGTTTATCCATCACTGCTCATCCATCAATTCTCATCAGCCGTGATCCATCCACCATTGATCATTGCTATTCAACATATGCAATCCATGAGATCATCATCTATCACCGTGTGACCATAACATCATCTTCAACAAATTTGGAAGATTTCGTCAACAGTAAATGGGCAAATTATGTTTAAATAATAAGCTAAAGTGTCTTACTTCCTTTAATTGCCTTATTTTACAATCACGCCTTCCTTAGTAAATATCTCTTATTTCAATACATTTCTTCATATGTTTCATCCGAGTCAAACCCGGAGAGAGAAATATCAATACAAATGACTAAACAAACATCAAGAAAGTTTGATGAAAACGTACATTGATAGTAGCTTACGTAAGGTTTAAGTATAAGAACCTCACAAGACTCTCACAAAAGTCAAGGCAATGTGCACAACATTTGATATTACAGTGACGAGAAAGAGACCTCTGCTGTGGAGTTTAAGGTGGCAGATTTTGAGTGAAGTGGGTACAGATCATAACCAGACATTGAGGTTGACTCTTGCATCTCCATCAGCTTTGAGAAGTTCAAATCATGTCCATATACGGCAGGACCTGACATAATCTGTGTTATTTCCATCTCTCCCTCGAGCATTTTCACTGCCTCAGACATCAATGGCCTTAACGAAGGCGATGCATTTGTGCAAACGAGAGCAACTCTGATCATCCTCACTACTTCTTTGCTGTTGAATTCACCTTTGAGCATCGGATCTACGATCTCCATTACGTCCCCTTTCTGTTCCAGTTTCAACGCCTGAGATGGATGTAAACTTATTGTCAAGGATATCACAGATCCAACTATAGAACCGAGGACGAGAAAAAGGCAAAAGAGAGAGAGTACGGTTACCCAATTGATAAGCGAGACGTTCTCATTCCTTCCGTTCTGTGCCATATTACTCTTCCCGCTAACAATTTCCATTGCCACAACCCCGAAGCTGTACACGTCTGCTTTCTCTGTCAAGCGACCCAAGAACGCATATTCCGGAGCCATATATCCGCTACATCATAAGAGAAATGAAGACACCTTCAGAGCTTGACGCAAGACTATTACGTTTATACGATACTACTTACATAGTTCCTGCAATTTTGGTGCTAATGTGAGTGTGTTCTTCTTCGTGGAGCCTAGCCAAACCAAAGTCAGATATCTTTGCATTAAGGTTGGCGTCCAGAAGTACGTTAGAGGTTTTAATGTCACGGTGAACCATTCGGATCCCCGATCCTTCGTGGAGGAATTCAAGCCCTCTTGCGATTCCTACACAGATTTTCTGTCTCGCTGACCAGTCTAGCTTTATGGAGCTCTTTCCTGGAAATGGATGTAAAATCAAAGAGAAATGATTTCAGTTAACATGTGGTAACATAATATGTATACTTGTATTAGACTCAAAACGTAAAGAGAAGCTGGGTGACTATGATTTACCAGACAACAACGCAAGAGCAAGAGAGTTATTTTCCATGTACTCATAGACGAGCAACAGTTCATTCTTCTCGACACAGCATCCATGAAGCTTGACGAGGTTTGGATGATTGAGACCAGAGATCATTCCTATCTCATTCACAAACTCTCGGTTTCCTTGGCATGACTTGGCAGAAAGCTGCTTCACTGCTATGATTGTTCCATCCGGCAACTCACCCTGCATCAAGTTTCTATCATATCAGAAACAAAAAACAGCCATACTTGAGAAGAAGTTGACATCGGTTTTAGCATACTTTGAATACGGATCCAAAACCTCCTTCTCCAAGTTTGTTGGCTTCATCAAAATTGTTTGTTGTAGCTTGTAGTTGCCTCCAAGTAAAGCAAACAGTTTGCAAACCCTGAGCTCTCAGATCTGTTGTGAACATGTTCCCAAGAAAATATCATCAGTAATGCTATGAGTAAATATGAGTAATGGATTCCTTTCCTCTATGAATTCTGATACCTCTTTCTCTCGTGTTCTTGTCACCTCTCCATCTTCTCCGAGCATATAATCCCAAAGCAAAGAGAACAATTGCTAACAAGGCACCCGTTACCCCCAAAAGTAGGGGATAATTAGTGTGATGTTCTATTTTCTCCGCTGCAAATGAGACCCTAAAAGTGTTAAGGTATACACTAATCTACAGAAAGATGTTTGTAACAAAGTATTTATTTTTTCTTTTGGGACCTCCACAATGTTGCTCCAGGCCTGAAATTTTGAAACACGAAACGAATATTATTTCTAAGTGGCCCAGAAGATGAAGGTGTAAAACAAAAAAGGAACCAATAACGAAAAGATAAATAGTCTTAAGTTTACTTAAGCTTACTATGACACAAGGAGATTGCGGAGATAAGAGGACCATAATTTCCTCTTTTAGGAACGAGTGCTGTTCCTTTACCCGCCCAATACAACCGAATCTCTAACATATGATCAGTCACATTAACAGCTTTCACTTCTTTCACAACGGGCTTCAGAGTCCCATTACCCTCCTCTTTGATGTTAAAATCCCTCAAGAACAACTTTCCCTAACAGCAGAGAAAAGGTAAAAAAGCAAATGTAACTTAGTTGAAACGGAGATATCATGACACAGGCACTTTGGATTATAGAAAGCAATTATTATTCAGTAATCATTACTCCCTAACAAGGGAGAACACAAAAAGACAAGCAATAACTTCAAATCTTCATGCAATTTATTTTCTAAGTATGATTAAAAAAGAGCAATTATTCAGTAAATTAGTTGCGCTTCACCTGAACATAGACATCAAATATGCGCCTCCCTAGACGACTGTCTGAAAACTGAATTTCCATAAAATGGAGGCTCACATTGTAGGCTCCATTTTCCAAGCAAAATGCATAATAAACAAGAGATAGAGCAGATCGTCGTGCAGTCTTATAGAGATTAGGAGAATCTCCCAACAGTGTTGATTTAGTTGAAATGATGTATATGTCATCATCAATGCCATCATCCCCAAAGTCACCAGTGTTGCTTATTCCCCAGTTTTTCGTGTGCTGATTTGTAGCGGCTTTGATTTCACTGTTATCAGCTTGATAAGTGATTTTACCGGAGGAGTTTGTAAAAGTTACATCTTCTCCACCACAGTTGATATGTAGTGATCGCTGATCTATAATAAACGACGATTATCACCATTAAGAGATCAAAGTTAGAGGTGTTCGATTCTCTTAAAGTGAATAAAGAAGGTATTAACAAAAGTGAGTGCGTCAAACTCTCTAATGCATGTTAGAGATAAGTTAGAACGGCTCAATGTGTACTTACAGTTCCTGCATTTGGTTGGAACGGCACATGGAAAAAGCTCGTTTCTGTATGACACGATGATCATAATATTTAAGCATCTAATCAGCACGAGATTACTAAGATTTATCCATTCTTGTTGCATGATAACGCAGAAAAGTGTACTCACAAATTGTTCTTCAAAGATGAGCTCCGGTATGTATTGATGTTACTGATTCAATAGAAAGTGAGATCGTAAACTCTAATATGAGCATGTTATTAATAAATAGCAACATATATTTATGTTTGTACCTCCTTTCCTGGCAGGTAGACGGCCATGAGAAATTGTTATAAGAGAGATCACTGTGAGATTCACCAAACATAATAAACCAGTTGAAAGATTAGTTTAAATGAAGGAAGATTTCTCAAGCCATACAAAAAGGGAAAGCCTGAAACGTACATATTGGATTTTCTGTTGAGGAAAACACCAGATTTGATGTTTCCGGAAAGCATATTGCCAGTCAAATAGCTGTAAAAGAACATGTCAAAACTATAAATTGTCCATGTGTGATTCTGTGATACTCATCTTAAATTATCCACATCTTACGTACGTATATTTTGGTGCTAATTTTATTCCATGAACTTCGCCAGTCAATTTGTTAAATGATAAATCACTGCAGAGAAAACAACATGTACAGGACAATTGAGTTTCTTTTGGTATAAACATCTTTGAGTAAATATTGTTTATATTTTGCATTTATAAATCTGTAAATCTTGCAGAAGTTTTAAATAGTTCATGTCATTTTTAAATAGATCATGTCATACTTGCATATCACTATCACAAAAAGTTATCTTTTCTTCTCTATATTTATTGATGTGCTTACCCATGATATAGTCAAGTTATAATGACATCAGTCATATGCACATATTTTAGCAAGTGGAACATGTTATACAACCTGGTATATCAAATTAGAAAGGGTTTCTTCACATTTCACCAAAAAAAACTTACAGAGTTCTCAAATCCGGCTTACTCCAAATGTATGAAGGAATTGGACCAGACATACTCACATTCCTCAGAATCCTGAAACAAGAACATAGATTTAAATTTGACCATCCTCAGATAAAATCAAGCTTCTTCATTAGAAAACACATACAGGTTTTTGATGACTTTGCTAGATATATTAGGAAAGGAGTGTATCCCAGTCGTATCACTAATACTCCTGAAAAATGAATACAAAGCTTAATATATCAGATTCATTTCAATGGTACTTTTGCTGATCGATTCAAAAGTAGTTAGCTACAGTTCAGTAAGGTTTCCTAAGCGGGCCACAGCGTCAGGAATAGGTCCTTTCAGTCCACTCGCGTAGAGATCTCTGTTGATCATATTCGACACAACTTAGATGACAGTGAAAAGACAAACTATAAGAGAAATTACAAGTAGTGATGATGGACAATCTTACAGCCTTTGAAGCCGAGACCAGTTGCCAATATATTCTGGGATAGTGCCAGTGAAGTTATTGTCACATATCCTACTGCATAATGTAAACAAAAAAACTAGTTTAGAGCTTTGTTAAACTTTATCACACCTTAAAGTAAGCGTTTCGTAAGTGTCAAATCAATTCACAACCCTTTTCATAGAGAAACAAAAGCTCTAATCAATAGTTTCAGTTCAATGTAGGTGCCAATAAAACACACAATTTCGTGAAAGTTTGAAACCAAATACAAAGGAAGAGCATTTCCAGTTACAAAGGTGAAAAAAAAAGCTCTTTTTGAAAACTCTAGCAGCAAAGTGCGGAAACAACTTACAATTTCTCAAGGTTTACCAATTTAGCGAGAGTGATTGGAAGGTTTCCTGTCAATTGATTGGACGCAAGTTCCCTGAAAAAGCCAGAGTTTTTACAAGAGATTATAGCTTTAATACAATATTATTTCCATGAAACCAAAGATTCTTGTGGTTAAAATGCAAAAGAGAATCTTACAATACTTTAAGGTTGGTCAAGTCACCGAGCTCATCAGGAATGGGACCAGAGAACTGGTTTGCTTCAACGCTTCTGAAAATTTTCATCACATCGCCGTACTATCAGGTCAAATCAAAAAGGCATCGTATATCCAGTGTAGGGAACAGTTTGAGACTTACAGGAATGTCAGATTCTTGAAGTTTCGCAAACCGGTTGGTAAAGGCCCGGACAAACGATTCGCGCAGAGCGAGCTGCCACAAAAGTTTCAAAATTACCTACAAGATCATGAAGATTACAGGAGGAGGGAGAGAGAGAGAGGGCTTACATGTAAGAGAGGTATGGCAATGAAGCCCACTCCATTGGGATTGAGCCTGAGAGGTAGTTTCGGCAAAGGCTTCTGCAAACAAGAGCAGAGAAACTCACTGTAAAATGTTCTCATGGCTCTTTTTGGGGATTCTTTCGCTCAAGATTTTGTTGATTTCTCCCACAATCTCTAAGACCGAATCAATCCCAAAGTCGAATTATCAAACTATGGCTTCAGCTCCCCAACGACGGAATCCCATTAAAAATCATGGTATATATAATAAATGTAATATTTTTGAAATTTTCTTTGTTTTTCATATATTTTTATTTTTATTTTTATTTTTATTTGTATCTCTCATTGAAAATTAATATCAAATGATCCAAATCACTTTTTCAGCGCAAAAATCACAAAAACATGAATATTTGTTTTGTTGGAAGTTGACAAAAAAACAAAAAAAAAATTGTTTTAGAATTTTCCGAACTATATGGTTTGCCAAATCTTGAATAAATTCCAAACTTACATCTTCTGGATATACTGAAGTTTGGCCAACTCAGGCGGAAGTTTCCCTGAAAGACTTGTGGACTTGAGATTTCTGTGATTATTGTTCAAGAAAAAAAGATACGTTAATTAGAGAAGAAGAGAATAAAGATTTATTACGAGAGTACAAAAGATTAAACACACTCACAGTTCGATTATATGACATGTCGTGTTGTTGTCGAAGCTACAATCACAAGCAATGGTGTTGGCTACCTCCGAATTCCAAACACCACCAATTTTTAGAGTTTTCAAAAGGCAAGGATCTCCATCACTTAGCTTCAATCTCTTTATTCCAAGTGTAGTAGCTATCTTTCCAAGCGCCTTCACTACACAAATTATCACTCTTATATGCTGGATAAATTATGAATGTTATTATAACCTCTCTGATATATAAAAGAATTAAGATTTGGATCTAATACACTCATCTGGATGGAGAGCTGGTGAAGTGGATGCTGTTAGAGTTGAGAAGAAGCTTGTGGTGATGGTGAAGAACAGTAGGAGAGCCGAGAAGACGATCCACATTATGGATATAAATGATGTGTACTTGTTTGATCAAGATGAGATTATATAAGTGTCATAATGATAAAAAAAATATATATATATAAGATATTATCTTGACTTTTAGGGTCGTCTTTGGTCGTTGCCTCGTCGGCTAGTAGAGACTAGAGAGAGTAACAGCGATACATATATGACCAAAAGTTAATTAATGACCCATAATTAATTACTTCGAAAGTTGGAATTATTGTGCAAGTTGCAAAAGTGAACAGAGTTACAGGTTCATGAATGCCTTCATGTTTCATTTCCCCTTTACGTGTTTAGTTTATCAATTTACAAAATTGATTTACGCATAATCCAATCTAATTTTTAGCAGTTTTTATACGGAGGCACAGAGAGATTTCGTCTGTTCAAATGTTGATTAACTCTCTTGCGTGTCCATTTGATGCCATCGGAGTCAAACCCAGAGAGAGAAAACGATGTAAATGATTTTGGAAAAGTTATAAGAAAAAAAGTTTGATTCAGACATTTTCATAACAATATAAAATTCGAGTTTGACATACATTCATAGAGATATGTGTGAATTAAGATTTCAGACAACATTAATGTGATATAACTTTGTAGCTACCTATATATAACTTCACAAACCTTTATTTTCTCTTAAGAGATAAGGAGCTGTGCACATCTTTTGGTATTACTGTGACGAGGAAGGATACTCTACTGTGGAGTCTACCAGAAACAGAGGATTTCATTGTTGTATCTACTCAAGGATCACAGATTCAGGGTACGTTGGGTAGAGATCACTACCAGAAACAGAGGATTTCATTGTTGTTGCTGTTGTTTGATCGGTCACACCAGACGTGCTCGAGCTTCCATTTGTATCAGTGTCCTTCAGCTTTGAGATGCTCCAGCCGTGTCCGTATAAACCAGGATCCGACATAACCTGTGGTACTTCCATCTCTCCCTCGAGCATTTGCACAGCCTCTGACATTGTAGGCCTTGAGGAAGGAGATGAATGTGTGCAAAGGAGAGCAACTTTGATCATCCTTACTGCTTCTTTTCCGTTAAAATCACCTTCGAGCATTGGATCTACGATCTCCATTATGTCCCCTGTCTGTTGCAGCGTCAGGGCCTGAGATTTGATGTAGGAAGGGGTTTCAGTAAACTTGTGGAAACTGAAATACAAATATAAACCGCAAAACCGAATGGTCTAAAGAGAAAGAAAAGCTCCAAGGGTTTACCCAATTGATAAGGGAGACGTGCTCAGCACTTCCCTTCTGTTTAGTATTCTTCTTCCCGCTAACAATTTCCATTGCCACAACACCGAAGCTGTACACATCTGCTTTCTCTGTTAATTGACCCCATAACGCATATTCCGGAGCCATATATCCACTGCATTAAAAGAGAAACCAAGACTGAGTGATATTTCCTTTGCCAATATCTGTTTTTTTGTATTGTAATCTACTCATACATGGTTCCTGCAATTTTGGTGCTAATGTGAGTGTGTTCTTCTTCGTGGAGCCTAGCCAATCCAAAGTCAGATATCTTTGCATTAAGGTTAGCATCTAGAAGCACATTTGGGGTTTTAATGTCACGGTGAACCATTCGGATCCCCGATCCTTCGTGGAGGAATTCAAGCCCTCTTGCGATTCCAACACAGATTTTTTGTCTCGCTTCCCAGTTCAGTTTCAGTGAGCTCTTTCCTGAAAATTGATGTAAGCCAAAGAGAAATGATATCACTTTGCATGTGCACTTGAATTATACTCAAGACGTAAAGGAAAGCTAAGTGACTTTTATTTACCAGAGAGCGCAAGAGCAAGGGAGTTATTTTCCATGTACTCATAGACGAGCAGCAGTTCATTCTTCTCGACACAGCATCCATGAAGCTTGACAAGGTTTGGATGGTTCAGACCAGAGATCATTCCTATCTCATTCACAAACTCTCTGTTTCCTTGGCATGACTTGGCAGAAAGCTGCTTCACTGCTATGATCGTTCCATCCGGCAGCTCTCCCTGCATTATACGTTTCTCTCATATCATAAACCAAAAAAAATAGCAGCCATATTTGAGAAGAACTTGGCATATTGTTTTAGTATACTTTGAATACGGATCCGAAACCTCCTTCTCCAAGTTTGTTAGCTTCATCAAAATTGTTTGTTGCAGCTTGCAGTTGCCTCCAAGTAAAGCAAACCGTTTGCAGACCCTCGGCTCTCAGGTCTATTGCGTTCATGTCACAAAGAGAACATCATCAGTATTGCTAACAACGAAACAGAAATGGATTCTCAGGCTGTGAACTCTGATACCTCGTTCTCTTGTGTTATTGTCTCCCCTGCATCTTCTCCAAACATATATTCCAGAAGCCAGTAGAATAATTGTTACCAAGGCACCAATTGCCCCCAAAATTAGTGGATAATTCATGTGATGTTTTATTTTCTCCGCTGCAAATGAGACACTAAAAGTGTAAATATATATAAACCAATCTACAGAAAGGCCTTTTTATTTAAAGCAGGTTTTCTATGTCTAAGACCTCCACATCGTGGCTCCAGACCTGAAATTTTGAAAAATGAATATTATCATTAGGTGGCAGGAACCAATGCCAAGAAGATGAAAGGAAAGCACAAAAATTAAATCATTCACAAAAACATAATAATCTCAAGTTTGGGCATTAGATAGTGAAGAAAGCCTTACTGTGACACAAGGAGATTGCAGAGATAAGAGGACCATAATTTCCTCTTTTAGGAATGAGGGTTGTCCCTTTCCCCGCCCAGTACAACTGAATCTCTAACACATGATCGTTCACAGTCGCATTCATTGTTTTGATAACAGACTTCAGAGTCCCATTAGCCTCTTCTTTGATGTTAAAATCTTTCAAAAACAATACTCCCTAACAGGAGAGAAAAAGAAAATACAAAAGCAATAACTTCAATCATCCAAGCAACTTAGTTTCAAGTATGATAAAGAAAAAGAGCAGTTATTCAGTATATAGTAAGGCTTTACCTGAACATAAACATCAAATATGCGCCTACCGACACGAGTGTATGGTTCTTTTTCTGAAAACTGAATCTCCATAAAATAAAGGCTCACATTGTAGGCTCCATTTTCTAAGCAGAATGTATAATAAGTTAGAGAGAGAGCAGATCGGCGTGCACTCTTATAAAGACCGGTAGCATCTGCAGTCCAAGTAGTGTAGGTATCAGCATCGCTTCCATCATCAGGAAAGTCACCTGTGTTACTAATTCCCCAGTTTTTCGAGTGCTGATTTGCTGCGGCACTGATTGTACTGTCATTATCAGCCTGATAAGTGATTTTACCCAAAGAGTTCGTAATATCCACACTTTCTCCACCACAATTTATATGTAGGAATCGCTGATCTACAATCCATAACAATTATCACCATCAGTAGAAATTAAAGTAGAGGTGTCCGAACTCCAATGTCTTAATGTTGAAGAAGATGACATTAACAAAAGTGAGTACGTTAAAATCTCTTAACACATGTTAGAGAAAAGCCATAACGGCTCTATCTGAACTCACATGTGCAGTTGATTCCACTAGAGCATGGAAGAAGCCCAGTTCTGTATGACAAGACAATCAGAATATGTAGGCATCTCATCAGCATGATACATTATTGTCGTATACAAAAGTAAGAGATTACTAAGTTTAATCTGTTCTTGTTGCAAGATAAAGCAGAGTGTACTTACAAATTCTTCTTCAAATATGAGCTCCGGTATGTGTTAATGTTCCTGATTTAACAGAAAATGAGTACCAAAACTTCAGCATATAAGCAGATATTAGACAAATACTAGAAGACATATCCTACCTAGTACCTACCAAGATTTCATGATCATACCTCTTTTGCTGGCACTTAGACGACCATGTGAAATTGTTATAAGAGAGATCACTGTGAACCCAATATAGAAAATTGGTTGAGATGACAGAAATATTTTCAAGCCACATAAACAAGTGAAGGCATGGAACGTACACATAAGATTTTCCGTTGAGTAAAGCACCAGATTCAATGTTTCCAGATAACATATTGCCAGTCAAATAGCTGAAAGAACATGTCGAATGGCAAGTTATACAGAAGTGGTTTTATAGTATTCGCATTAAAAGGTCTCCACAATTCTCACTTCTCAATATGAGATTATAGTACTTACGTATATGCTGGTACATTTTCTACTCCTTCAACTTCACCAGTCAACTTGTTAAATGATAAATCACTGCAGCAAACAACGTGTAATGTTAAATGGATTTCTTTGGATAGATACGTAACTGTGTAAATGCTGAATAAATTTGCTTATATAAATCTATAGATCCTACCAAACTCCTCAGCAGGTCAATGTGGACGACATTAAGGTATTAAACAAGCTATTACAAAGTCTTCTTAGATATTATGAAAAGAAACTTACAGAGTCTTTAGGTCTGGCAAACCCCATATGTAAGGAAGAATTGAACCAGACATACTCACATTCCTCAAAATCCTGGAACATGGACGGAGACTTTAAGTTATAAAATGAAGCCTCCAAAACCCTCAGATAAAATCAAGCCTCAAGACAAGAAACAGAGAGCTTCAATGGGGGAAAACATACAGGTGTTTGATGACTTTACTAGATATAATCGGAAAGGAGGTTATCCCAGTCGTATCAGTAATACTCCTGCATATACAGACATATTGCTTATCACACCAGCTTCATTTCGATGATCCTTTTATATATCTATCAAAAGCATTTCGTTACAGTTCGGTAAGATTTTCTAGGCGGGCCACTGCGTTAGGAAGAGGTCCTTTCAATCCACTTGCGTCAATATGTCTGTCGATCATTACAGAAGCAAGTTTAGATGGTACAGAAACAGAAACTATAAAGAGAAATTTCATTTAGTGATGAAGGACAAGCTTAGATACAGCTTCTTAAGCCGAGACCAGTTGCCAATATATGCTGGGATGATTCCACTAAAGTTGTTGTCACCAATCCTACTGCATAGTGAAAACAAACAACTACTTTTAGAGCTTTGTAAAACTTATCTTCTTGGACTAGTTTAGAGCATTTGGTGGAGTATATCTATGTACGCGTTTCATAACTTTCAAATCAGTTCACAAACATGGAGCAATTCATAGAAGGAAGAAACAGAAGCACCTAAAGAGCTCTAGATCAACAGGTTTGAGCTAACAACATCTTCTGCAAAGTTTCTATTCACAAATTCACTCATCTTCAAGTCTAATTAAGAAAGAGTATTTACAATTTTTTTTAAAAAAGGAATCTTTTGAAGACTTTTTATTGCAACAACTTACACTCTTTCAAGGTTTACTAGTTTCGCGAGAGTGATAGGGAGGCTTCCTGTAAAATGATTGGACGCAAGTTCTCTGCAAAACCAAGTTTCAGAAAATATCAAAAACTGTAACTTTTCCCCCATAAAACCAAAAGATTATTGGAAAAAATGGTCAAGACGCAAAGGGTCTTACAATCCGATTAGGCTGGTCAAGTCACCAAGCTCGTCAGGGATCGGACCAGAGAACTGGTTTGCTTCAACCCCTCTAACAAATTTCATCACATCAATGTAATAATATCGCGTAAAATCAAAAGAAAAAAATAATTTCAAGACTTACAGGAATGTCAGATTCTTGAAGTGTTGTAAACCAGTTGGTAAAGGCCCTGACAAATTATTAGCGCAGAGCGAGCTGCGTGAAAATTTAAAAAGTAACTCTCGTGAATCATCAAGACGAAATTGACGGAGCTGTAAAAGAAACAAAGACAAATAGAGAGAGAGAGGGGGAGAGAGCTGACATGAAAGTAAGGTTTGGCATTAAAGCCCACTCCATTGGGATTGAGCCCGAAAGGTAGTTTCGGCACAAGTCTCTGCACATTAAGAGAAAAAAAAAAACTCACTGAAAATGTTCTCATGGCTTTTTCTGGAGATTCTCTCGCTCCAGATTTTGTTGGTTCCTCCATTTTAGGTCGTTTTTAAAACTCTATTACAGTGTATTTGTCATACTTTGAAGCTCCTCAAGAGGCTAATCCCAAAACCGTCGGTTTAGGAATGTCGTAGGAGTGCTGATTCGAAACCAAACCAAAAAGAACCAATCTGCAACTCCATTAGAGCCAATCTTTCAAATTCAGACTGTAATTGGTTTATATGTAATTCAAGAAATCTTTTACTCGGCCGAAATGACAAATACTCACTAGTCTGGTAACTGAATTGAAAATTGAAAAACTTGTAACCAATCTATTCTAATCTTCTACGGCCGTTCTAAGACTAGTGAGTATTTTGGGACGAAAATTTACGGATAATTTGATAATTGAAAAATAATATCCAAATAGAATCTGATTATTGGGCTTAAAGATCAATTTCAATATAAATAAAATTGGGCTAATGATCAATTTCAATAGAAATAAAATTGGGCTAAGATCAATTTCAGTATAAGTATTTTGGGCAGATTTGTAGAATTCTGAGAAATTTTGATATAATTTTTAATGTTTCATTTATTTTAAACGGTCATTCAAATAATATATTGCATACATCTTCTTATTACTCGTTTAAATACATTTATAAAAGTAACAACTCAGAAAAAGTGGCTTCCAATATTTCTATTTTAAAATATAATAGATTAATGATTTTTAATGGAAAACTATTTGAACGAAATTAGGAATAGAACTAAAAATCTAGAATGGATACACATAAGATAGAAAATCCATCTCCAAATACTCACTAGTCACTGGCGAAGTCATATGGAGGGCAGTTGCCCCAGATGATTTTTTTTTGTTTGGTATTATATTTTGGGTCAATTTGGTGACTAACTATATTGAGCTATAAGAAATTTGAAATAAACTAACTAATCAAAAATCCTAACCACTTTAATTTATTAGACCAAAATACTATTTTTGATTCGCTATAAAAAACTTAAGATTTTATACTATTTTGTATATATACATATAACATTCTATATTCTATACTATTTTGATTTCCGTTCTATATTATTTTATTTTATAAAATGGTATACCCTTGTTATCCATATGACTTTATCCAAAATTTTCATCTTTATAACGTTATCCAACTTTAATCCGCTATAGATCCAAATTATAAAAATATAAGTTTCAAACGATAAAACTAAACCTCAAACCCTAAACTTCAAACTATTTTATTTTATATTATTTTTTGTTATTTTATCTTACAAAACAATATAAACTAGTTAATAGAAAAAAAAAATTGTGACCCCTAAAAATAAACTCACATATTTTGAAACTAAACTCAAGCCACTACTTACTATACCCAAACTCCCGAACATAGATTGCATGATGTTATATATTGTAATTCTTAATCTATTGTAGATCTCCGCATATAAATTCACATAATTTAAAACTAAACCTAAGTTAGTACTATACCCAAACCCTCGAACATAAACTAAAGTTATTACGTATGTAGAATAACACGAATTCATTAAAAAGTAAACACAAGCTACTACTTACTATACCCAAACCCCCAAACATAAACTATATAATTTTATCTACCGTAATATTTAATCCGCTATAAATCTCTGAAAATAAACTTACATGATTTAAAATTAAATTCAAGTCAGTACTTACTATACTCAAATCTTCAAACATAAATCAAAGTTATTATGTGTGTAGAATAACATAAATTATTTTTCATTCTCTCCCTTCTCAGCAATATCTGTAGAATATTCACAGGTTACAAAATAGAATATAATACAATAACATAGTATAAAATACAAAGGTCAATTTGATTATTATACATATTATACAAAGAATATCATGGTCACAAAACTAAATAACATGTTTATAATGGCTACTCAACCAAATTTTCCTTATATTTTTGCTAAAATAAAATTTTATGGTTATAATATATTTATATATATGATGTTTTAAGAGTTTGTTTTTGTTTTAAATTATATGATATTTTTAAAATTCTATGCAAAAAAAATATGACAATTAACTAATTTTACCTTCATTTAATTAACAAATTAAAACTTAACAAACAATATATAGGATCATAATAAGTATTATATATTAAACTTTTTAATCTGTGTGTATATTACTAAGTATTGTTTTTACATGATCTGCCTCCATGAAAATTAATCATAAATCTGCCTGGCGCTCTGCCAGTCACCAATGATTCAGGAATGATACTATTGACTAAACCGACAAAGGGAAAACAAAAGCAAAGGAGTCTTTAGGAGGGACTTTAAAAACTTTTTTGTTGTATACACTTTTAGATGGCCCATTTTAGATTGATATTTTTTTAAAAAGAATTAGTAGACAAGTTATCTAAAATAGAAAAAAACAAAGCCATTATAGTATTGGCTTTAGAAAGAAGAAAAAATACATTAATAAAAGTTGGTTATTTGAATTGTGAGATATTTTAGGGGGTTTGGGAAATTTTAGGACAGTTAAAGTATGTTTAGCAAACTCTAAACTCTCTCTTGAAATTGTATTAGTGCTACTAGTGAAATATTTTTAAAAAATAGTTGCTATATTTAGAAATAAATTTTGTTTTGGTTCTATTTGTATAGGAATTGCCCGTACACAAAATCTTTAACTTACATTGATTGGAGATATCGAAGCTTCGCTAACTGAGGCGGAAGTTTCCCAGGAAGACTCATTGTCTTGAGAAATCTGTATATTTTCAAATGCAACAAGAAATTATAATATATATAAAAGAAGTGAAAAAAAAGACATATCAAACGATGAGAAGAGAGAAGAATAACACTAACAAATCTGTAATAGGACATGTCGTGTCGTTACAATGACAAATAATGGTGTTGTTTATATCATCATTCCAAACATAATCAACTTCTTTTATGAACAGTAGAGTTTTCAAATGGCAAGGGTCTCCAGATTTTAGGTCCAGTCTCTTGATACCAAGTGTAGTACCTATCTCCTTTAGCGCACTCACTGCTTTTATATAACAGAAACAAAAAAATTAAACGTCGATTATATACAAATCTATACGAATTTTGACTGTGGTTTTATAAGAATTAAGTTTAGAAACTGATCGTTCTTCTCATACATTCATCTGAATGAAGAACTGGTGAAGAGGCCGCTAATTTTGTTAGAGTTGCGAGGAAGCTTGTGATGATGGTGAAGAAGATAAGAAAACTCACGAACGCGGTTGACATATCGATAAAAATTAAAAATTATATATAAAATATATAACGATTCTCTGTGTTTGTTTGGTTGTTCAAAATGATTTAGTGTTATATAATATACGGGATTTTTTATATTTTCTTAGGGGGCTTTCTTGGGTCGCCGACGACTAGAGAATACCGACAAGAAAAAATAATTAGTAAAGTTGATGTCAAGGTATAGTTGTGAAACTGAAAAGAGAGGTTCATAAAAGAAAAGAAGAAAAAAAGAGGTTCATAATAGACTGATGTTTCGTGTCTCCTTATGTGTTTGGTTGATAAATTTTAGAAGTTTAATTAACATTATTGACGAATATTCATGCAGTGACCGACTGACCTCTCTAACTGGATTTGATGCATTCTTACAATGAATGTTAGAATAATTTCTTTAAAATGCTAGCTTTTCTTTGTTCGGATTTATCCGAGTCTTGTGTAAAAATAAAAATTTTACCATTGCAACAATGAGTAACCATGAATAAAATCACAGTGACATAACTCAAACTTTGGCCCTCCAAGATAAATCCATTAAACACTGGATTATTATGACTTATTTATAATCGTATAACGTATTTCAGCTCTATTATATGATGAATTAACTGAAACTTTTGATTAATTTAAGATTTCAATAAACCAAATTGTATGATTTATTTCCAGTTTATTAAAAATTTTAAATTAATTGAAACGTGCGATTAATAAATGTGCAATCTGAGAAAAATAAAAGTTGTTTGAAAATGAGTGTAATTGGTGGGGTTGAATGATATGTAGTTTTTTCACATTTTCATATTAACATGCTATTTTTCAAGGTATGTATATTGTTCATAATGTTAAGCATTGAATGATAAAAAATGAAAATTAACATGTTATTTTTCAATATATCCTGCATGTTTTAAATTTATAACTAGTTTAGAAAAAAATCTATTCATATAATATATACTAGTTTTTTTTAGTATTTTGAGTTTATTCAGTTTTCAGTTTATTTATTAAGCTATTAAGCTATCAAGTTGACATAACAGTCAAATCCATATTTATCTTTCATGCTCTTTATATCAATCTAAGACCCAACAACCAGTACTAAAATAAACGTAATGGTTATTTTCTTAAATTGATTGAAAAAATGTCAAAAGCAAACAATAAAACATAATTTTTTGCTATAAAAAACAACAAAACATAATTCGCATCATTACATATAGGTCTGGGAAATTGGTTTGTAAACCATGGGTCCTATCCTACTTGATCCGCTGCGGGGGTGGGTGCAAGTCGAACAAAAATCGGTCTGCAAAAAAGTAGGTCAAACAAAAACTCAGAGATAATAACATATCTTTTGGGTTGCAGGTTGGATCCATTCTACACAGAATTTTTTTTTGACCCGCTTTAATCCATTATGTAAAGTTTTCAAACATAAAAAATTTGACCCACACCTGCTCCGTTTGAATAAGCGGATATCCACGGATAACCCACAAATACTTAAATAAAAAATAATATATATTTTTTTAATAATTTTAGTAATAAATATTGAGAAATTCTTTAGAATGAGTTTTAGGTTCCTAAAACTAACATACATATTAGAGAATTTCTATACTATAACCTCTTTCACATAACTGACTATATTAGCCTCATTTAAATAATACGCCGAGAAACTAAAAACCTATCATAGAATTTTCATCTTCAGATTAAAACTCTCGACACCGTCATCCACCATTTTTGGAATTGCTTACCAAATCTCTGATTCATATCATTTCCAATCAAATCTCTGTTCATCATCAGATCATCTCATATAATCTTCATGCATCATCGGAAAAGGAAGAGAACTAAGGATCCTTCAGAATACATCAATGGTGATATTCTTCTCGAGATTGGTATATAAGAGATGAATCATTTCAGATCTGATTTTAGATTCCAGGTTTGTTCTTTTCTACTATCACAAAGTTTACTATGGGCGATAAATCCGGCACCGAAGACTCCAATATGGCCGGAAAAAAAAAGCTGAATCGGCAAGATCTACGGCGATTAGGTAATTAGGTTTTTGAGTTGGAAGAAAATTGTTGATTTTGTGTATGATTTGGTTCTAGGAGACATTTAGAAAGATTTACCATATATTTAAGAAGCTTTTCCCAAATATGTTGTTCTTCTTTACCACGACATAGTTTACTTTGGGCGACATATCTGACACATAAAACTCCAATTTAGCAGGAAAAAGCTGAACCGGTGAGATCTGCGGTGATTAGGTTTTCGATATGGGAGAAAATTGTAGATTTTAAATATGATTTGTAACTGGAAAACCTTTAAGAAAGTTTCCTATATATTTATGAAGCCTTTTTACAAATATGTTGTATTAAATTATTTTGATATCATATCTTTTTGTTTTGCTTATCTTAATTAAATGGGTATTGATTTGCGTATGATACACCTCTAAAAATGTCTCTATAAAACTTTAAAGATTTTTTTATGATGTTTGTTTATTATATTCAGGAAGCTCATCCTAAATATATTCAGAACTTTTTAGGAATATTAGAAAAACCTTCCCAAATTAGGAAATTTTTTCTAAATTTTTAAAATTTTTGGAAATAAAATAATACTGAATTTTAGTGTTCTGAATACTTTTCTAAAAAATCACGCAATATTGACCCAAAACATTAAGAAAAACTTTTCTAAATGGCAAAATTGAAAAAAGCAAATGAAAATTAGTATAGCTGGAAAAAATAGGTTCTTTGTTATTTTTGACATAAATACTTGTTTTTATGGTAAATATGAGAAATGCTCATAAATATTCAATAAAAAATTATAATATGATAAAACATAAATATAAAACTTAATTTTAAAATCTAAAACAAAATTTTTAGCTGATTTTTATATATATATATATATTGCATAATATTTCAATATTTTCAAAATATTTTATATACAAATAGTAATAGTAATAATTATTATTATTTTTTAGTAAGCGGATATCTGCAAATTTGCAAAATAAAATTAAGACACCTGCACTCACCCCGTATTGTAAAAATACCACCCTGCAAAAATACAGACTGATTTTTGTTCACCCCGCATCCATCTCTCACCCGGCCCAGGACGGGTCAAACGGGGTGGGACATGTGGTTTATGAACTAAATTCCCAGGCCCAACCCTGGATTACGGGTTGGGTCTGCCCCTCTCGACCTTCCCTGCAGAGAATTTTTTTTCCTTGACCCACTTCGATCCATTCTGCAAAGTTTTCAAACACAAAAGGTGTGACTCGCACCCGCCTCTCTTAAATTAACAAACACTCGTAGATAATCCGCAAATATTTAAATAATAAAATATATTTTTATAACTTTAGTAAAAAATACTTAATAAAAAAAATTACTGTGATAAAACATAACTATAAAACTTAATTGTAAAATCAAAAATAAAATGATTAACTTAGTTTTATAAATATTGAATAATGTTCCAAAATTTTCAAATTATTTTATATACAAATATTAATAATTTTTTTTTTCTTTTTTAGTGAGCGGGTTACACGCAATATAAAATTAAGACACCTATACCCACCCTGCATTATTAAATATCCGCCTCGTAAAACCCACTTTTTTACAAACTGATTTTTGTTCAACCCGTACTCATCCTGCGAGTCAAGTGGGGCGGGAGCCGTGGTTTATGAACCAAATTCCCAGGCCTACTTGTGAAGAGGCCGCCAGTTTTGTTAGTGCTGTGAGGAAGCTTGTGATGATGGTGAAGAAGATGAGAAAACTCACGAACGCGGTTGACATATCGATATAAATTAGAAATTGTATATAATGATTCTCTGTATGTGTGTGTGTGTTTGGTTAATCACAATGTTATCATTAGCCAATGATTCAATGGTTATATAATATACGGGAAAATGTTTTTGATTTTTGTTTAGGGTTTCCTTGGGTCGTCGGCGACTCGATAACACCGACAATTTAATGAATTAATAATGTTGATGTTGAAGTTATAGTAGTGAAAAGAGAGCTTCAGGGAAAATAAGAAAGAAAAAAGAGACGTTTTCGAATGATTGATGTGTCATGTCTCCTTATGTGTTTGGTTGATTAATATTAGAAGTTCAATTAACAGCGTTGACGAATATGCATGCATGCACTCACTTCTTTCATTGAATGCATCCTTACTATAATAGTATATATTTTATAATAATTTCTTATAAATGTTCTTCTTTGTTCTTATTTATCCAAGCATATTTGTAAAATCAAAATTTTACCATTGCAAATATAAATGGGTCATAGAAAGCCAAAACTAACTTTGTTCCTTCAAAATAGTGGCAACCCTCATCGAATGTGCTCTTCCACGCAAGAGAAGCTTTTACGTGCTCTCCAAACAAAATAGTGGCAACCCTTAGATGTATAATCTGGGTGATGCAGAGTTTACGGGTTCTTCGACTCACAGAGGTTACAATAGCCATTGAGGGACGGGAGGTGTTTGAAGCAATTCGAAGACCAACTACGTGGCCAAGGTATCGATTCTTACTGGATCACATATATACAGAGATTGAGTCTGAGTTTCTCATCTTGCTACTTTGAAGAGGAGCACTATTTGGCGAACTCTATTGCCAGAGAGATTGCTAAGAGTGTAGCCGGTGACGTTCGTTTCCAGTCTTACACGAGCGAATTCAACGTGTGAAATGACAGGAAGAGGATGAAGCGCCAAGATCCCCTTGTCCACTTTTGTTTTTTAGATTACATGTTCTCCACATCTATATAATCCTTATTTAGGATTTTGATGTCGGGTTTATTTGACTTTGTTTGCTCAGCTGGTCCAGAGCTTTCATCCTACCTTTAACACTTCATAATGAATTCAGACGTTCAAAAAAAAAAAACTTTGGTCCTTCAACTCCAAGATTCTAATTGATTGAAGAAATAGATGGATACGTAGAAAGAGTCAAAGCAAACAATGAAACATAAAATCACATCAGTACATATATTACAGATAAACACACGCCACTGACCACTCGTTCATATATTTTATAGAAAGCTATTAAAGCTATGTTCCCAGGAGGTGATAGACTTAAAGTAAACGCAATGCAAGTATGCAACCAGTCAAGAAAGTAGTTTTGTTACTTTTGCTTTTTTTTATTTTCTTTTGTTGGTTTTATAACTAACTGTAGTACAAAATGATACCCTTTCCAAGTAACACACGAGCGATATGAGCCCTAATTTCACACGAGCGACCACAACGAGAACCCTAGACGTGTAGAGATAATCAAAGGGTTTAGCCGTTTAGGCTGTACCGTCTAGTCACAACAGTGGATTCGGGGCTGAGTGGGTACTGTTCTTAAACAGATTCAGAGGAGGACGTAATCATTGTCACAATTTTTTTCTGCGTCGGTCAGTGATATCTTCACAACTTCCGACATGCTTGGTCTTAATGTGAAATCTTTCATAAATAGATATCACTGAGTTTGACAAACATTCATAGAGACACCAGCGTTTTTGGATCTATGTAAACTGGGATAGTAGTAAGGTTTAAGAAAACTTTAATGATACGTCTAAGTAGTAGCTAAATAAGATAACTTCACAAGCCTTTCTTCTCTTTCAAGTGGTAAGGCAATGCGTACAGCTTTTGATATTACACCGACGCAGAAGAAAACTCTGCTGTGGAGTTTAGGATCATGGATTCAGGGTATAATGGGTAGATATCACAACCAGAAACAGAGGATTTGATTGTTGTTGTTGTTTGATCGGTCACACCAGACGTGCTCGAGCTACCATTTGTATCAATGTCCCTCAGCTTTGAGATGCTCAAGTTGTGTACACATAAACCAGGGTCTGGTATAACCTGTGTTATCTCGATCTCTCCCTCGAGCATTTGCACAGCCTCTGACATTGTTGGCCTTAAGGAAGGAGAAGAATGTGTGGAAAGGAGAGCAACTTTGATCATCCTTACTGCTTCTTTGCTGTTAAAATCACCTTCGAGCATTGGATCTACGATCTCCATTATGTCCCCTGTCTGCTGCAGCGTCAAGGCCTGAGATTCAATGTAGGAAGGCGTTGCAGTAAACTTATGAAAATAGACAGAGGCAGACTCAAGTATAGAAATTGTGAAACGAATGGGATAAAGAGAAAGAAAGCTCCACGAGTTACCCAATTGATAAGGGAGACGTGATCAAGACTTCCCTTCTGTTTAGTGTTACTCTTTCCGCTAACAATTTCCATTGCCACAACGCCAAAGCTGTACACGTCTGCTTTCTCTGTCAGGTGACCCCATAATGCATATTCTGGAGCCATATATCCGCTGCATTAAAAGAGAAACCAAGACTCAGCTATATTTCTTTGGCCAATATCTGCTTTTTGTATTGTAATCTACTCATACATGGTTCCTGCAATTTTGGTGCTAATGTGAGTGTGTTCTTCTTCATGGAGCCTAGCCAAACCAAAGTCAGATATCTTTGCATTAAGGTCAGCGTCTAGAAGCACATTTGTGGTTTTTATGTCACGGTGAATCATCCTCATCGTCGATCCTTCGTGGAGGAATTCAAGCCCTCTTGCGATTCCCACGCAGATTTTTTGTCTAGCTGCCCAGTCCAATATCGCGGAGATATTACCTGGCAATGGACGCAAACCAGAGAGAAATAACATCACTTTACTTATATTACACTCAAAACGTAAAGAAAGGCCGAATGGTTGTTCTTTACCATGCAGCGCAAGTGCAAGGGAATTATTTTCCATGTACTCATAGACGAGCAGAAGCTGACTCTTCTCGACACAGCATCCATGAAGCTTGACAAGGTTCGGATGATTGAGACCAGAGATCATTCCTATCTCATTCACAAACTCCCTGTTTCCTTGGCATGACTTGGAAGAAAGCTGCTTCACTGCTATGATCGTTCCATCCGACAGCTCTCCCTGCATTATGTTTCTCATATCAGAAACCAAGAAACAGCCATATTTTCTCAGGTGTCCTTTTTGGCATACTTTGAATACGGATCCGAAACCTCCTTCTCCCAGCTTGTTGGCTTGATCAAAATCGTTTGTTGCAGTTTGCAGCTGCCTCCAGGTAAAGCAAACGGTTTGCAGACCCTGAGCTCTCAGATCTATTTTTTCAGGTTCCCAAGGGAAGATCATTGATAATGCCATGATCATATGATGAATGGATTCATATAATCAGTGAACTCTGATACCTCTTTCTCTCGTGTTCTTGTCTCTTCTGCATCTTCTCCGAGCATATAATCCCAAAGCCAATAGGGTAATTGCTACCAAGGCACCCGTTACCCCGACAATTAGCGGATAGTTAGTGTGATGTTTTATTTTCTCCGCTGCAAATGACACACTAAAAGTGTAAATATACATGATGCATCGTATAAAAAAACATATATTTAACAAAGAAGTTTTTGTTTTTGTTTTTGGACCTCCACACAGTGGCTCCAAACCTGAGATTTTGAAAAATGAATACTATCATTAGGTGGAAGGAACCAGTGACTTGAGAGCGTGAACCAAAAGCAATACGAGAAGAAGTAAAGTTGATGCAGCAGAGATTTGAGATAGTCAAATAATTTGGAATTTCGACAAAGAGTGAAGGTTGCTTACTGCTGTGACACAAGGAGATTGCAGAGATAAGAGGACCATAGTTTCCTCTGCTGGGAATGAGTGTTGTCCCTTTCCCCGCCCAGTACAACCGAATCTCTAACACATGATCGCTCACATTAACAGCTTTCAATTCTTTCACAACAGGCTTCAGAGTCCCGTTAGCCTCCTCTTTGATGTTAAAATCACTCAAGAACAGTTTTCCCTAACACGAGAGGAAAGGGGAAAGAGGAAATGAGCTTCAATATGGCAATTACTGAAAACAATCATTCTGTTTTGACGTTTACCTGAACATAGACATCAAATATGCGTCTGCCCAGACCACTGTATGGTTCTTGGTCTGAAAACTGGATCTCCATAAAATTGAGTTTTACATTGTAGGCTCCATTTTCCAAGCAAAACGCATAATAAACAAGAGACAGAGCAGATCGGCGTGCGGTCTTATACACATCAGAAGAATCTCGAGATAGTGTCGAACTAGGTGTAATGAAGTAGATATCTTTCTCCGTATCATCATCTGGGAATTCACCTGTGTTACTGATTCCCCAGTTTTTGGAGTGATGATTTGTTGCGGCTGTGGTTTCGGTGTTATCAGCTTCATACGTGATTTTATATGAAGAGTTTGTAACAACTACGCTCTCTCCACCACAATTTATATGTAGTGCTTTCTGATCTACAATCCATAATGATTATCATCATCAATATAGAGAGATAATTAACCAGTTACAGCAGACTATATGCATGAAAGAAGCCCAGTTAAGACGACTCATTATGTACTTACATCTTGTGCAGTTACTTGGACCACCACATGGAAGAAGCCCAGTTCTGTATGACAAGACTACCAAAATAGTTACGCATCTCATTGGCACAAAATATCCAAGAGATTCCTAAGTTTTATATATTATTGCGCGGCATGATAGTTGCAAGATAAAACAGAAGAGTGTACTTACAAATTGTTCATCCAGTATGAACTCCGGTATGTGTTAATGTTACTGTTTCAACATAAAACTTCAACATGAGCAGGTTATTAACAATAAGATGTATCCTATCTACCAAGATTCCATGTTGGTACCTCTTTTCCTGGCAGCTAGACGACCATGTGAAATTGTTGTAAGAGAGATCACTGTGAGAAATAACCAAAACCGAATACCAGAAGATTAGTTTACATGAAGAAAATGATCTCAAGTCATATAGACAAGGGAAAGCCTAAACATACATATTAGATTTTCTATTGAGAAAACCACCAGATTCAACGTCTCCAGAGAGCCTATTTCCAGTCAAATAGCTGCAAGAACATTTTGAAAACGATACATACTTGATCATGATACTGCATTGAAAGGTTTGCAGCTATTCACCATTCTCAATCTCAGATTGTAGCACTCACATATATTTTAGTTTGGATCCTCCACGTACTTCACCAGTCAACAGAGTCAACTTGTTAAACGATAAATCACTGCAGCCAACAACATGTACAGACCATATTAATATATTTGGTACGAACGTGATTGTGTAACTATTGTCTGTGTTTTCAGATATAAATCTATAGATTACACAATCATTCATAAAGAGACCCTCTCATACATGCATATCCCTCTTACCTTTTTCTCTCGCTGTGATGTTTATTCATGTGCTTATACATGAGTCCATGGTAATCTAAATATACACATATAACTGATATATACAGTAAAAATAAGCATATAGATGAACATTGTCATGAGTATACGCATCTAACCATACACAAAGTCCCCAACAGGTAAATGTGGAGTATATTAAACTAACTAGTTATGACACGTTTCAAACTTACAAAGTCTTTTCACTAGCGATCAGAAAGAAACTTACAGAGTCTTTAGTTCTTCCAAATTCCAGATGAAAGAAGGAACCGAACCAGACAAACTCACATTCCTCAAAGTCCTGGAACAGGGACGGAGACATTATAAGTTTAAAAATGTTCAGATAGAATCAAGGCTCAAGAGTCAAGACGAGAAACAGATCACTGGAAAATAAATACAGGGTTTTGATGGCTTTGCTGGATATATTTGGGAAGACGTTAATCCCAGTCGTATCACTGATAATCCTGCATATGAATACATCGCTTAAAAAGATCAGTAATGTCGCGCAATTGTTATTTTGTTAATCAAACTGAAAGTAGTTTTAATTACAGGTTGGTAAGATTTTCTAGGCGGGCCATTTCATCAGGAATGGGTCCTCTCAGTCCACTTGCGTATAGATATCTGTTGATCATAGCCGACACAAGTTAGACGGTGGAGAAACATAAGCTATAAGAGAAATTACGATAGCTGGTGTAAGGACAAAGCTTACAGCTTTTTAAGCCGAGACCAGTTGCCAATAAACGCTGGGATAGGGCCATTAAAGTTATTGTCACTTACCCTACTGCATAATGAAAACAAACAAATAGTGTAAAGCTTTGTTAAAACGTATTCCATCTGTTTTATAATAAGTGTCATTTGGAGAAAATGTATATACAATGTATCTGGATGTATTAAACCCAAAATACATTCAAATACATCCAGTTACAATGCAGATACATTTTCTCCAAATGACACTTATTATAAAATGGAGGGAGTATATTTTGGACTACTTTATATCATTTCCTGACTATCTCTTCATATACTCAAGTGTCAAAGAAGTCCATACTACAAAGAAACAAGGCATATCTAACTTACAAATCCTTAAGGTTTACCAGTCTAGCAAGAGTGGTAGGAAGGCTTCCTGTAAACTGATTGGACCCAAGTTGCCTGCAAAACCCCAGTTTTTTTTTTCCATAAAGCAAAAGTTATTTGTGGGTTTGGGGAAAATGGTGAAGATGCAAAGAGTCTTACAATGTTTCTAGGCTGGTCAAGTTACCAAGCTCATCAGGAATGGTGCCAGAGAACCGGTTTGCTTCAAGCGATCTGAAATTTCCATCACATTAATTAATTAGGTGTAGGTAGCCAAAACTAAAAGCCATATAAAACTAGAGACAGAGACGTACAGGAGTTTCAGATTCTTGAAGTGTTGCAACCCAGTTGGTAAAGGCCCAGACAAATTGTTGGCGCAGAGCGAGCTGCGAGAAAGCTCAAAGGTCACTCTCGCGAGTCATCACGAAGAGAATGTATCGGAGGGAGAGAAGAGAGAGAGCTAACATGGAAGTGAGGTTTGGCAATAAAGCCCACTCCATTGGGATTGTTCCCGAAAGAGAATTCCGGCATAATTCGCTGCGAAGAACAGCAAAAACTCGCTTGGAACTGAAACTTTTCTCATAAAGAAATTAGCCAATGAGGGTTGGCTGACTTCTCTCCATTTTCAGAATTGAAAGCATTTCAAAACCGAGGAGAATCCCTAACCGTAAGAAACCGGAGCATTTCGAATATTATTTACTGTCAAAAAATCATCCTCGATATTTTTTGGGTGGTTAAAAGTTAAAACACAATGATACATACAGTATTGATCTTTTTTTGAACGACTTAAAAGGTAAAACAATAGTAATATTGATTTTTCTTTTCTGAAGGACTGAGTTATATTTTTTTTCTCTTTCAAAATCTTCCAAATTAATAATTGGCTTCGAAAAAAAAAAACAGATAACTAATTTGAGGTGGCTCAATGTTACAAAACCTTTCATTATGTGTATATATTCCAATATATTGATCAAAATCAATATTAAAGTCTAAAGATATTGACTACAACACCAACCAACCATCCATATTTTATATGCATTATTTATTATTATCACAAAAACAAAAACCCGAACAAAAATTTAAATAAACTATAAACAATCTCCGAGCATAAAAGAGCTTTTTCTAAATATATATTTTAAGAATATTATTAACTCTCGCGAATTTGCAAATGTACGTAGAAAAACGATCAACAATACTGTCTCTCGTATTATAACCAACCAGGTTCTAGCAAAATGAAGAAATCTCTAACCAATAATCGTTTTTTTATAAAATTTTGTGTCGTTGAACTCACATCGATTGGAGATATGGAAGCTTCGCAAACTCAGGTGGGAGTTTTCCTGGAAGGCTAAGGGTCTTGAGAACTCTGTTTTCGTTTAAATAATGCAACCAGAAATTAGAAAAACATATCGCAAGAGAAGGGTCTAAAGAAGACTGAATACATAAAACATAACAGTTAGTAGCACTCACATGTTTGTTATATGACAGGTGTTGTTGAAACAATCACAATAAATGGTGTTGTTTCTTTTCTCCGAATTGTTTGCTTTTTTTGCTAAAATTTCCTCCGAATTCTCAGTGTCCTGCGTTATCTTTAGGGTTCGTAAACTGCAAGGGTCTCCATAACTTAGGTTCAGTCCCTTGGCTCCAAGTGTAGTAGCTATCTTCTCTAGAGCTTTCACTGCGTATAGTATATACAATAATATGTGGAATTTTGACAATGATTTTATAAAATGTAAGCTTAAATAGTGATTATTCCCATACACTCATCTGGATGGAGAGCAGATGAAACATATGTTGTTGAAATTGCGAAGAAGCTCGTGATGATGGTAAAGAAGAGAAGAAGAACTGAGAACACGGTCAACATATCGAGATATCTTATTACACTGTATATAGTGATTCTTTGTATGTGTACTTGTTTCGTTAACTCACAGTATCATCATCACCCAGTAGTTATATAAGCATGGATATATTTTTAAGGTATGCAGCGTATGCTTAGGGTTTTCAATGGGTCGTCGGTGACTTTTGAGAGTAGCTAGGATAATTGATTGACCAAACCAATGCTAACAAAAGTTAATGAATGCTTGATGTTTCTTGTCCCCTTAATTGATGCAAGTTCATCAACTTAAGAGGCTCCACACTTACATTACATCTGCACGAAGGCGAACTATTCTCTGCAGTAATATTTTTAAAATGATATAGCCTCTTTACTTTGATCATATATAATATATCACTTCCAGGTTATTCCATTAACAAAATGGTATTTTGAAATTTTATTGGACAAAAATGCCTCCACTACACTGTTGGATAAGCAGAGGGATATACTGACGTTTAATTTGTTGACAAGCATCTCCAATTAAATTTTATTTTTGTCTTTAAACTCTATTTTTAGAAAGTAATCCTTTAATTTTAATATGTTTTTATTTTCTATCAAAACAAAATTGATATGTTTTATTTTATATTTAAATAAAATTATATTAACAATAAATAATTACATAATTAATTAAAATTAAAGAATGGAACTTAAAATATAATTACTTAAAAATAATATGACAAACAACAAATTAGAAATATATAATTGATACCAAAATAATTGCCATTAAAAAAACTTAACATATTCTAGTGTTTTAAGAACATGACATAGCATTAAAAAAACCTTAACATGACTATATGTGCTTTAATAAAATTTATTTTCATGGTAAATGTTTAATTTTAATAAAATCATAGTTTTATATAATTTTGTTTAAATTCTAAATAAATAGATAAAATTTGTATATTTGTAAAGTAAGAGATTTCATCAGAAATTATTAAATAAAAAAAGTAAACTATAATTGCAATATTCTTTTTTAGAATAGAAAATAGAGGTAACCATTGAAGGAAACCTTTTCTCTATTTTTAGATAACTCTATATTTTATTTTTAAAATAACTCTATATTTAGAGTAAAAATACAGATAACTATTGGAAATGGTCTAAACTAGAAGAAACTTAATAATAAACAAAATTTGGAAGCATTCAAAAGTTTTAACAAAAACTTTCGTAGATTTATGGAAATTTATACAAAAACATTTTGTAAGTGACAAAGTATGTCGATATATGCTGCACAACATATTTATACACTCGTAAGTACGTTGTTATTGTTAGCCAAATCGGTAAAATTGATCTAACCCATGACAATAGTTTCTAAAAGGTGATAACTATGAGTATGTGTGGCAAAAAATACTCATAGTTATCACTATGATCTTGAGAATTCTGTAATTGTTCAAATGCAACAGAAAAAAAAAACAATTAGAAAAGAAGAGAGTAAGAATCTGATAAGATAAGACATAATATTAACACTAACAATTGGTCATATGACATGTCGTGCTGTTGTTGAAGGTATATAAATATATAAAAACAACCAATGGTGATGTTCATCTCCAATTTGGAAACAACATCAATCTTTAGAGATTTTAATCGGCAAGGGTCTCCATAACTTAAGTTCAATCCGTTGGTAGTTTGGTACCATGTGTAATACTAATAGCTATCTCATACCGCATTCACTGCAGTAATATAAGAAAAAACAAAATGATCGATTATATCTGAAAATAAAATACGAATTCTAAATGTGATTTCTAGAATGTTTAGAAAATGACGATTATCTCATACATTCATCTGGATGAAGAGCTGATGAAGCGGCCGATGTTGTTATGATGGTGAAGAACCAAGATCTTATTGATTAAAACGGCACAATTATTTTAGGTATATAAAAAAAAAATCTTATTGAAAACTATTGATTAGTTCAAGATTTAATAAAAAGAGATATTTACGGAAAGAGACACTCTCGAATATTTTGTTGCAAAATAAGGCACTATATGGAGGTGAGGCACTTCGTTGTACTATTACGGTGTGGAGGGATGTTTTTGTCCTTACTGAAAAAAGTGGCTGTTTACCATGAGCTATGTTTTACCCGATGGCGGAGAACCGAGATATTGTTTGTCTTAATTCACGTGTCTATAGTTAACCCGATGTTGATTCGGTAGATTCAATTTGGACGATGTTTAGTTTGTGTAGCAGGCGTAGATTTTGTGTACGGAGAATCGGATGCGTATATTTTTGGTGAATCGATTAGCGGAAGGGAAGTTTGTGTACGGCACTTCATTGTGCAAAGTTTTTTGGGTTTGTAGTTTCTGGATATGTCGATGAGTTTGGTTTGTGTCTGCGGGCGATGTGTGGTTTGTGGATGTTACTAGTCTGGAGTAATAGAAAAGGTGATTTTGTGGATGGCTGTTGTGGATGTTAATAGTGTGGAGTAATGGAAAAGGTGATTTTGTGGATGGCTGTTGTGGATGAGGTTAATAAAACGCTGTTTGGGAGAGTAGTTAAGTATAACTATTATTGGAGTACGGTAATTTCGGTTAGCATGTGGGTGATGAAATAGTAGCTTATGGAATGGGGAATTTTGTACAGGATTGATGGACACATACTTAATAAGATGTTAAGAAACAAAGCAGTGGAGGATAAGTAGCATATCAAAGTCACACTAAAGTGTTCTGAAAGAAAGAGATACAACATTTTTGACGTGGTTCCACACAATCCACCAAGTAGAGGATATTACAAAAGAAAATATTGTGGTCGTGATGGATAACAAAAAGAAAATGTTCCCTTCAAGTACGGTTGGGGAAATAGAGAGGGAGTACAAGGTCCGTGTATAGGTCGAGGACGTATTGTTTGCAGAAGTTATCAACGTTGCCATCAGTCAAACCAAACATGTGTGGAGATGGATCGCTGTATAGATGCATCTCCCTGAACTATCGGTTGGAGTAAACATTAAAGCGGGCCTTAGAAAACCTATCAGTTGCAAACAAGCGGGTATGTAGGCGTGTGTCCCACCCATGATTGTGGCCAGACCCTGCACATTATAGTTAACGAGAAAGCAATTAGTGTGACAGAATTGGTGAGTGTAGTGGACAAGTCAGATGAATAAAATCTAGATGGATGCTTTATATGGACAAGGTACACAAATACTAAATGTGGATATGGGTGCTAAGCGGCCAGTAAATAAAAATACAACATGGATGCAATATGTGGATAGTGTGTGTGGATGCTAGTGGTGGATAGTGTATGTGGATGCCAGTGGTGGGCGGTGTATATGGATGGAATCTATGGATATTCGATGTGAGATATGAATAATCTAGATGGATGTTTTTTATGGATGAGGTAGTCGGATGAGGTGTGCGGCTATGGTTGCACATCGTCCACTAAATTAAACTGCACATGGATGCAATTTGAGGATGCCAATGGTGGATGCCAGTGGTGGATGCAATATGTGGATGCAATATATGAAAGAACTATGTGGATGTAGCCCATAGATGTATTAATTAGGAGATGGTGGATTTGAAATGACGAGAAAAAATCAAGTGAACGATGGCGGAGGAAGAAGAACAACAATTTACAGAGGTATTTTGGATTTGTAACTGTAATTGGGACTGAGTAATATGAGAACAGACTGGCGAAAGTAAGGGTGAGATTAAGAATCAAGTTTACAAAATCTTGGATGCAATATAGAGGATGTGTGATAAGATTGAACTAGAACAGAGGATACTGGATAAATCTGGGTAAAAATCAGCATTAATAATAAATTAGGCTTACCTGTCATTCCTAGATCCAGTTGGTATGAGGGTTTTGGCAATTAGGATTCCGAGCGCCGATATCAGATAATAATTAGAGAGATGTATGGGAAGATGTAAGGTTTGGTGACGTCGTAAACCAGAAGTTGCGACTCAGAAGAAGCGGATTCTACGCCGGCAGAGATGGAATTCATAGACTTCGTTTTCGCTACCGAAGTTTCTGATTTGTTACAGTAAGTAAAAAGGTAATAAATAGGATATACGAACCGTTGAAGAAAAACAGAAAACATATTAAAAGGGACATGAAAGTCATTTCAGCAAAGGAAAGTGTGTTAGTTTTTTTAAGTGTCTTATTTTATAATTAGAATTTGAAGAAGTGTCTCCATAATTTTCTCTAATAAAAATGATCATATGGAAACTTTTGATTAGTCCATCAATTATTTCCGGCCTATTAAAATCTTAAATTAGTTGAAACATTCAACTGACATGTATAATCGATGGAAAGAACACATAATTTCATTTATCTTTCATATCCCTCACATGACCTGTAGAAGTGAAATAGATATTAATCCGACCAAAACCAAAATAAATAGTGTCAATTGAATAATATGGGGAGACGTAGAAAGAGTCAAAGCAAATAAACATAAAATCACATCTATAAAGAAAGACCACTTATTATAAAGATACCCTTCAAAGCCACTCATTCTTGTACCTTCAATTGTATAGTCATGTCCCTAGAAAAAGAAGACTCAATAAACGCAATGCAATACTAATAGTCAAGTAGACTTATTAGGAAGACTTTTCGGATTTCAATTAATTTTCTTTTATTAGTTTTGTTTTTATATAGTGATATGAGTCCTCATATCCCCACACAAGATGAGACATGAGGGCTCAGACAGAGTGGTCACAGTTCATAATTAAGCAGATTCAGAGGTTGACGTAATCAACATGATACATAATCAAAAGACAAAGTCGATGTTGGAGCTCAAGTCATCTCCGTACTCTCCATAGATGATATGTTCTACCTCATTTTTTCCCCTTCAAGTATCTTCACAACTTCCAACATGCCTTGCCTCAATGTTAAAGACTCTTTGGAACATAAAAAATGAAACCTTTATCATTCGCCCTGCCTCCATCACATCGAACACGTACTCCTTCCAGCTTCGGATCTAGAATGGTTGCAAAATCCCATTCCTTCTGCAACACAAACGCTTGAAATTTAAAATCAAGAACCTTTTTACTTGAATAAAAGCCGAGCAATAAATTGTTCTCTATCGATTGCTACGATATTAGATCTAAATTTTAGAAGTTTAAACTTTTTATTCTTTATACCTCAAAATGATGGTAACAGATAATTGACAATAAAGCTTGTGACCTTGGAGTGTGAATTAGCGTCTATGCCTTTATAATTAAAGGTGAGCTTCTTTTAAAGATTTGAGTCTTTTTGTATTTTCTTATAGTTTTTCTGTAATGTTTATTGATGCTAAAACCAATGACAAGTGTACCAACTGACAGTTAAGACTGGCATTTAATAGTGATGTTTGTAAGGATATGTCTAAGATCTTAAGCTATAGATTGGTTTTCTGAAAGAAAACAAATTATCCCAAATCTGGGTATTCATTTTTTTGTTTTTGAATATATTTGCTTTGTTTTGTTTTGGTCGAAGAGTCTTAAAAGGCATTTGAAACTCAATTCTGAAAATGCTAGGATTCTTCTGGATTTTTTTTAAGGTGCAAAGAGGAAGACTATCTTTTCTTCCTTAGAAGGAAGAAAAAATGTTTTATTTGATATCAAAGAGACATTAGGGGTGTTGTGATGCAAAGAATTTGCAGAGACAATTGCTATGCAGCAATCTGATTAAAGATTCAATATTTACAATGAACACATATTGATGTATGTACAACCAGTGATTGCTTGAGTGTATTTATGTTCTATATATGGAACACTCTTTATTATATTAAATTACTTGCATCATAAGCTTCTCCTACGTATCTTAGATCATTATTTTTTAAAAACATCTATTTTGTAAATTGGATTAACGAAGATTCGTTTCTTTGTTAGAGTTACAACATTCTTTACCATGAAGAAATGTATGATGCGATGGAGTGATGATGATAATGATGACTTATCCAAAGAGTCATCATTATCTAATTCTAACACGGATAATATAGATACTGTGAGAAAGAAAAATGACAAGTAGAAAGTTAAGATGGTCTTCCAGACTATAAATCTTTGCAACAACACGGTTACAAAGCTTATGATCTTCCAGATGTCCTTTGCATGAGGAGGTCATGAGATAAGCAATGATCATGTGGAAGTGAAAGAGAGTTGTGTTTACCTCTTCAAATTCAATTCCTTCACTTATTAAAGAATTACTAGGTATTTACCCGCGCTAAGCTGCAGGATATTTTTCTAAATTATGTATATATTTTTATAATAAAAGTATTTTTATAATATAAATGAGTATTGTATTTATTTTTTTATCAGCTAAAGTTATTTATATGTTTTAAATCTGATAAATATTGTATATTTTTTTTATTTTTCAAAATTATAATTTGCTATTAAATTTGTTTAGCTAACTAATTATAAATGTATATGTAATAATAAAATAATACATTTTTAGTACATTTATGCTAATGGTAAATATAATCTATTTTCTCCAATAAATTACCACTTGATCCTCCTTTGTAATTATATAAAGCAAAATGCTATTTTTAAAAAAGATTTATTAATTAATAGGATTATCGTGAATTATAAAATTTATTTATTTATCAAATATTTATTATAAACATATATTTTTAAAAATACCAAACTATAATCAAAAACATTCATATCAAAATCATTGTCATCGCTTTAAAACTAAATAGAAAATTCTGTTTAAACTCTTGAAATAACGTTTTAGTTAAAGTTAAATAATTAAATATTGGTTATTGTAATATACTTTAATTTGGAAATTTAGCATAAAGAAATTTCATCTTCTTACAAAAACTGAAAAATAGCATTTCTCGTCAAACCCAAAAAAAAAAAATTTCATGAAACTGAAAAATCGCCTATTCCCGCTAAAACCAAAAAAAATTATTTTCTCGTCAAACTTAAAACTTAAAATTTCATTTTCCCGCAAAAATTTGTGTTTTTCGCCAAAACCGAGAAATCACATTTTTTCACTAAGACAAAAAAATTTCATCTTCCTGCAAAAGCAAAAAAAAATTGTATTTTCCCGTCAAAACCAAAAAAATTATTTTTCTGCAAAAACCGAGAAATCGTCTACTCCAGCCAAAACCAAAAAAAAAATCATTTTTCTCGTTAAAACAAAAATCACGCTTTCCTACCAAAACAGATAAATTACAATTTTCCGCGAAAACCAAAAATTGCATTATCTCCGAGAAATTGTGTTTTCCCGCGAAAAATAAGAAATTGTATTTTACTGCGAAAACTAAGAAATTGTATTTTCCTGCGAAAGCCAAAAAATCATTATTCGTCAAAAACTGAAAATTTGCATTTCTCATCTAAACCGAAAAATTGCTTATTCCCGCCAAAACCTGGAAATTTTGTTTTCCCATCAAACCGAGAAATTGTATTTTCCGCCAAATTCATTAAAATGCAATTTCCTGTGAAAACTAATAAATCACATTTTTGCGTGAAAACCAATAAATCGGTCAAAAGTCGAAAATTTGCATTTCCTATCAAAACAGAGAAATCGCATTTTTCGTCAAAATTGAAAAGTTGCATTCCGCATCATAACTGAAAATTGCATTTTTCCGTCAAAACTAAGATATTTTGTTTTTCCGTCAAAATCAATTTTTTTTTTGTTTTCTCACCAAAATCTAGAATTCACATTTTCCCGCCAAACCTGAGAATTTGATTTTTTTTGCCATAACCGAGAAATTATGTTTTGCTACCAAAACTGAAAATCACATTTTCCTACCGAAATCAAGAAATCCCCAACTCCCGGAAAAACAGAAAAATTTCTTATTCCCGCCAAAGCCAAGAAAATTTATTTTTTCGTCGAAGCATGGTTGATGCTGAACCTACACTTTTTTGAATCATATACGTCTCTGTCAAATAAACAGATATCTATAAATTTTTTATTATAATTTATTTATTGTTATTTATTATTTGGATTTAGGTTTGGCAAAAAATAGAACAAATTTTTTTTATTTGTTGTTATTTATTATTTGGACTTAAGTTTGGTAAAAAATAAAATAATTTTTTTATTATTTGCTGTTATTAATTATTTGGGTTTGTGTTTGGTAAAAAATAAAATAAAGATTAATAGAAAAAATATTTGGGTTTTTAAAGGGTTTAAGTTTAAAATTTAAAAATAAGTAGGTGAGTTGTATTGATAAAATATTTGATTGGTGATTATTTTTGATGAGGTATCATGTTTATAAAGCTTCAAAAAGCTGATGTGTCAAGCTATGGAAAGACATGAATGTTATTGTTGTGTTGATATAAGATTCATTAGAATTGTGTTTACCTCTTCAAATTCAATTCCTTCAGCTATTAAAGAATTATAAAAATGTTTTTTATATGTAGACTTCTCTTCGAATATAAAATTGACGTCACTAAAAAAAAATATTGGTATTGAAACTAAGTTGTTGTATATAACTTAACAATAATAATGATTGTTCCACCACACTCATTTTCTAACGGTTTGTCCAATTTTAACGTTATATGAAGAAAAAGTCTCATTTTCCTTACTAATTTTTTTTTAAAAAATAAAACCAGTAAATATGAGTGTTACCAAAGAGTGAAAATATATTATTCCTAATTAATTAAGAATAGTATACTTAAATATTATAGGAAAAAATTCAAGACTATAGACATTACAATGCGAAATCCTTTTCATACCAAACATATATAATATATATGAATAAAAGCACTAGAGCTCATAAAAACAGAGCAGACAATATAATTTGATAAACATGAGCATAACCGGTTTTCTATTTACGCAATTACATAAACCAAACTGAAAATATAGATAGTAAATTTCACAGATAAATAATAGAAGAAAGTTGAGAGAAAAATATATAAGTATATATGCATTAGACTATGTTAAGAAAGAAAAACATAACTTACAAAGAAATTAAGTGGAGATTAGAGTCAGAAGCTATAGTCGAAGTGTACGTTAGTACTTCTAATTTAAAAAATAACAGAAAAAGCAAAAAATTTAAAAATAATTCAAATTATACAATAACAGTTTCAAATATTAATGAATAGATGAAAGGTACATCAGAATCTCAGCAATAGCTCAATTATTTTGTTGATTAACATCTTCAATAATAGAGGAACTTCGAATAAATAAAAAATGAATAAGATTCATTGGACTATAATCTGTTGATGACGTAACCTCTCTAGTGAGGATAATAACATCGTTCATAATTTCTTATGATGAATCTATATAACAATTTGTTTTTTTCTTGAGAATATATCTTCAGAAAGAAATTCTTCAATTGTAAAACCATACTAAAATCTTACAGCCTCTATAGCTCCTTCTTGGATAATATCAGCATCTACTTCGACCATTCCTTCTTCCATTCAATTTCTGCTTGTTCCTCAACTTTGAAACCGAAGGATGTAAATATAAAATCTAACACTACATATTAAAAAGATGTTTCCATTAGGGAACCCGACAAATCACAAACTAATAAGATTTTATAATACAAAACCAATAAAAAAAATCAGAAATAACCAAAATCAGAGTAGAAGGAGAAATCCTCAGAACCACCGTGTCTAATGACGCCACTTCCCGAAGACGTCATCCTTGACATCTTAGCGCGTGTATCAAGATTCGACTATCCAATTCTCTCCTTCGTCTCAAAGCACTTCCGATCACTCGTTGGTCCCCTGAGTTATACGCAAGGCGATCTTTGTTGGGCTGCACCGAACCCTGTCTCTATGGTGTTCGCTACGACAGCTACTTGGTGACCATTTGTATATTCTCCGCCGAAAAGCCAACAGAAATAGCCGCTTGGTCCTTATCCCTGGGCTTGCCGTTATGCCTTTAGGAATCTTTGTCGTAGTGGGATCAAGGATATATGTGTTTAGTGGAACTAACAATTACAATTTGACAACGAGTGCGCTAACCATCGATTGTAGATCTCACACGGCGCAACCTCTCCCTATCATGCCTATACCCATGTCTGGTGTTCCAATCGCTTACATCATATCTACGTAATTGGAGATTGCCATTATTATGACTAGAAGAAGGCGATGGTGGTGTTCAATACAGAAACACAAACGTGGGAGAAGCCTGCGATGAAAAGGCTAGACATCGAGCTAGGTAACACGTATTGTGGCTGTGTGGTGATGGCTGGTAAGCTGTACACGAGGGATTCCGATAACAGCTTTGTTTACGATCCAAAGGAAAATAAATGGGAAACCGACGAGATGCTGAATTTAAAGGATTGGTACAATGCGTGTGTCATCGATGACGTATTGTACTACTACGATTGTGTTGAGTTTAGTATAAGAAGGTATGATCCAAAGCAGAGGTGTTGGGGAGTGGTAAAATATGTGGAAGAATTGTTGAAGAAGAAAGAATATCGACACATTAACATTGTGAGTTACGGTGGGAGAATGGCTTTGTTTTTTAAAAGGAGATGGAAAATCATGAGAGATGTTTGTTTAACCATCCATTCATCTTCATGGCTTCTCTGCGATTGATTTTCTCTTTCTCTGTTTTGATCCATCTGCTCCGAAATGTAACATTGGCGGGAAGAATGCAGAAAATTGCTAGCAGGTAAAATTCAGTTCTTAAGGAATCTGTCTGTTGGCCCTAGCCGCTTCTCTCTCAGGCCCGAACCCCAAGGTTCCACCGGGACGAGCCCAGGATGAACTCCAGCCACCACCGACCCTCCTCCGCCCAGATCTCCATCTAAAGGACGCTGCTCCCCCCTCCCCCTCGGACTCTTTTCAGCCGAGCCGGAGTTTATAGATGGGAGTTTTGCCCTTCTCCAGCTTCCGGTGGACCTCCTCTCGCCTATATGACTCTTTTGCTGAACTCTCCTTGCCATGAAACTTCTGGTCCTCTTCGAATCTCCATAGATCCGGTGAAGGAAGCCTCGGATCCAGTTCTGTTCATGATGGCTACTCCTTCTGAAACTCAGCCGCCGGACCCTCTAACCCATCAGTGATGACGAAGCTTATTTCGTCAAGGCCAGATCCAATGAACCAGTTCAAGTTTTCTTTTCCGTTAGCAATGGCGGTAACCTTTCAAGCTGAGCAAGCTTCTTTTTCGTGTAATATGGTTTCAGTTTGCCTATCTTCTTCTTTGGTGAAGAACCTTTACTCTTTTATGGAGAGACTTTACTCCTTTGTGGAGATTTCACTATTAGCATTCTGCTTTGTCAGATCTATGTTTCCAATCTTGTCCTCTTGCTTTTTCTTAGCGTTTCCGGAGGTTGAACTACTGTTATTCGAGAAATTATTATCTCCTGTGATTTTGGTTCTATTGGACTTGTTCTGTCTTGCTATTTCCTTTATGGAGCAGTTTATTTTTCCAAAATGTTCACTTGTGATAAGTGATTTGGATGTTCAAGGCTCGTCGGTATTGCAAGGATCTTCCTTCCGGCTTGGTCTTTCTTCTGCCCTTGTTGCAGAATTTGAAGTACGTTCGAGTGCTGTGGATGTATACAGTCAAGAAATTCATAAGATCTTAGCCTATTTTCGATTCTTTATGATTTCTATTGATGAATTGTATTCTCAATCTATCTCTTGTTTAGCTTTTTCTTTTGGAAAATTTTTTGGCAGTTTTGCTTCATTTGTAAACCCTCCTCCGTTTCTGGAGTTTGAGTAGCTATGCTACTTTTTAATGAATTAGTGGACCAAAAAAAAAAAAAGGAATCTATCTTTTCAATGCGGATAAAATTCAGTTCTTAAATGAAGCTAGTACAAGAACCGCATTGATCGATGGAACCTGGTCTCCTTCTAGACAAGAACGGCATTGATTGATGGAAAGCCACATGCAATTAGAAGGAGATATATGTGTAATGGGGAAAGATTAAAATTTGGGATTTGATAAGAACAAATAGATATTTCATACATTAATATACATACAACATCTCAATACATAGAACAAAACAATAGTTACATCCACCTAAAATACTTAAAATTATCCTACTGTGATCATAAACTGTTGAGTGAGCAAAAAGGAGCAATTTGAGTTAGAGAAAACGTAAAGAGTCCATAATTTACTTTCATCCATTAATATGAAACATACAACATCTCTAAGACATAGAACAGAACAATAGCTAAATTGAAGTCCCTTAGATCTCGTAGACCTAACCCTCCATCGTTCTTTGGTTTGGTGATCTTGTCCCTTGCTACCCTCAAGGAATTTTGTGCATTTCCTTGTCTAAGAACCAATACACCAAAGAGAATAATATTATTTCGTTGTGGGTGTATTAAGTTGAGTTTTAAGAAAATTACATATATTGGTCACAAAAATTATTAATAGATACATGCGAAAATTACATATATTAGTATGTACTCATTTATGATTTTTTTTTTGTTTTTTAAATATTAAGTAAAAAAGAATAATATTAAATCAGGGCATCAGACTCGAGCTAAAAGGAAAATAGAGTTCTGCCCGAGATTGGGTGATATGGAGAAGGAGCAATCCTCAGGACCACAGTCTCTGATGACGTCACTTCCCGAAGACATTATCATTGACAACTTAGCGCGAGTACCGAGATACAACTATCCAACTCTTTCCCTAGTTTCTAAGCACTTCCGATCACTCGTTGCGTCGCCTGATATAACCGGAAAAACAATGATGACCGTTGGTATATTCTCGAAAATCGCCGCTTGATTCTTATCTCTTCGCTTCCCGCTACACATTATGGTAATGGAAGCTTTGTCGCAGTGGGCTCGAGGATATATGTGTTTGGTGAGATTAACAATGACAATGGGACAACGAGTGCGTTAACCATCGATTGTAGATCTCACACGGCGCAACCTCTCCCCACCATGCCTGTGCCAATGTATGATACAATCGCTGACATAATTGACGGGAGAATCTATGTAATTGGAAACAGCTACTGTGATGATGGCCGGAAGAAGGTGATGGTGGTGTTCAATACAGAAACACAAACGTGGGAGGAGCATGGGGTTATAAAGATAGACATTGAGCAAGGTTACATGTATTATGGCTGTGTGGTGATGGCTGGTAAGCTGTACACGAAGGATTTCGATAACAGCTTTGTTTACGATCCAAAGAAAATTACATGGGAAACGGACGAGATGCTGAATTTAAAGGATTGGCACAAAGCCTGTGTCATCGATGACGTATTGTACTACTACGATTGTGAATTAAGAGCGTATGATCCAAAGTAGAGATGTTGGGGAGTGGTGAAAGGTGTGGAAGAATTCGTGGCTAAGACAGGACATCCATGGTGGTCAAAGGCTACGAATTACGGTGGGAGACTGACTTTGTTTTTTGACCCTAGAAAAGAAACAAGATATCGCTGGAAAGACGTCAAGGAGGAGAGATTTGGGGTCAACTTGAGTGGTGCGATATTGTTGCGCCTGGAAATTTTGTCTTGTTGAAAAAACTCTAGCTGTTATGGTTTAATGCAGGAACTATATCTCTTGTGCTTTTATTTTTTTTTCTATTTTTTAAACTGTTTTGTCCAAACTCTTAGATGTGAGATCTCATTTCATTACTGATTTTGTTGCTGCAAATAAAAATAGTAGAATTTGAGAATCCATAATGTTTAGACTATCTGTTGGCCGTAGGTTTTTAAGTAATATTTGGAGAGTTGTTTAAGTATTTTGATTTTCATGTTAACTACATGCTTAAAACATGTCTTTAAGATGATAAATTAACCCTTAATACATGCATCAGTTTATCTTCTTATCCCTTTTCTGTTTCCACAAGAGATGTTGTACGCGTCGGGTGATATTTTTGTAATACATTATTGGAACACATACATATTGCACTTTTAACCAACCATGTGGAAGAGGTTTCCAAGTCTTTGTACTTGCGTTTCTCTAATTGACCGAATACGTATTTACACTCTCTCAGCATAATCAGATACTAACATAGTCAGAATCTCTCTGTTCCATTCTCTGTCTCCATATAGCAAATAGCTCTTTGCACCTTTGGATCATGATCAAAGTATATAGAGGGGTGGACATTTCCGGTTTAGTTATGGGTTTGGTTCGGTTCGGGATGGAGTCGAGTGAATCAAATCGATCTTGTATAGCATACAAAAAGCCCGACTAAATTGGCCCATTTTCACCTAGGGTATTTTGTGTCTTTAACTGTTCTACATGTACACCTTGGACGGCAAGAAATTAGAAGGAACGAAGAACGAAAGACCGCAGTTCGGAACTCGCTGAAACTCAATCATCTTTTCTTTTTCTTGAAGCGAATTAGGGTTTTAGTGATTTTTTTTCCAAGCTGCAAAGTAGATTCTCTATTCTATTCTCACATACTTCAAACTTCAACCTCGGTAGAGGTATTGCACAAACGTCCCACGGCGGATTGGGTATTCTCTTCTCTCATTACTAAGCCTGTAAACCCTTCTCTCTAACCTCACCCAAATCCCAGAGTCTATCATCTCATCGCTTGTTGCCTCTATCACATTGTAATCTCTTTCTTCGTGTTTCACTCTTTTGCGTTTAACATTATTCCAGACCCTTTTGTCCGTGACCGAATGGCAGTCCACCCTGTACATTCCTCTAAAGTTGGTGTTCACCGTCGTCGAGTTTACAGCCCGGAACAGCTGGCGGTTATCGAAAAGAACGGTAAGTTCTGCGGCGGTCAACCACCTGACTTGTCCCACCCTCAATACTGCATCGACCTCTGGATTAACAAGAAATGAAAACATCATTGCTTAGAAGATTCAACATCTAAAAGCTTAGAAAACCAAGTTACAACATCTATAACCAGTGAAGAACATCTATAACCTGTACAAACTTATCATATCAAACTTGGGACAAAACTATTCAATATTTGACCATCTCAATCCATGTTCTATTCCCAAAACTGTTTATTCATCCAGATCGAGATCGTAAACAAGATCTATATATCGTATCAAACATAGGATAAAACTATATAAAATTTGACCGTGATCACATCTCAATCCATTTGTTCTATTCCGAAAACTGTTTATTCATCGAGATCTAACCTTGGATTCCGGTTTGCATATCCATCATGTTTTGGGGCTCCATCACGTTATTCAGAGAGAGAGAGAGAGAGAGAGAGAGAGAGAACGACGAATGGATCAACGGGCGTAGATATTTAACAATATATATATACAAGGGATACGTAACCGTAGATACAACTTTAGGACAATAATGGAATGTTAACATATTATAAGATACGAGAATATATATACTAACATATTGACATACTTGCCCTCTTCTCTATTTCTTTATTTACGTCTAGCAAGCTTTTCTAGATTAAGCCTTTGCTTATGTCTCTATCTATTTCTAAAAACTGTATGACTTCACTGTCCTTTCACAAAAAAAAAGAAAACATATTGACATACTATTCCTTAATAGATTTACGCTTTAGATATTCATGCCTGATGGGTGTAGTAAAAGTCTCACATCAGAAGTTGGAAATTGGTTCTGAGTTTGACTGGCCTATATCCCTTAGATATACACATATTTTCCAACTTACAAAATATATATAACAATTACAGTCTTAAAGTAATCAAAACTTTCGATTGATAAATGTACAATTAGTTTTCCAAATTATTTGGACTAGAATATGGATACGTAGTACGTAGGAAGAGTCGAAGCAAATAATAAACGTAGGAAGATCACATCAGTTATCAGTATATACGTATAGATTAAAGAAAGCATTCAAAGTCGTGTTCTCATGAGAAAGAGTCAAAGTAAACGCAAATTGTCAAGTACTGTACGCTTGTTAATTAGAAGGACATTTTGGATTTGAGTTTCGTGTTATGAGCCTAGTTTCACACTTCTCTCCAGCTAAATGTTGCCCACAACAACAACCCTAATAGAGATAATCGGAGGGTTTACACTTACAGCTTAGTGTCTATTAAAGAAAACGGACTCGGTACTGAGTGGGTACAGATCATTAGCAAATTCAGAGGATGACGTAATCGGCACGGCACAACCAAAAGACAAAGATGAATTCCCCGTTTCCGGCGATTGCTTGAACCGCAAGTTTGTTTGTGAATAAAAGTTCGTTTCCGCATATGTCTCATTAAGTCGAGTCTGTTAAAAGATACACATGTCTTACATAGTGATTATATAGAAGGGGTTCTATATTGCTTGCAAACTTAGATTTGGTGATCTTTTTACCTGCATTTTCTGTGAGTGTAGGGTAAAGTTGCAAATTAATTAATACATTGATCTAATTAAATGTTGCAAATTAATGGGTGGGAATTGTGATGATTAAATGTTGATCAACTTCTCTTTCCAGTCCATATGATGCCATCCGAGTCAAACACAGAGAAAGAAAACGATATAAATGATTTTGCAAGCACTGGAGATTTTAATAAAAAAAAAGATAAAACTTGAATTGGAGTTTAGCATACATTCATAGAGATACCGTTGTGTTTGGATCTATGTAAATTGAGCTAGTAATAAGATTTAAGACAACTTTACTGATATGACTATGTAGCTAACTCTAAGATACCTTCACATAGCTTTCTTCGCACGTAAGATAAAAGGAAAGTCGCACAGCTTTTGTTATTACAGTGACGACGAAGAAAATTCCACCGTGGAGTTTAGGATCGCGGAATCTGGGTACGATGTGTAGAGTTCATTACCCGAAACAGATGATTTCATTGTCGTTGTCGTTTGATCAGTCACACCAGACATGGTGCTCGAACTACCATGTCTATCAATGTCTTTCAGCATTGAGAAGCTCCAGTTGTGTCCATATACAACAGGATCTGACATAACCTGTGTTATTTCAATCTCTCCCTCAAGCATTTTCACAACCTCGGACATTGTTGGCCTCAAGGAAGGAGATGAGTTTGTGCAAATTAGAGCAACTTTGATCATCCTCACTGCTTCTGTGCTATTGAAATCACCTTCGAGGATCGGATCTATTATTTCCATTATGTCCCCTTTCTGTTGCTTTGTCAGCGCCTGAGATTGATGTAAACACGGGTTTCACTACACTTGTGGAAATCGACCACACAAAGATTCAACTATATAACTGTGAATCAAGACTTAAAGAGAAAGAAAAGCTCCATGGTTACCCAATTGATAAGGGAGACGTGATCAGCACCTCCCTTCTGTTTAGTATTACTCCTCCCACTAACAATTTCCATTGCCACAACGCCAAAGCTGTACACATCTGCTTTCTCTGACAAGTGACCCCATAATGCATATTCTGGAGCCATATATCCTCTGCATCATAAGAGAAACCAAGACTGAGTTATATATCTTTGGCCACGGTGAGTTTTTGGTTTTATAAGCTACTCATACATGGTTCCCGCAACTTTGGTGCTAATGTGAGTGTGTTCTTCTTCATGGAGCCTGGCCAATCCAAAGTCAGATATCTTTGCATTAAGGTCAGCGTCTAGGAGCACATTTGTCGTTTTTATGTCACGGTGAACCATCCTGATAGCGGATCCTTCGTGGAGGAATTCAAGCCCTCTTGCGATTCCAACACAGATCTTTTGTCTACCTGGCCAGTCCAATATCGGGGAGCTTTTTCCTACCATTATGGAGTAATATTACTTTACATGTGGTAACATATTATGTACACTTGAATTAGACTCAAAACCTAAAGAAAAGCAGAACGACTATTATTTACCAGACGACAACGCAAGAGCAAGGGAGTTATTTTCCATGTACTCATACACGAGCAACAGTTCATTCTTCTCGACACAGCATCCATGAAGCTTGACAAGGTTTGGATGGTTCAGGCCAGAGATCATTCCTATCTCATTAACAAACTCTCTGTTTCCTTGGCATGACTTGGCAGAAAGCTGCTTCACTGCTATGATTGTTCCATCCGGCAGCTCTCCCTGCATTATACGTTCCTCTCATATCAGAAACCAGAGACAAGCATTTATTCTCAAGAATACACGTTTGAGAAGAACTTGGCATCTGTTTTATCATACTTTGAATACGGATCCGAAACCTCCTTCTCCAAGTTTATTGGCTTCATCAAAATTGTTTGTTGCAGCTTGTAGTTGCTTCCAAGTAAAGCAAACCGTTTGCAGACCCTCGGCTCTCAAATCTACGTGATCATGTTCCCAAGAGAAAATCATTAATAATTATAAAACCAGAAATGGATTCATACATAGCAAACTGATACCTCTTTCTCTAGTGTCATTGTCTCCTCTGCATCTTCTGCGAGCATATATTCCCAAAGCCAGTAGCATAACTGCTACCAAGGCACCCACTGCCCCCAAAATTAGTGGATAATTCATGTGATGTTTTATTTTCTCCGCTGCAAATGAGACACTAAAAGTGTAAATATATATACATGATGCATCATATATAAACCAATCTACAGAGACATTTTTAACAAAGTAGTTTTTCTTTGTCTAAGAACCTCCGCAACGTGGATCCTGACCTGAAATTTTGAAATATGAATATTATCATTAAGTGGCAGGAAGATGAAGGTGAAACACCAAGAAAAGCACCCATTTACGAAAACACGTAATAATCTGCAGTGAAATACTCGACATGAAGAAAGTGGGCTGCTCAGTCAGAGACTTGAGATTGTCGAATTATTTGGAGTTTCAAAGTGTACTTACTGTGACACAAAGAGATTGCAGAAATAAGAGGACCATAAACTCCTCTTTTGGGAATGTTGGTTGTTCCTTTTCCACCCCAGTACAACCGAATCTCTAGCATATGATTGGTTACATTCGTGTTCACTTCTTTCACAACAGGTTTCAGAGTCCCATTAGCCTCTTCTTTGATGTTAAAGTCCTTCCAGACCAATACTCCCTAACATGGAACAAAAACGAACAAATGAAAAAACTTCAATCTTCAACATGGTTGATTTTACAAAGATGATCAAAGAAACCAGTTATTCGATACTATAGTGATGCTTTACCTGAACATAGACATCAAATATGCGCCTAGCCAGACGATTGTATAGTACTTCGTCTGAAAACTGAATCTCCATAAAATGGAGTTTCACATTGTAGGTTCCATTTTCTAAGCAAAACGCATAATAAGCTAGAGAGAGAGCAGATTGACGTGCAGTCTTATAAAGATTAGCAGAATCTCCAGATAGAGTTAAAGTAGGTGAGATGATGTATTTATCATTCGGCAAGTGACCTGTGTTACTGATTCCCCAGTTTTCAAAGTGCTGATTTGTTGCGGCTCTGGTCTCACTGTTATCAGATTGATAAGTGATTTTACCCCTAGAGTTTGTAACAGTTACATTTTCTCCACCACAATTTATATGTAGTGAGCGCTGATCTACAAAATCAATAATGATGATCACTGTTAACAGAAAAACTAGAGATGTCCGGTTTTTTTAAACGGGTCAATAGGTACTTACAGCTCATGCAGTTTACTGGACCAGCGCATGGTAAAACTCCAGTTCTGTAGAACAAGAAGATGAGAATATTTAGGCATCTGATCAGCACTAGACATTCGTAAGCAAGAGATTACTGAGTTTAGGTCATTCTTGTTGCTCAATTGTTGCAGCATAAAGTAGAAGAGTGTACTCACAAATTGTTTTTCAAATATGAGCTCCGGTATGTGTTAATGTTACTGATTCAACAGAAAGTGAGAACATAGACTTTAACATAAGCAGGTTATAAACAAATAGATAAAAGGTGTTTCCTATCTACCAAGATTTGATGTTCGTACCTCTTATCCTGGCAGCTAGATGACCATGAGAAATTGTTATAAGAGAGATCACTTTGAAGATTCACCAAGTATAAAAAGAAACCAACAAAATGATAAGCTGACATGATGGAAAATTGATCTAGCCATACAAAAAACAAGTGAAGGCCTGAAACGTACAGATTATTTCTTCTGTCGACGGAAAGACCAGATCCAACGTTTCCAGAAAGCATGTTGCCAGTCAAATAGCTGAAGAAAACATATTGAAACAATACTATTCGAGCATGTTTCTGTGGTATTCACATTAAAAAGTCTTCAACTCTTTAAAATTTGCAATCTCCGTTTATAGTACTTACGTATATTTGGGTGCTTTTTCTAGTGCTTGAACTTCACCGGTTAACTTGTTATACGACAAATCACTGCAGCAACGTACATGTAAAAATTAAGTGGATTTTTGTTGGTACCGAAGTAATTGTATATATCTTGTACATGTTTGCAAAGATTAGGTTCCAGAAAGTTTTTCTCCCTACGATGTTTTTTCATATAGTTTACCAACAGTCTGTGAAAATCTCTAAATTCTCAAAGAAGAGTATGCTCCAGAGCATATAACTGGAAAATTTCATTGTATACGCAAACTCTCCAGCAGAAAATTGTGGAACATTATTATACAAGCTAGTTTCGATAAATTTCAAACTTAAAATTTCTTTTCACATATCACTGAAAAAAAGGCACTTACAGAGTCTTTAGGGCTGGCTTATACCAGATATAAGAAGGGATTGGACCAGACAAACCAACATTCCTCAAAATCCTGAAAAACGGACAGAGACTTTAGTTTGACATTTCAAATAAAATTCAAGCACCAAGACGAGAAAGGGGAAAATAAATACAGGACTCTGAGGACGTTGCTGGATATATTTGGAAAGGAGTTTATCCCAATTGTCTCAGTAATACTCCTGCATATGAAGATAATGCTAAAACATGAGTCTTGTTTCAATTATCCTTTTTGTTAATCTATTTAAGGTGGTCACTTTACAGTTCAGTAAGGTTTTCTAGGCGGGACACTGCATCAGGAAGAGGTCCTTTCAGTCCACTTGCGTATAGATCTCTGTTCATCATAACGGATACAAGTTAGACGGTACATGAACAGAAACAATAAGAGAAACTAAAATTAGCAATGAAGGACAAGCCTTTGAACAAAAAAAAAAAGCAATGAAGGACTAGCTTACAGCCTTTGAAGACCAGACCAGTTGCCAATATATGTTGGGATGGTACCATTAAAGTTATTGTCACTTACCCTACTGCACAATGAAAACATACAACTAGTTCAATCTAGGTGCCATTAAAACAACTTTGAAGAAGTCTAGTTTAACATGTTTGCAATTCCAGTAACAAAGGCAAAAAGCTTTTGAAAAATTCCAGTTCTGAGTAGAGCAACAACTTACAAGTCCTCAAGTTTAACCAGTTTAGCTAGAGTGCTAGGCAGGCTTCCTGTAAACTGATTGGACCCAAGTTGCCTGCAAAGTCCAGAATGTCAAAATCAAAAAGATTCTTGTGGTTATTGAAAAAAAAAAGGTTAAGATGCAAAGAGAATCTTACAATCCTGTAATATTGGTCATGTCACCAAGTTCATCAGGAATCGGACCAGAGAACTGGTTTGCTTCAACGCCTCTGAGAATTTCAATCACACTTAATAAGTAAAGGCACATTCGGTATATGTATGTAACTACAGGTGGGCAAACAACTTGAGACTTACAGGAATGTCAGATTCTTGAAGTTTTGTAACCCAGTTGGTAAGTTCCCAGACAAACGATTTGCACAGAGCGAGCTGCGAGGAAAAATCAAAGTTATAATCACAAATCATGAATATATATATATATATATATATATATATATATATATATAAGAGTGAGGGAAGAGAAGAGAGGAAGATGCGAGAGCTCACATGGAAGTAAGGTATGGCATTGAAGCCCACTCCATTGGGATTGAGCCCGAAAGGTAATTTCGGCACAAGTCTCTGCATTCAACAGAAGAAAATCACTATAAACTTTTCTCATCGCTTTCAATGGTGTTTTTGCAAAGAGACTATGAAATCATTTTTTTTACATTTATCATCATTTCATTTCTGAAGAGGAGAATATACCAAACCGTAATAAACCGGACAAGTTCGAAAATGAACTGATTCAGATTTTGGTTTAGTCCCAAACTCGAATTAGGATTTACGAATTCCCCAATTCCTATTAACTGAACCGAGAGCATAACCAGAATTATAAATATGAACTATTTGTGATAATTCAAAAATAAATCCAAAATTATAAATATGAATTATTTGTGATACTTCAAAAATAAAACCAAAATTATAGGAATTTTGTAATAGTTATCACAAATAATTCATATAACCCAATTCCTATCAACTGAACCGAACAAAACCAAAATAATTCAGAACTTACATCGATCGTAGATACCGAAGTTTAACCAACTCACGTGGGAGTTTTCCCGGAAGATTGAGGGCCTTGAGTGTTCTGGTAATCACACGAATCTTTGGTTTTATGGGGAAACGAAATTAAAATCAGAAAATGAGAGAAAGGTCAAAAGAACAAGACTCACAATTCTGTTATATGGCATGTCCTGCGATTGTTGTGAGTACAATCACAAGTAATGGTGTTGTTCATCTCCGGATTCGGAACAAACTCAATCATTAGACTTCTTGAATGGCACGGGTCTTTGTAGCTTAGGTTAAATCTCTTGATACCAAGTGTAGTAGCTATATCCTCTAACGCATTCACTGCATTAATACGACACTGATTATTTAAATGACTGTGGTTTTATAAGAATCTTTGAAAAAAACGGCGATTCTTCTCATACATTCATCTGGATGAAGAAGAGCTGATGAAGCGGCCGATGTTTTCAGAGTTGCGATGAAGCTTGTGGTGATGGTGAAGAGCAGAAGAAAACTCGACATTTTTATATGATTATTTGTACATTTATTTGTTTGGTTAATCACAGTATACAATCCCAGTACTTACTTATATTGTATAATGTTCAAGAAAACTGTTGTTGATATTTTCTTAGGGTTTTCATGGGTCCTCGACGACTATAGAAGAGAGACTAATAACACCTACGAGCTGACAAAAATTGATTGATGTTGATGTGGAAATTGAAGTGATGAATACAGTAGAGTGGTCCATCCATGCTTCATGTTTCATGCCTCCTTAATCCTTATGTGTTTGGTTGATTAATGTTAAAAGCTCAATTAACACAGTGGACGAAGTTGAACTATTCTTGCAGTAACTTGTATTTTATTGGATTTTATGCAGTATATTACTATAGAACCTTAGGATAATTTCTTTAAAATGCTCTTCTTTGTTAGTATCCCGTTTAAATCATACCACATATATTTACTGACATTATCATGATTAATTAAGAAATCTGTAACGATCAACCGGTTAAATCCTAGTGTGAAAAGGGAGACCTGGTTCAAATAAAGCCGTCTTACTATAAATGCCGTCTTACTTTAAAAAAAAAAATGCAGTCTTACTTTTCCAAATTGATCAAATATATGGGAAACGTAGAAAGGGTCATATGAATAATTAATAAACACAAAATCACATCAGCCATGAGAAACCATTTACACACACCGCTCATTCTTGTACTATGGAGAAACCATTTAAAGTCATGTGACTCTCGTGTCAGACTCATCGCAATGCAATAATTGACAGTCAAGTAGACTCAGCACCGTGTGAAGACCTTTGGGAGCTATAAAAAAAACGTAAATTTATATCTTATTTAAACAACAACGAATTTATGTTTAGAAAAATATAATGATAGAAAAAAACCCAAAACAATAAAAAAAGTTTATATAATATTTTTCTATAAAGTTTTTTTTATATCAAATTTCCATAATAAACAATACTAAACTATTGCTAAACATAATTAAAATTTTGTTATATAGAGAAAACGAATGTCAAAATCATGGATCGAAATGTTAATTCTTCACAACTTCCAGCATCTGTTCCGTATACGCCCAGGGTCTGAGATTATCTGTTCTATCTCAGTCTCACCTTCCAGCATCTTCACAACTTCCGACATGCTCGGCCTTAGTGCCGGGGCATTGTTGGTACATAAAGGCGATACCCTTGATCATTCTCTCAGTAGCCTCCATCACATCGAACACTCCTTCCAGTTCCAGCCTCGGATCCAGAATCTCCGCGAAATCCCTTTTTCTTTTGCAACACAAACGCCTGAAATGGAAAATTGAAAATCAAGAACCCTTTCGTTTGAGAGAGAGAGCTGAGTTATTATGGACGGGAAAAATTGGTTCAGTACCCAATCGAGAAGGCCAACGCAACATTCGTTACCTGGCGTACTTACTTTGCATTGCTCTTCCCGCTAACGATCTCCATTGCCACCACACCGAAGCTGTAAACATCTACTTTTTCTGTTATTGGATTCATCTATATGACTGACTAGAAGACTTACAGAACATTTGTCCCTTTGAGTTCAGATCCTTGTCTAGCAGAACATTTGTCCCTTTGATGTCTCGGTGAATGATTTTAACCGCAGAGTCTTCATGTAGAAAAGCAAGCCCTCTTGCTATTCCTAAGCATATCTTGTGTCTTGTTCTCCATTCTAGTTTCAGACCGCTTCTTCCTGCTCCAACAGATACAAGCAAAAACATTAAAATCTCAAGACAGAAGGGAAGGCAGTATTTGTTCCAATCATCTATCAGATAATTTTGCCAAGATTTTTACATTAAATATTTTTTATTGCATCCATGCACACTCTAGAGTACGTAAGGAAACGGCAATTGATAATTAATTAATACTGTATATAAAAACTGAAAAAATGTTCTTCCTTTTTTAAATAAAATTATATTTAAAAATATGAATCTAAGAAAAAAAGTTTTAAATTTAATAATTCTATAAATTAATAAAATGTTATAATTTCGATATTATTAAATTCGTACAGCTGCATGGAGATCTAATATGGTGAAAGCCATTAATGGAGAAGTTTGACTTTTCTTCGAGCAAGAAGAAGGAGTCGCGAAGACGTTTCCATTTTTTTTTCTTCAATCGAAATTTAGTTCCAACTTCCAAACAAAAGCAAAACAAACTTATACTAAGTTGTAAGAAAATATTTTAAACAAAATTATACAAACTTATACGCATTTTTGTGATGGATATAAATAGTATTTTTTATTCTTTATTATTTTATTTATAGTATTTTCGAGTTATTATGAATTTTTTAAGTTTTTTTAGTTGATGTGTGTTTTCTTTAATCTTATCACAAAGTAATAATAATTATATCATAAAATTATTACCAAATGCAAATATTACTAAAATAGTAATTAGTTATGACGAAATACTTATAAAATATGTGTAATTATAAATATATAAGTTTAGTCACCAAATTTGTATAATTAAGTAACTAGATTTTGTCGTAAATCCATAATAATATTTATAACTATATATTTCATAACAAATTCATTATGATTAGTGACAAAAATTTGTTACCCTTAATTTAATTACAATATTATGATAAAATAGTAATATTTTATTACAAAATAATTTTGTCACAATTTTGAATGTAAATTATCACAATATTATAACAAAACAATTGTCACAAATTGTTTATCACAATATTCATTTTTTTGTAGTGATCAATGAAACAAGGGCAAAAAAAAGAAAAAAAAAGAATGATACCTTGAATTAGAATAATCATATACTCCATGGTATGAACGTCATCGGACTGCTGAATCACATTGTGGGTGTTTTTTTTCTGGGTGCAGTCACATTGTGAATGGGTGTAGTGAAAGTCTCACATCAGAAGTTGGAAATCGGTTCTGAGTTGAGTGGCCTATATCCCTTAGATATACACATATTTTCCAACTTACAAAATTTTACAATTAGTCTTCAATTAATTAAAACTTTCGATTGATAAATGTACAATTGGATTTCAATAATCCGACCTAACAACCAGAACACAAAATAAATGAAGTGTTACTTTCCCAAATTATTTGGACTAAAATATGGATACATACTACGTAGGAAGAGTCGAAGCAAATAATAAACATAAAATCACATCAGTTATCATCCGTACGTATAGATTAAGAAAGCATTCAAAGTCGTGTTCTCATGAGAAAGAGTCAAAGTCAACGCAACTTTAGAAGGACATTTTGGATTTGAGTTTCGTTTATTAATTGGTTTAATAATTAATTTATAACGAATTAAGTAATTTTTTCTGTAATAGAAAATGAAACCTTTTCCACAGTGGTGGAGCTCGTAAAACAAGTATCTTAATTATTATTTTATTATAATTTAACATATATAATTAAATTTTAATATGTTTACAAAAATGAACTAATAAAACAAAACAACTATATAAATCATCATCATATAATATATAAAAGTTGATGGCATAGTGCATTGATAACGTCCACATGTGATTAAAAAACTCAATCTGATTGGTCTACATCATCGTTTTTCATTAATCACAAAATGTTAAGTATGATTAAGATGAAGAAACTCAATATGATTGGTGCACATCAGCGTCTTTCATTAAACATAAAAATGTTAAATTTGATTAAAACATTAGAAAATTAATTTCTATATTTTTTAATATTAATAGGACAAAGAAACTCAATCTGATTGGTCCACATCATCATTTTTTATTAATCACAAAAATGATTAGTATGATTAAGATGAAGAAACTCAATATGATTGGTCCACATCATCATCTTTCATTAAACATCAAAATGTTAAATTTGATTAAAATATTAAAAATTTAATTTATATTTTTTTAAAATATTAATTTTGTTTTTTTTTAAACTCGATCTGATAAGTCCACATCAGCATTTTCATTAAATGAAAAAATGTTAAGTATGATTAGGACAGAAAAACTTGATTTAATTGATCCACATCAGTTTTGTAATCAAACCAAAAATTATTAAGTATAATTAAAACATTAAAAGTTAATTTAACAAATTATGTCCAACAAAAAAAGTAAATTCAATCTGATTGATCCAAATTAATATATTTATTTAATTAGAAAATATTAATATAGTTTAAAATTTTAAAAGTTAAATAAAAAAATTAACAATACATGTATAAAAAAAAGAAACCATTATCAATTATCAATTTAAATTTTTTTACAACAACTCGATTTAACAATTAAAACAATGAAAACTGAATAAAAATATAACATAAAACTCTTGAAAGACATGATGGAGAAGGAAAAATTGTTTTGCATGATCATTACAGTTTTCTAACAAAAATAAATGTGAATCAACATGAATCATGGATTATATATGCAGTAGTACACAACATCAATAAGACTTTCAATAAAAAACTAAATATTTGAACACATAAATCTTCAAGAAAAAAGAACTATAAAAATTCTATGGAAAACAGAAAATAATACCAAAATCTTAGAATGATTATATTTCTCTAAATCAAATGTATATGTACGTCGAAGTTGGATAATTTGATAGGTGTCATTGTTATTGTTTTACTTAATAGTTTTTTAAAATTTATAAATAAAAATAGGATAAATTACACATTATATATTAAATTCTCTTATATAAATGAAAATTTATAAAGATATATAATATTTTTAATAATTTTAAAGAGACTAGCAAAAAAAAATTAAACCAAAATATTAATACAGACTCGCGCGTAGCACGAGTTATATACCTAATATAATATATAAAAGTTGAAGGCATAATGCATTGAGGCGTCCACATAAGATTAAAAAACTCGATCTGATTGGTCCACATCAGCATATTCATTAAATAAAAAATGTTATATATGATTAGGACGGAAAACTTGATTTAATTGGTCCACATCAGCTTTTAAATCAAACAAAAAATTATTAACTATAATTGAAACATTAAAAGTTAATTTAACAAATTATGTCCAACAAAAAAGTAAATTCAATCCAATTAATCCAAACCAACATATTTATTAAATCAGAAAATATTGATATGGTTTAAAATTTTAAAAGTTAAATAAAACAAATTAACAATACATGTTTTTTAAAAAAGTAATCATTATCAATTTAAAAAACATTTACAACAACTCTATTTAACAATTAAAATAATAAAAATTGAATAAAAATATAACACAAAACTCTTCGTATACATGATGGAGAAGGGAAAAAATAGTTTTGCATAATTTGATTCAATCTGATTGATCAAAATCAACATATTTATTAATTATATAATAATGAAAAATAAGGAAAAAAAGTAAATTCAATCTGATTGATCCAAATCAACATATTTATTAAATCAGAAAATGTTAATATGGTTTAAAATTTTAAAAGTTAAATAAAAAAATTTAACAATTAACAATACATGTTTTTTTAAAAAAAGTAGCCATTATCAATTTAAAAAAATCTACAATAACTCTATTTAACAATTAAAATAATAAAAACTGAATAAAAATATAACATAAAACTTTTGGTATACATGATGGAAAAGGAAAAAAAAGGTTTTATATGATCATTACAGCTTCCTAACAAAATTAAATGCGAATCAACATGAATTATGGATTATATATGCAGTAGTACACAAGAGCAATAAGACTTTTAATAAAAAAATTACATATTTGAACACATAAACCTTCAAGAAACAAAAGAACTATATAAATTCTATGGAAAACAGAAAATAATAATACCAAAATATTAGCAAGGTTATATTTCTTTAAATCAAATGTATATGTACGTCAAAATTGGATAATTCGATAGATGTCATTGTTATTATTTTACTTAATAGTTTTAAAAATTTATAAATAAAAATAGAATAAATTACACATTATATATTAAATTCTCTTATATAAATGAAAATTTCTATAAATATATTATATTTTTAATAATTTTAAAGATAGTAGCTAAAAATATTAAAGCAAAATATTAATACAGACTCGCACGTAGCGCGAGTTATATACCTACGCTCCATTCTGTTTTTACATCAATTTCGATTTAGTTTAATACCTTTTAACTTGATTTATATTGGTGAATCTAATCATTAGAAATAAAAAAGACGAGTTTGTTTTACAGATATAAAAATAAGAGTAAAAAAGAATTACAGATCCAAAAACCATTTTTCATTTTAATTAAGAAAGAATATCAAATATTTTTTTGCTTTCTCTTTTTTTATTTTTTTGTACTTTTTCGTTTATTTTGCTTATTTTTTGCTTTTATTATTCATTAATTTAGCTTATTTTTTGCTTTTATTTTTGATTTGTTTTGCTTATTTTTTATTTATTTTACTTATTTTTTAATAGCTTTTCATTTTTAAATGTAAAACTTATTTTGATTATGCTCAAGTTGTACGACCGAATCTCCCGTGGCAAACAAATGATTAAATATAGACTCATTAAGGTTGATTTAAATTTCTTAACTTGGAGAATTTTTAATAATTTATTTGAAGCATATTTGATATTTTATAAAATAATAAAAATACCTCTTTTTGTTATTGTTTAGTTGTTAATAATAAATATAGCTTTAATTTTACTTATTTAGTTACATTTTACATAAAATATTTAATTTTAGTAAATATAACTAAAATAATATAAATATTTCTATTTTGGTTTAATTATAACTAATACATTCGGAAAAAAACTACTACATTCGATTTATGTTTATCGATTTTTTGAAAAAAAATCGGATCTCAGCCTGACCATTACTGCTGGGTGTGTCCTGAAGACATCCGTTATAAAAAGATTGTAGAGTTATGTTATGAATCCTGCTCGTATATTGCTGCCGATATGTCAGCAGCGTTGGTTTGTGTTCAAAAACGACATGCCATATGCTAAGAAGCTTGTGGACAGTGTGAAGAGGCTGTACACGTTTGCGGACTCAACTAAGTTTGAGTTTAGTAAATAAGAGTCGACCAAAGTGTACGAATCAAGCTTAGCGTGGGACATGGTTGTACTATGCCACCGGGAGTATGACATACCTTGAACATGTAACCTCTCAGGTCTTGGCTAGTCGTGCTGGTGCATTTGGGAACAGTGCTTCTTACGGTGTATTCAGTTGGGATAGCAAGCTTCTAGAAGCTCAGGTTTGTTCTTTAAATTGTTGTTTTATGTAAAGCTTTTTTAGTTGCTATTGACCCGATTAAAGCTGTTTCTCAGGCCTCTCTATCCATATGAAGAAATGTTGAACGCCTTCCATAATCAAACAGGCGTAGTTATGTGCTTTTAGAGTATTTTCAATATATGATTGCATTTTTCATACCAAAATGAAATAATTATGAAATACAATTAGATTTTTTTTATGATCGCATTTCTTATTTTAAAAATAATATTTTAAGTAGATTCTTTTATTATAAATTGCTAATTATACACATATTTATCAAAATTTACAAATTGACCAAATTATTTAATATATTTTTAAAAGTTTAGTATTTTGTGATTTATGTCATTATATTTTCTATTAAACAGATGTTATTTGCATTTAATTTTAGAAATTAGAATGTTTTAGTATTTATAATCATCAAATCACCATCAAATCATCATCAAAATAATTATATATTTTTTAAAGTAAAAATATTTAAAATTTGAAGGACTAGTTAATTTAACAAATTATGTCCAACAAAAAAAGTAAATTCAATCTGATTGATCCAAATCAACATATTTATTAAATCAGAAATGTTAATATGGTTTAAAATTTTAAAAGTTAAATAAAAAATTTAACAATTAACAATACATATATATAAAAAAGTAACCATTATCAATTATCAATTTAAAAAAATCTACAACAACTCGATTCAACAATTAAAACAATGAAAAACTGAATAAAAATATAACATAAAACTCTTGGAAGACATGATAGAGAAGGAAAAAATGGTTTTGCATAATCATTACAGCTTTATAACAAAATTAAATGTGAATCAACATGAATCATGGATTATATATACAGTGGTACACAACATCAATAAGACTTTCAATAAAAAAACTAGATATTTGAACACATAAACCTTTTAAAAAAAGAACTATAAAAATTCTATGGAAAACAGAAAATAATATCAAAATCTTAGCAAGATTATATTTCTCTAAATCAAATGTATATGTACATCAAAGTTGGATAATTCGATAGGTATCATTGTTATTATTTTACCTAATAGTTTTTTAAATTTATAAATAAAATAGGATAAATTACATATTATATATTAAATTCTTTTATATAAATGAAAATTTCTATAAATAATTAAATATATATAATTTTTAAATCAAAATATTAATACATACTTGCGCGTAGCGCGAGTTATATACCTAGTGAGTATCTTAAAACCTTAGAATAGTTTGTTATTTAGTATATTTGAGAAACTTCTCTCTCTTATTTTTTCTACTGTTTGATTTTTTTTATTTTTTTAATATTAAAATTTTTTCTAAGATCCTCCCATTGGAGGTGGTCTAAGACAAATGCGTTAGACTATCTCCATTAGAAAGTTTTTACAAAAGTATCTTAACATAAAAAATGAAAAAAATTTCAAAAAGTAGAAGAAAGAAGTTCTCAAAGCTTTTTAAAAATTTCTCATTTAAAAACTGATTCTAAACATTTGAAAACCCTTCTTACACATTTATCATTTGTTATATAAACATTAGTAAAAAAGTTCAATCAATATAATTTGTGTGTTGTTTGTATTTTCTTCAAAATGAAGTTCAACTCTATTTTTTTTAAAATCCACTATTTTCTTATTATATAGACTCTAGAGACTAGAGTACGTCCCTTAGATAAATGATAAAATGAAAAGACCAAATAATCAACTCAGTGTATTCACACAGAAAGCCAAATCTTTTTATTCTAATTAATCAATATATAAAAACCTGAAAACAAATCTTATTATTTTAAATAAAATACTATTTAAAATATGAATTTGAAAGATAAAGTTATAAATTTAATAATATAAAATAATAAAATATTATAAATCTGATATTATCAAATTATATAATTCTTAGGGCTTTATGGAGATCTGATAATTGGCTGATCTGATTTGCCGAATTTTTTTTTTTTTTGGGCTGATCTGATATGGTGAGTTAGACTTTTCTTCGAGGAAGGAGGAGTCGTGAAGACTTTTCAAAAAAAAAAAATTCTTCAATCGAAGTTTAATTCCAAACAAAGCCAAACAAACTTAAGTCCTAAGAAAAACATTTAAAAAACTTTCAACGAAGAAAAATCACGGAAACAAAGTACAAAAAAAAGAAAGAAAAAAAGATGATATCTATAGAAAAATCGTATAAAACTTTTATGTAACCTACATCACATGCTATGAACGTACGTCATCCGACTGTTGGATCACATTGTGGATGTTGTTCTCACAAAGATTCACGTTTTAGATATTCATGCTTGATCGTGAATGGGTGTAGTGAAAGTCTCACAGCAGAAGTTGGAAATTGGTTCTGAGTTGAGTGGCCTATATTCCTTAGATATTCATATTACACATATTTTCCAAGTTACAAAATATGACAATTAATTAAAACTTTCGATTGATAAATGTACAATGGATGGAACGACATCAACGACTATCCAACCTCATATTGGTGGAAGTGAATTAGGTTTCAATAATCCGACCTAACAACCAGAACACAGTAAATGAAGTGTTACTTTCCCAAATTATTTGGACTAAAAATATGGATACGTAGTACGTAGGAAGAGTCGAAGCAAATAATAAACATAAGATCACATCAGTTGTCAGTACGTATAGATTAAAGAAAGCATGATCAAAGTCGTGTTCTCATGAGAAAGAGTCAAAAGTAAACGCAAATTGTCAAGTACGCTTGTAAATTAGAAGGACATTTTTTTGGATTTGAGTTTCGTTTATTAATTGGTTTAATAATTAATTTATAACGACTTAAGTAATTTTTTCTTTAATACAAAATGAAACCCTTTCCACGTAAAGCACGCGCGTTATGAGCCTAGTTTCACACTTCTCTCCAGCTAAATGTTGCCCACAACAACAACCCTATTAGAGATAATCGGAGGTTTACGCTTACTGCTTACTGTCTATTAAAGAAAACGGAGTCGGTACTGACTACTGAGTGGGTACAGATCAATTAGCAGATTCAGAGGACGACGTAATCGACACGACATAACCAAAATGCAAAGATGAATTCTCCGTTTCCAACGATTGCCTGAACCGCAAGTCTGAGTTGTTCTGTTCTATATCTCAGCCTCCCCTTCAACCATCTTAACAACTTCATTTCATGCTTGACCTTACTGTCGTCGACTCGTTTGTGAATAAAAGTTCGTTTTCGCATATGTCTCATCAAGACGAGTCTTTTCAATAGAAACAAGTACAGTCAGATAAAAGAGTATTTAAACTTGTAAAAGACTTGTTTTGTTTAATAAATATATAGATACATTAATTCAACACACAGCAGGAATAAGAAACCCAACGGTCTTTCTTTATTCCCAAGTAACACTAAATGACCAAATATCAGCAACTAATCCACAGTGGACTTTTATGGTCTTTCTATCCCCAACCCAAAGAGAATTCCTAAGTATCCTAAACCAAAAAAAAAAGAACTAGAGGATGGTTCTTTACTTTTCCACTCATCGTCCTTTGATTATTACAGTGACGAGGGAGGTATTTCGGTAGAGAGGATTAGGCTCACGGATTCTGAGCTAACTGGATACAGATCATAACCAGACACTGAGGATGCCACTGTCCTTCTCGTTTGATCCGACGCTGATTTCTCATTTCCGGAAAGACCATCAAGTGTATGACTGTTTGCGATCCTCTCCATCAGTTTTGAGAAGCTTAAGTCGTGTCCGTACATAGAAGGGTCTGACATAACCTGTGTTATTTCGATCTCTCCCTCTAGCATTTGCACGGCCTCTGACATTGTTGGCCTTAACGAAGGAGATGAGTTTGTGCAAACGAGAGCAACACTGATCATCCTCACGGCTTCCTTGCTGTTGAAGTCACCTTCGAGCACCGGATCTACGATTTCCATTATGTCCCCTTTCTGTTGCAGTGCCAACGCCTACTTAAGATCCGATGTAAAAACAGGTTTCACTAAACTTATCGGAGAACGAATCCCAGATTTTACTACAAATTGCCAACACAAGAGGCTAAAGAGAAAGAAAAGCTCCAAGGGTTTACCCAATTGATAAGTGAGACGTGATCACCAGTTCCATTGTGTTTAGTATTACTCTTCCCGCTAACAATTTCCATTGCCACAACACCGAAGCTGTACACGTCTGCTTTCTCTGTTAATTGACCCCATAATGCATATTCCGGAGCCATATATCCGCTGAGTTATAAGAAAACAATATTCTCAGAACTTGTACCTAACTAACTATGATGTATGTTTAGACAATCCTACTTACATGGTCCCTGCAATTTTGGTGCTAATGTGAGTGTGTTCTTCTTCATGTAGCCTAGCCAACCCAAAGTCAGATATCTTTGCATCAAGGTCAGCGTCTAGAAGAACGTTACTGGTTTTTATGTCACGGTGAACCATCCTGATCAAAGATCCTTCGTGGAGGAATTCAAGCCCTCTTCCGATTCCTACACAGATTCTTTGTCTTGCTTCCCAGTTCAGTTTCAGTGAGCTCTTTCCTGAAAATTGATGTAAGCCAAAGAGAAATGTTGTATCACATTACATGAGAGATAACATATATGTACGAACGAATTAGACTCAAAACGTGAAGAAAATATGAACGACGCGTTATTTACCATAAAGAGCAAGAGCAAGGGAGTTATTTTCCATGTACTCATAGACGAGCAGCAACTGATTCTTCTCGACACAGCATCCATAAAGCTTGACGAGGTTTGGATGATTGAGACCAGAGATCATTCCTATCTCATTCACAAACTCCCTGTTTCCTTGGCATGACTTGGAAGAAAGCTGCTTCACTGCTATGATCGTTCCATCCGACATCTCTCCCTGCATTATACGTTTCTCTCATATCAGAAACCAAAAGAAACAGCCATGTTTGAGAAGAAGTTGGCATCAGTTTTAGCATACTTTGAATACGGATCCGAAACCTCCTTCTCCAAGTTTGTTGCCTTCATCAAAATTGTTTGTTGCAGCTTGTAGTTGCCTCCAAGTAAAGAAAGCCGTTTGCAGACCCTCGGCTCTCAGATCTATTGTGATCATGTTCCCAAGAGAAAATCATCAGTAACGCTTGAACAAATATGAGGAATGGATTCATATACTTTCTGAGCTCTAGTACCTCTTTCTCTCGTGTTCTTGTCTCCTCTGTATCGTTTCTGAGCATATAATCCCAAAGCCAGGAGCGTAAGTGCAACCAAGGCTCCCGTTACCCCGAAAATTAGTGGATAATTAGGGCGACGTTCTGTTTTCTCCTCTGAAAATGGGACTATAAAAATGTATATATATATATATATCTTATTATAAACACCAAGCTACAGTAAAATATCTTTAAATAAAAAGTTTTGTTTTTGGACCTCCACCCCTGAAAATTTTGGGATTCGGGAAGGGTATTTACGGAAATGAGACGGGAATGAGAAATTTGGGAATTCAGAAATAATTCCCGTAAGGGAATTCGACAGAAATAGAATGGGAAACTATGGGTACGGGACGTGAATCTGCGGGTATAGAACAGGAACGAGAATTCCAAACTCTCAATTTAAAGGCATATGTATTTTGGAAAATTTTGAGTATTTTCAAGAATTTTTGGGAAAATTAAAGAAATTTTCAAAATTTTCAAATTAGGAAATATCGGTAAAATTCGATAAATTTGGAAAATTATGTAAATTTTTGAAATATTAATTTTTTAAACGGGAATTCGGGTTCCGAATCTGATTTCCATACCCATTCCACCTGTTTGAATAAAATAAATAATCTCGAACGGGAATTTTCTAAAACAGGAAAGGAAACCGGGTACCCGTCCCAAAATTTTCAGAGCTGACCACATTGTGGCTACAGACCTAGAATTTTATAAAATTGGTTACTTTGTAAGTCTGGAGCCACAATGTGGAGGTCCAAAAATCATCACTTTGTAACTCTTACCGGAAGAACCAGGAGGCATGTCGGAAGCAGAGAGTCTAAGATATAACGTATTATTCCCCTCGCTATTATCTTCTTCGAGTTGTTGAAGATTCAAGATATCTTTACTCCACGTCAAGCATCGATTCAAGCTTTCATCATGTGCATAAGCCTTACAAGAACAATTCCCTAGACAAGCTGATCCGCAAATACTAAGACTCAGCATCCCCAACTCCTCTGAATTGTCAGGGAATTTCACGTTGTAAATAGGCAGAAACTGGTTAACGTCTCCACGAGAGCATTGTAGCTCAGTGTTTCTGACGCACCCTGCAGAGTAATCATTCTTCCAGTAATCTTCTTGTGACTTGGGCCTAAACCCTGGAGGGCATTGGCAAAAAGGTTGAGACTTGTCACTGCAAATCCCAAAGGAGCCACAGTAACCGTAGACTTGGCATTGTTGCCGAGGCTGAGACCAGAACAGGTTCCATTTATCGTTGATGTCTAACCAAATTAACTGGTTAACCTGTCCCGATACGTCCATGGTCACATGTGAGAGATTCGCGTGTTTGTACATCGAGTAAGTGAAGTATGACTCTGTCGAGTTGGAGAAAAAGCTGTAGTTGTAGATGTAATTGAGTCTCATTTCGGGGACCAAATCGAAGATCATGCGCTGAGGGTTCCAAGGACCACTTGACCAGTACTGAGTCGAACCGTTCCAGAGGATTTTGTAAGCTGTGGACTCGTCTAGCTCGAGAGAGAACAAACCTGGTGATGGGTCTTCAGCATTCTTCCAAGACGTGAGTCGTTGACTCTTTCCGGTTCGTTTGTCTAACCGGATTTTGGCTCCGGGAAGCCACGTGTCACCCGGATGATCAAAGCTTTGCCATAGAACAGAGCCCGATTCGTCTCTGAGAACGAGATTGCCGTCATCGAGCAAAACCGCTTTGAGAGAAGAGGAAGAGTAGGTGGAATTAAGACCGGTTGACCAAACTGGAGTCTGGCTTTCGCCATCGAGTAGAACTAAGTTTCCGCCTGAGATTTTGAGAACTGATGTGCTCCTCTGGGAGACTGATTTCTCTCGATTAGCTACCCAGACGACTTTTTGTTGAAAGGCTTTATTGTACCACATACCTATGTAAAAGCCTGGAGAAGTTACAGAACCTGGTGTGAAAAAACCCATCTGAAAAGTTCCGTTGGAGGAGACGAGTGTCTGGTCTCCGGAGAGAGTAAAGTTGGCGGAGATTGTGTCGGCTGCGGAAGAGACATGGACGGAGAGGAAGAAGAGAGAAAAGAGGGTAAAGAATAACGAAACCATCGGAAAAGCTTAAGAGGAAAGAGAGAGAGAGAGTGATGGGCAGAGATTATATGAAGAAAGAGTCTCTGCTGTTAACAACCTACAAATCTTTTAAGTCTATGGTTCTGTTACGTGACTCGTCGTGAGGTTTGTTTGGTTTGTCAATGGCGAATTAGAAATTCAGAAAGAAAGAGAAAATTAAAACAGAGATTTGATTTTTGTGTGCGCGAATTAGAAAATCAGATTTCATGTGGTTGGTTTCTTATCTACGTAACACGAAAGCTTCACCGTGTTCCCACTTCAAACACGTTGTTCTTTTACAACGGGTTTATAGTCCCATTAGCCTCTCTTTGATGTTAAAATCACTCAAGAACAATTCTCCCTAACATGGGAGAGAAAGGTCAAAAGTAAACGAACTTCAATCTTCCATGCATGATTGAAGGAAAAAAATATTATGTAATCGATGGCAAAAAAAAAAATTATTATGTAATCTTCCGTGTATGAAAAACCGTTATATTTAGGGGTTTCAGTCGGTATAGAGAGATATTAATGTCGACCAAAGTTACTGTTGAAATGTCGAAGTTACTTGAACAAAATCAAAAGAAATGTCAAGTTTTATTTTTTGGTTGAAATGTCAAAGTTCATCGACGAAGGAAAAAAACAGTAACGAGGAACGCAAAGAAATGTGAAGTTTTATTTTTTTGGTTGAAATGTCAAAGTTCGTCGACGAAGAAAAAAAACAGTAACGAGGAATGCAAAAAAGATATAAAAGAGTCAAAGCACTTAGTAAACATGGGTCATATATTGATTATTGAAAGCATTAGAAGGAGACTGTAGCTTTTTTTTGTTCTCGTGTAAACGCAAGACTTCTCTAGTTTTGTTAAGCGCAAGACAATAAAGGCGACAAGAAGTGAAGTTATTAGAAGGAGCTTCTGAATCTGCTTACCTTTTTCATACAAAATGAAATGGCCTAAAGTGCGACCGTTTCCCAATAATAAGAGCCCTAATTTCACAATTATGTGGCGCCCACAACAAGAATCTTGGTGTAGAGAGAGATAGTAGGGGTTGTTTAGGCTACCGTCTAGAAAAAATAATGGACTCGGGACTGAGTGGGTACAGATCGTAAGCAGATTCAGAAGTTGACGTAATCGACAAGATATAATCAGACGACAGATACGATGGCTTGAAATGCAAGTCATCACCATACACGCCAGGGTCTGAGATTATCTGTTCTATCTCAGCTTCCCCTTCCAGCATCTTCACAACTTCCGACATGCTTGGCCTTAATGTCGGAGAATTGTTGGAGCATAAAAGCGATACCTTGATCATTCTCTCTGCCTCCATTACATCGAACACTCCTTCCAGCCTCGGGTCCAGAATCTCCTCCAAATCCCCGTTCTTCAGTAGCACAAACGCCTGAAATGGAAAATTGAAAAATCAAGAACCTTTTCATTTGAGAGAGAGAGAGAGCTTGAGTTCTTTTGTGGTTAAAGGAATGGTTCAGTACCCAATCGAGAAGGCCAACGCAACATTCGTTATCTGGTGTGTACTTTGCATTGCTCTTCCCGCTAACGATCTCCATTGCCACCACACCGAAGCTGTAAACATCTACTTTCTCTGTTAGGTGACCTCTCATTGCGTACTCAGGAGCCATATATCCTCTGCAACAAAAAAAAAACATCAATTAACATTGAAACATTGGATTCATCTGTATGACTGACTACAAGACTGACATTGTTCCTGCAACTCTGGTGGTAATGTGGCTCTCCTTGTCTTCATGGAGCCTGGCCAACCCGAAATCCGAGATCTTTGAGTTCAGATCCTTGTCTAGCAGTACATTTGTCCCTTTGATGTCTCGGTGAATTATCTTAACCGCAGAGTCTTCATGTAGAAAAGCAAGCCCTCTTGCTATACCTAAGCATATCTTGTGTCTTGTTCTCCACTCTAGTTTCAGACCGCTTCTTCCTGCTCCAACAGTTACAAGCAAACAATCAAAACTTCAAGACAGAAGGGAAAACAGTATAAAGGTTTGGTCCAGTCATCCATCAGAGATATTTACCAAATAATGCATCAGCGAGACAATTCTTCTCCAAGTACTCATAGACAAGAAGCAGCTGTTTTTTCTCAACACAGCATCCATAAAGCTTCACAAGGTTCGGGTGCTGCAGGCAAGCGATCATACCAATCTCGTTTACAAACTCTTTGTTACCTTGACATGATTTGGAAGATAGCTTCTTCACTGCAATCAATGTTCCATCTGGTAATCTCCCCTGCATTGTCAAATTTCTGGCATTAGCTGATGATATCCCCTCATTTTGAGAACATTGACAATTCCAAAACTTAAACACTATTGTACCTTATATACAGATCCAAAGCCGCCTTCTCCAATCTTATTTAAGGGATTAAAATCGTTTGTCGCAAGTTTTAGTTGCCTCAAACTGAAGGAACCTGTTATTAGACCAGCTCCTTTTATCTCTCAAATTACTAAAAATATCCAAAAACAGAACTTTACAGGTTTCGTTATCTAGTGGATTCAACTGAAACAGTACCTCTTTCTGCTGTGTCCGCATTTCTAACACATTTTCTCCAACAAAATGCTCCTAGGAGCAAGAAAGCCAGAGAGAGTGCTAAGCCGACAATAAGAGGATATTTTGTTGGTTTATGATCCTCTTTTTTGACTGGAACTGAAGATGGAGAGAAGACAATAAAGAGAGAAGATTAATCCATATTTTTACCAAAAAAAAGATTAATCCATATTCAGGCATCGAAGGTAGTTTGAAAAACAAAAAGAAAAAAGACTCAAACACTTGACATTTTGTCTTCATACCACCACATTCGGATTCTGAACCTGTAAAACAAAAACAAAAACAGAATTAGGATGAATGTTTCAGAGGGGAAATTGAAGTGTACTTCTACAGTTTACTTACTGGGACAAACTGAGATTGCAGAGATAAGAGAGCCATAGTTCCCTCGTTGAGGGATGAACATAGTGCCTTTCCCTGCCCAGTAAAGCCGTATCTCTAAAGTGTTATCAGTCACGGTCGTGTTCACTTCTCTTATAACTTCCTTGTGAGTGCCATTAGCCTCCTCTCTGATGCTAAAATCCTCCCAAACCAACTTCCCCTGAACAGATAACAAAGTTTTAGACTTTAAGAATGGACTAAAAACACTGAGAGAATGTTTCTTAAGGAGTCCGCAGCAAAAGGTTATGTACCTGAACATAGATGTTAAAAATCCGTTTTGCTAGTCTACTGTATGGTTCTTCGTCTGAGAACTGAATCTCAGCGAAATGGAGTTTCACATTATAGCTCCCATTTTCGAAGCAAAACGCAAAGTAAGCCAAACTCAGGGGAGAACGCCTGGCTGTCCGATAAAGCTCAGGATATTTCGATGATACTACAGATTCTGATGAAACCGAGTATGCATCTTCGGTTTTTGAATCATCCATAAAGTCACCAGTATTGCTGAATCCCCAGTTTTTCCCATGATAGTTCGTAGCTGAACCCGTAGGTCCATAGTTATCACCCTGGTACAGAAACTTTCCACGAGGGTTCTCGATAGTGACGTCAGGTCCCCCACAGTTTATATGCAGCGACCTACTATCTGTGGAGATTGAGTATTTACAAGTTCATATCCAGAAACTTACAAAAAGGGTATCTGGAAAATCAATAGAAAAGCAAAACAAACCTACAATTTTGGCAAAGCTTTATGGTGGAACAGGGAAGAAGTCTGGTTCTGTATACAAAACAATGAGTTAATGACAGAACATGAAGTGGCCAGTGATTAATAAGTAATAAGATTGACAAAATGTTCTTACAGTCTGTTTCTTGAGTGTGAACTCTCATACGTATTTATATTCCTGCATGAAAATACATGTTAAAAGCATCCAGAAAGTTTGAGAAGGCAAAAAGACGAAAGTTAAGACAACAACAAAGGAACATACTTCCTCTCTTTGCATAACGGAGACCATGTGAAATTGTTATAGGAAAGATCACTGCACATATGAATATTGGAAATTAAGAAACAAATGAGAGATTAGTGTAATACAAAGATATGTTTCCACATATATAGAATAAGATTAGCCATACATATTTGTGCTTGCAGAAAGGAAAGCTCCTGTCTCAACCTTTCCAGACAACATGTTTGCAGCCAGATATCTGAAAAATGATACAAGGAGATGAGTTCAACAGCTTTGTTACATATTACATACTTCAAATCCTATTGATCACTGCCTGAAAAAGAAAAATCATAGTTTGGTATTTCTCCAGTCAGCTTATTAAAGAAAAAACTTAGCGACCTACGTATATTTTGGCGCGGTTGCATCAGTTGGTATTTCTCCGCTCAGCCTATTAAAGGAAAGATCACTGCTAGGAAAAGAAAAAAGCATCATAAGAAATTTGACAGTGTTTAGCAAGATGCATGATGTTATAAACAGATAACGTGACACTTACAGAGTCATGAGACTGTGAGTAACCCATAGACTGGAAGGAATTGGTCCTGATAAGTTCATGTTTCTAAGAACCCTGAAAACTAATTACATCAGTCTAAACATATGTATTTGATATTATCTTTGCCTGAGACATAAAGATGTATTGCATACAGATATTTCAGTCTCCTGCTAGTTATATGAGGAACATGTCCCCATCCTGCAACTGTGTCACTGATCCTCCTGCAACAGAAAGAAAAGGCTACAGTATTATTTCAAAAAGACCACAGGCCTCTGTAAGTTACAATGTTGTTACTTGAACACATATCAAAAGAAGAATTAATTACAGGTCGATCAAATTCTCCAGACGAAAAATAGAGTCTGGAATGGGTCCTCTAAGGCCACTCGCATAGAGTTCTCTGATAAAAGGTAAGCACAAGTCAGAAAAAAAAAATGTAAAACTACAAACTATTAAAGTGTAAGGCAAAAGATAGATGCTTTTCTTACAATCTTTGAAGTTTTGAAAAGTTGCCGATAAACTCTGGGATCGATCCGTTCAGGCGATTATCGCTTAGATGACTGTAAACAATAGAATGAAAAGCAATGCGACATGATGAACACGTTTTCAAAGCTGATATCGTGTTAAGAGAAAAAAACAAGAGAAAGAGGATCATACAGATGAGTTAGCTTTGTTAGTTTTGCTAATGTCTTGGGGAGGCCTCCAGCAAGTTGGTTGGAAGAGAGTTCTCTGGAATCAGCAAAACAATCAGATGGATCATGTTTGAGAATATAAACGAGTCATGAATCTGTTTCGATATCTTAATAAATCGACTGAAAGGGTCTTACTTACAATCCTTGTAGATTTACCAGGTTCCCTAGTTCATCAGGAATAGTTCCAGAAAATTGATTGGCTTCAAGAACTCTGAAATTATACAGACGAACAATAAACTTAGTTTCCAACAGAGGGTAATTTTTTTCTTTCTATAATCACATAAGATCAACAAAGGTAAGAACTAAGAACATACAAAAAAGTGAGGTTAACAAACTTCCCCAATCCTTTGGGAATGTCTCCTGATAAGCGGTTTGCGGAAACTAAGCTGCAGAGAAACACTTCAGGTAACTTCAGAAACATTTCTTACTTCCACAGAAAAAAAAAAAAAAAAATTGGAGAGCAAAGACTTACATAGATTTGAGGTAAGGGAGTGAGGCCCATTCCATAGGAATTGAGCCATAAAGGTAGTTACTGCATAAGTCACTGCACAAATTGACAAGCAAACAATTCCAACCATTATAATGTTTCTTCTACAATAGCAGTAGAGATTGAAAACAGTTGAAATGCAGAAAACCCTCCTCACATCGATTCAAGAAATCGAAACTTATACAGCATCGGAGGAAGTCTCCCTGGAAGACTGAATGTATTGAGGACACTGCACATGAGGCAACATAGTAACTGGGTCGAAAAGAAGATATTTTCCCGGAAAATAATCAGAATTAACGGCTAGCTTCTTACAAGTGTGTGATATGACAAGTGCTGCTGTTGTTGAAGTGACAGTCACATCTGATTGTGCTGTTCTGTCCTTCTTTCAGAACACCTTGAGATATCACCAGAGTCTTTGTGAGACATGGATCTTCACTTAGGTTCAAAGTCTCCACACCAAGTGTCGCTGCGATATCCTTAAGCGCTTCCACTGGTAAAGACAGCAAACCAGAAACACAATCAAGTTTTGTTTCAAGTGCACAAGGACAAGCCATTTCGTTTGGCAACATCTATAGATATATAATGCATTAATTTAAAACCATCAAACCTTCATCTGGGTGCAGAGAAGGAATAGCAGAAACTGTACAGAGCAAGTAAACAAGAATAAGAACAAAGAACAATGAGCCAAAAAGGCGACTATTCGACATGGTTATGTGCAGAGATGGAAGATTATGTTCAGTTGATCAATACATATCTCACTTGAAACACTATATGTATATAAAACTGAAGCCCTTCTTAAGTTATACATAAAAGAAATTGTGAAATGCAGTTTGACTAAGCTGAGGCTAAGAGAAAACACATGGGTTAGTCGTTGCTTTTAAAGCAGAGGGAAGAGTGTCTTTGTATTTTATTTGGCAGCTTGCCAAATTTAGGGGGTAATTGCAATCCAGCCTTTCTGTTTTCATTTATTTACAATATGAGCAGGAATATCAGAAAAAAAAATATTCTCTTCACCCTTTCCGCTTGCATTTTACTTGCAGAACTACTAGATGAGTAGATGAACACCTAAAACTACAAAGGTTTTATGATTACCAAAGGATTATTGATACCACTTTCAACTAAAATACAGCTTAAACAATTCTAGTTTTAGATTTCGAGTCATAATTTGAAGATCATGGCTTGTTTTAGCAAAAGATAAAAACTGGAGGGATAAACAGTTTTTATGCGTAACTTTGGTTGAGTAATACTTGTTGAGTAATACATGAACTAATGAGACTTCAACTAGTTGCATGTTTGGTTCAAGTCTTAGTCAGTCTTCTTGAGAGTTGACTTCTACTTTCCCTTGGATCTAAGAACTAGTGGGTATAAAAAATTGGGTTACCGATATTAATCTTCTCAAATCTAATCTGTTATAAGGTCAAGGATGTCAGAAGCTCTGCAAATGAGGGAGAGATCCAAATAACCAAAGATATCTCAGACCCTCTCATAAGCAAGGACTGAGACATCATTGTTGGATATGAAAACTACAGTTCACCAAAGCATAATTGTGTCAGGACAATTCCGGTCCTAATGTGTGTGTTTGTGTGTGTGTGTATGTGTGTGTTCATAGATAATGCAATTTCAATCGTTGGAAACTTAAATCTCTGCAATTTGACGAATTTATGTTCTCTCTCATTGATGATAATTAAAAACAAACCTCAATCACTGGGAGAAAGAAGTGCTGCAATGTAGGCGGGGAAGAAGAAAAAGAAGAAGCCATGGTGTTCAAAATCCCCGAGCTCAGACGGTAGTACATTAACGGGGATCGAACCTCTGTTTACGCTTACGGTCTAGAAAAAACAATGGACTCGGGACTACGAGGGTACAAATCGTAAGTAGATTCACAGGATGAAGGAATCGACATGATATATTCGGAAAGAAAAGACGATGTCCCCATCTCCGACGGTCGCTTAAACCTCGATTCGTCTCTGTACACTCCTGGGTCGGCTATGACCTGCTCTATCTCAGCTTCCCCTTCAAGCATCCTCACAACTTCCGACATCGTTGGCCTTAATGTCGGAGACTTGTTGGAGCATAAAAGCGAAACCTTTATCATTCTCTCTGCCTCCATCACATCGAACACTCCTTCCAGCCTCGAGTCAAGAATCGCCGCGAAATCCCCTTTCTTCTGCAACACAAACGCCTGAAAACGAAAACATCAAGATTCTCTTTTATAAGTACCCAAATGAGAGAAAGCTGAGTTCTTGTGTGGGGGAGGAAAGAATTTGGTGTAAGTACCCAATCGAGAAGGCCAACGCAACATTCGTTATCTGGCGTGTAATTAGCATTGCTCTTCCCGCTAACGATCTCCATCGCCACCACACCGAAGCTGTAGACATCTGCCTTTTCTGTTAGGTGTCCTCTCATTGCATACTCAGGAGCCATATATCCTCTGCAACCAAAAACAAGATTGAGGATTCTTCATTAACTTTTTTTTGGTAAATGCATAATCATAAGAAGGATTCATACATTGTTCCTGCAACTCTGGTGGTAATGTGGCTCTGGTCGTCTTCATGGAGCCTGGCCAACCCGAAATCCGAGATCTTTGCGTTCAGATCCTTGTCTAGTAGTACATTTGTTCCTTTGATGTCTCGGTGAATGATCCTAACCGCTGAATCTTCATGAAGAAACGCAAGCCCTCTCGCGATCCCCAAGCATATTTTGTTTCTTGTTCCCCAGTCTAGTTTCAGACCGCTCTTTCCTGCGCCAAACAGTTGCAAAAACAATCAAAACCTGAAGACAGACGAAGAATGCAGTAAAATGATATGGTCCCTCTATCATATACAGAGATATAGAAGAAGCAGAACTTTACCAAACAATGCATCTGCAAGACAATTGTTCTCCAAGTACTCATAGACAAGAAGAAGCTGATTATTCTCACAGCAGCATCCATAAAGCTTCACAAGATTCGGGTGCTGCAGGCAAGCGATTATACCGATCTCGTTTACAAACTCTTTGTTGCCTTGACATGATTTTGAAGATAGCTTCTTCACCGCAATCAATGTTCCATCTGGTAATCTCCCCTGCATTGTCACATTTTCTTGCTTTAACTGATGATATTCACCTCTTTTTCAGAACATTGACATTGCAACAACTTGAAAGCACTTGTGTACCTTGTAGACAGATCCGAAGCCGCCTTCTCCAATCTTGTTTAAGGGATCAAAATCGTCTGTTGCAGCTTTTAGTTGCCTCAGACTGAAGGAACCTTTTATCATATAGATCAGAACAGAACCCCTTTTAGCTCTGTGTTTACCAAAGAAAACCAACAATAGAACTTTAACCGATGTTACCTCTTTTTCCTGCATCTGCATCGCTAACACATTTCTTCCAATATAACGCGCCAAAAATCAAGAAAGCAAGAGAAACTATTAAGGCTGTTACACCGAGAACGAGTGGATATGTTCTTGGTTTGTCTTCTTTTGTGACTGGAGGAAGAATCTGCACTTGTACTGAAGATAGACAGAAGCAAGAAAAAAATGATCCATATTCATACATAAAATGTATCTGAAAAGAGGAGTAAAAGACTTGACATTTGTTCTTCTTACCGCCACATTCAGATTCAGAACCTGAGATAACAAGAGCAAGAAAGTGATTAAGATTAGAGAAACTTGATGCTACGTTTTAACTGTATAAATTTGACTTACTGGGACAAACTGAGATTGCAGAGATAAGAGAGCCATAGTTCCCTCTTTTTGGAATGACCGTCGTGCCTTTCCCTGCCCAGTACAACCGTATCTCTAAAGTGTTATCAGTCACAGTCGTGTTTACTTCTTTTATAACTTCCTTGTGAGTTCCATTAGCTTCCTCTCTGATGCTGAAATCCTCCCAAACCAACTTCCCCTGAATCAAAATAACAAAGCTTAGACTTCAAGAATTGGCTCAAGACGCTGAAAAAGGCTTCTCGAGGAATCCGAAGCAGAAAAGCAGTATATGCACCTGGACGTAGATGTTAAACAAGCGTCTCGCTAGTCTAGCGTATGGCTCTTCATCTGAGAACTGAATCTCCGCAAAATGGAGTTTCACGTTGTAGCTTCCATTTTCAAAACAAAAGGCAAAGTAAGCCAGACTCAGGGGAGAACGCCGAGCTGTCTTGTAAAGCTCAGGATGTTTTGCTGATACTGCAGGTTCTGATGAAACTGTGTATATATCTCCTGTTACTGCATCATCCATAAAGTCACCAGTATTGCTGAATCCCCAGTTTTTCCCATGGTAGGTCGTAGCTGAACCGGTAACTCCATAGTCATCACCCTCATAGAGAAACTTTCCTCGAGAGTTTTCTATAGTTACATCAGGTCCCCCACACTTTATATGAAGCGACCTACTATCTGCAGAAAGCGAATTTCTTTCAAGAGCGTACTCAAAAACTTGAAAATGGAAGCAAAACAATAAACAACCAAAACAAACTTACAATTTTGACAGTTGTTTGTGGCGGAACATGGAAGAATTCTGGTTCTGTATCAAGAACAATGAGTTAATAACAGAATCCACAGTGACCTGTTATTGATAAGATTGGTAAAAAATGTTCTTACAGACTGTTTCTTGACCGCGAGCTCTCATATGTGTTTACATTCCTGCATCAAAACATTTTATTCTTTTAAGTTTTCAGAATTTTTTAAAGAACAGTACTTAGGATAACAATAGAAGAACATACTTCCTCTCTCTGCAGCTTGGAGACCAAGTGAAGTTATTATAAGAAAGATCACTGTCCATTTTCAAACGCCAAAAAGAAGCAAGAGATTAGCATAACACGGTTGAGATATTCTTGATATAGAAGGTGATATGGACCATACATATTGGTGCTTGCAGTAAGGAAAGGTCCTGATTCAACTTTTCCTGACAACATATTTCCAGCCAAATATCTGGAAACAAAAACAAGAGATGAGTTCAAACTTTTGACTTCATACTATAAAATGCTCTGATCATTAAACACAATGGGGCATACGTATTCTTTGGCGCGGTTGCATCTGCAGGTAATTCTCCAGTCAGTCTATTAAAGGAAAGATCGCTGTCCGGAAAACCAAAAAGCATCATCGTCAAAATATTGGATAATGTTTCGAAAAATGCAGAGTGATATATACATGAAACTTACAGAGTCGTGAGATTTGGAAGATTCCAGATAGTGGTTGGGATTGGTCCTGTTAAGTTCACGTTTCTGAGAACTCTGAAAATATTTAACAGAATCAATCTTTAGTCTTAAGCAAAATGTATTATACACATAGTATCTTGTCTGGACCAGAGACATTAGTATATGTAAAGACACACTGCATACAAAAATTTCAGGTTCTTGCTAGTGATATGAGGGAATTGTCCCAATCCAGCAGTTGTGTCACTGATCCTCCTGCACAGAAAGAAATTAGTGGATATAGTTTAGATTACAGAAGAGCATAATCTTCTTCCTTAGATATGTATTGGGAGATGTAATTACTTACAGGTCGTTCAAATTCTCTAGACGAAAAATGGAGACTGGAATAGGTTCGGTTAGGCCACTCGCGTATAGTTCTCTGATTAAAGATAGGCAAAACTCAGTAAACATTGAAATTGATTGAAATGCTATTCAAACTGTAAATGCAGAGTTTCTTGGCTTACAATCTTTGAAGTTTTGATAAGTTCCCAATAAACTCTGGGATGGATCCGTTAAGGCGATTATCGCTGAAACGGCTGCAAACAATAGAATGAAAATGTTTCATACACAATAATTATACTAAACAGACAGATCTAAGGACAGGCCATCTAGTAATGAAAAGAAAACTGATATTACAGATTAGTCAGATTTGTTAGTCTTGCTAATGTCTTGGGTACGCCTCCAACTAATTGGTTAGAAGAGAGCGCTCTGGAAGAATCAACAAAGCAACAAAAAAAAAAAAGAATTAGTGTTATGATGTTTGAGAGAATCATCTAATCTATAATCTTGAAAAAGTTTATTTAAAGTGTCATCAAGAGTTTCTTGCTTACAATCCTTCTAGGTTAACCAGGTTCCCTAGTTCCTTAGGAATCGTTCCAGAGAATTGATTGGCTTCAAGACCTCTGAAATCATTTAACTTAGTCTTCGATTTTCCAAAAGGATTAAAACTTTATATGTAATCACATAAGATTGAACAAAGAGAACGGTGAAACATACAAGAGGGTGAGGTTAACAAACTTCCCCAATCCTTTGGGAATATCTCCTGATAACCGATTCGCGCAAACAGAGCTACAAAATATACATTTTTCAGGTCAATTCAGAAGCTTTTCTTACTTGGATAACAAGAAACGTGGAGATGAAAGACTTACATAGATGTGAGGTAAGGCAGTGAAGCCCATTCCATAGGAATTGAGCCATAAAGGTAATTACGGCACAAGTCACTGCATAAACAGCAAGAAAAAGTTCCAGTTTTTGTATAGTCTACGAGAACACTGAAAACAGAGGAAACAGAACATAAAAGAAGCCTCCTCACATCAATTCAAGATACCGAAGCTTGGAAAATTCTGGTGGAAGTCTACCCGGAAGACTGAATGTCTTAAGGATACTGCAAATGAAGCAACATTAGTTATATTGAAAACAGAGATTTTCCCGGGAAATAAACAGAAACAAACGGCTAGTTTCTTACAAATGTGTGATATGACAAGTGTTGTTGTTGTTGAAAGTACAGTCACATCTGATTGTGCTGTTCTGCCCTACCTTGAGAACATCTTGAGTTATCACCAGAGTCTTTGTGAGACATGGATCTTCACTTAGGCTTAGGTGCTTAACACCAAGAGTCAACGCGATATTCTTAAGCGCTTCCACTGGCAAAAGAGAAACAAATCAGAAACAAAATAAAAAGGTTTTAGTTTAAATTCATAAAGATAAGCCCATTTTGTTTGGCAACATATATATAAATTTATTAAAAGTGAAAACCATTAAACCTTCATCTGGGTGCAGAGAAGGAGAAGCAGAGACAGTACAGACGAAGTAGATAAGAGTAAGAAGAGAGAGAAGAGAGTAAAAAAGGCGGCGGTTTTGCGACATGATCATGAGCTTGTAAGCTGCAGACATGGACGATATTATGCTCAAGTGATCTACATATGACTTGAAAACACTACATATATATAGTACTAATTACTAAAGAAAACAACTAACCCTTTCTAGAATATTTGTATAAAATATGAGTATGTACATATATTGAAAATTGTAGAAATTGTGAAGTGACTTGTGAAATGCAGTTTGACCAAGCTGAGATTAAGAGTTTACACATGGGGTATGTTGCTTGTTAAAGCCGGCGAGATGTATCACTTTTGTTAATTACAGTCCAACCTCTCTGTTTTAGTTTATTTACAGTATGAGGGGGATATTTTAGATTAAAAATTATGCAACCTTTTTGTTAGTATCCTAATTTTAGAACTACAGTAAAAGAACATGCCTAGCACTAGTGAAATTTCATGATTCTTAAATCATTATAGGAAAAATCTTGCATAAACAACACTAACATTAGATCTTGATTTCTAATTTGAAACATCGTTGCTTCTTTTGTCAAGAAATGTAAATTTGAGGAGTTGATCAATTGTGTATATTAATAATCTTGATTAAACTTTACATGAAATTTCTTATGCTGAACACTTGAACTAGTTGGTCATTTTGTTCATTTGTTAACCATTCTTCTTGAGAGTTGACTAACTTGAATTGCACTTTCCCTTGGATCCAAGAACTAGTTGGCATAAAATTTAGTTTACTCCATTTGAATTTGATTGATTCTCCTTCAAAGTATTTTAGTTTTATGCAATAGGTACTCTATAGTACTAAACGGACTTGAGTCAATTTGGTCCTCTCTTTGGTAAGTCAACTCATTCTTTTAAGTTGAGTATTTTAGACAATACTGACACAGAAGAAACCTTTTTTTTTGTTCAACTGAATGATCTGTTCAACACAGAAGAAACCAATTCTTAAAGATTATATTTAAAACCAAATGAAGAAAATTCATTGTTTGTGTACAGATCATTTAACAAATCCAGCCTATCAATTTTTTTTTTTTTTTGTATTATTAATAGTAAACTGGATGCTGTTAGATTAAAGATCTCACTGCCTATATTTTCTTTTATGTAGAAAAAAAATTCTTGATGTAGATAGAAGTTAAAAGGCTTCAAAAGTACAAAAGATAACTGATTTGATTTGATTTCTTCTAGGTTTAGATTTTCTACAACACTCAATCCCCAACTAATCAAAGCATATAGATACAAAAAAAAATTACAGTAAAGGGCTAATCGTGTAATAAACACACATAAAAAAAACATTTTACAAAAATTAATAGTCACACAAATTGAGAATCTCTTCCTTGCTTTCTTTCTTGGTGTCCAGCCGCAGGAGTAGAAGAAGAAGAAGAAGGATAACTGTTAGCAGAACACTGCGTCTTACTATTCTCCACGCCTTTCTTCAAATCTTTAAACGCCTTAAACCTTATATCCCCTGATTTCTTGCTTGATCCCGGGATTGATTCCGGCACTGGATAGAGACCTTCGAGCATAGCAACCACCTCTGACATTATAGGTCGATCTGTTGCAGAAGCGCTTGTGCACACGAGAGCCACTTTTATCACTGCCTCTGCTTCTTTTTGGTTCACTTCCGGCCTCAATCTCTCATCCACCACTTGCAACAAGTGCCCTGTTTCTTCACACTCTGTAGCCTGCAGATACAAAGCAAAATGGTTCATCAAGAAAACAGCTTTTCTTGTTTTTTTAAAAAAAGTTCATAAGCAAACTGAAACTCGGGATCAGATCATATTTACCCATTCCAAGAGACAGACGGAGTCTCCTGCCGCCATGAAACTACTGTTGTTAACGCCAGCGACGATCTCTAGAACCAAAACACCGAAGCTGTAGACATCTGCTTTGAAAGATAGGTAACCCCACAGTGCGTATTCTGGTGCCATATATCCTCTGCATATGTTCACATGTTTCTCCTTGTTAACTAACAAACAATAACTGTAAATAACGATAAGAAAGACAAAAAAGGCGGGCTCGGGGACTCACATAGTCCCAGCGACTTTAGTGCTGATATGTGTATTCTCCTCTTCATCGAGCCTAGCCAATCCGAAATCAGATATCTTGGGAGTTAAGTCCTTGTCCAGTAAAATATTAGTGGCCTTGATGTCTCTGTGTACAAACTTCAATGGAGATTCCTCATGGAGAAACGCGAGACCTTTTGCAATCCCTACGCAAATATTGAACCTGGTAGGCCAGTCTAGTGAAATCTGTTTATGCTTTGGACCTAAACATTGCAGAAACAAACACATTTTGTTTAGAGCTGAAGCATCAAAAAAGGCTTTCGTTAGCCATAAGTGGACATAAATAAAGAAAACTCACTGAATAACGCTTGAGATAAACTGTTGTTTTCCATGTATTCATACACCAGCAATAGCTGAGCCCGCTCGACGCAGAAGCCATGAAGCTTGACGAGATTCGGATGTTGAAGACAAGAAATTGCACCTATCTCGTTTAGAAACTCTCGGTTCCCTTGTCTGGATTTAGATGAGAGCTGCTTAACTGCTATAACTCTTCCATCTGATAACACACCCTGCATAATGAGATTTATTATCAGCATCAACTGCACAACAATTTCCATTTTTCTTCGTATTACAAGAAACATCTCATCCCATAATCTTTACCTTAAATACAGCACCAAAACCACCTTCTCCGATCTTGTTAGCTGGATTAAAGTCATCTGTAGCAGATTTGATTTGCCTTAATGTAAAAGTTCCAGATGGCAACTCTTCTTCATAGGGATCTGTGGGAAGAACTCAGAATCAGTAAACAAAGAAACACTTTCTTCATTTTCTTACTTGCTTAAATTCACAATGATCCCTTCTTTCATATGAACATAAAACTGGTGGCTAAGATGCAAGTTAGATACTAGCTTCTTGGACTCAGACTTCACAAGAACCAGTTTGGTATATATGATCAACTCCATATCAAAAGCAAAAAACAGAATGAAAAAGAAAGTACTGATCACCTTTTCGTCTCTGCCAACATATTGAAAGGCAGCCACAGAACCAAAGAACTCCCAGTATAAAGATAATAAGGAATGGGACTCCAATTCCAATTGCAATATATGCTCCCAGGCTCAGTCCACTTCCCGGGGGTGTGCACGGCTTAGAATCTGTACATTGATAAGTATGTAGTAGTAAGAGAAACTGCTGTGGCGAGAAAAGAGTTCAAAATGCATACAAAATCATCTGGTTTCTGCTATACTAAGAAAGCTACCTGAAACTATGGAAATAGCCGATATCATAGGACCATAAACCCCTCTAGCTGGAATCCTTGTTGTTCCTTTACCGGCCCAACCCAACCGGATGGCTAAAAAGTGGTTAGTCACATTGACAGTAAATGTTTTGGTTATAGGTTTTTGAGCTCCCTTTGCTTCATCCATGATATTGAAGTCCTTCAACACTAATTTCTCCTGCCGAAAAGAGTGGCTTAAGAAAAAAAAGAACTTATTGCATTCAAAGCCGTTTAGGATTTCACCAGCGGGCAAACACTAACCTGAATGTAGATGTCAAACAAACGCCTCCCAAGCCGGCTATAGCTCTCATCGTTGGTGAACCGCATCTCAGCAAAGTCTAGATTCACAGTGAATTTTCCATTTTCCAAGCAAGCGTGGAAGTAAGTGAGAGATACTGGAGCTATTCGTGCTGTTTTGTATAGATCAGACATGTTAGATAAGGGGACAAACACGGTGTATCTTGTGTTTTGGAAGTTGTTGTCGTCCATGAAGTCCCCTGTGCTGCTGAATCCCCAATAAGCATTAGGCTTCAAAAAATACTTAGCAGCACCACCTTCAGCTTCTCCGTCTCCTTCATATAAGATCTTTCTTTTTGTTTCCTTTAAAGTTAGATCGCTTCCACCACAGTTCACATGGAGACAGCTAAAGTCTGCCAGATAAACCAAATTGCATAAATGAGAGAGAATAAACGAGTAAACATTCTACATCAACATTTGTAATATATAATAATTATTAACAAGACAGGAAATAACAATATCCACGTGGGACAATAGTACAAGGCAACTTAATCTATCATCACTAGTCCTGTGTCATCGTAGGTTAAGTAGGTAAGTGTACTTACATCGAGGACATTTGAAATCTTGGATGCACGGCAGAAATTTGCTCCTACAAAAACATCAATTGGGGATCGCATATCTGTATAAATTTTGGAATGCTTTTTTTTTTTGAAAAGTAAAAACATTTCACACGGAATATAGATGCTAAAGAAGATCACAAGAAAGGACCTTACGATTTTTTTGTAGAAGTGCTCTGAAACAAGTTTAGGTTCAGATTCCTAAAAGAAGAAAAAACCGGATAAATTATCAGTTCAAATGCCAATTATGTCTACCATAAACGTCAAGGAAGAAAACATGACAATATCCCCACATGTTTGGCCGGCAAGAACGACTTTCAGGACTCTGCCACTTGAGGTTATTATACGAAAGATCTCTGCAGCAACAAGCGAATTGACATCAAAATGGAGATGTAAATGCGAAACAAAACCTGAATTACATATTCTTCTGAGAAAGCAATGTTAAATGCAACTTGAAAACTCTAGAAATATACATACACAGTGATTCCATCCCTTAGTAATTCATCTGGAGCATCTCCCTCTAGCTTATTCCCAGCCAAAATTCTGCAAAGAGAAGTCAACTAACAATTCTAAATCAAAGTAAGATAGAACATTAAACATATATGACAGTGGAAGTTTTTCACTTACATAAACCGTAAATTTTCCGCCTGCGCAAACGACGGAATTCCCCCAACCAACTTGTTAAAACTCAAATCCCTGTCCACAAAAGTAATAAGAATGAATCAATCCCGTCACTGTTTCATGCAGAAACCTAATAATGTGAAACAGAGTTCGCTGGGAATCACTGAGACTTGATAAAAACGTCGGAAGGAATGCTTACAGTGTCTCCAGATCCTTCAAATTTGAGAGATATGAAGGAATTTTTCCAGAAAGCTTACAGTTCTTCAATATCCTACAATGTAAAATAAACAAAAAAAAAAAATTAAAGAAAAAAGAGATGGATGGAATAGCTCAAGAAGGGCATATAACAGATCTAACTTACAGCTTAGTGAAACCTTTCGAGTTCCTCACCAAGGGAAATGGTTGAACTGGTCCACCTATATCACTGATCCTCCTGAAAACAATAGGTCATTGTTACAAAAGCGTCATCTGCATGACAAATGATGAAAACAAACTAAGATTATGAAGAAAAAAGTTGACTTCATAAGAGTTGTGTCTACTCACAGATTCACAAGATTGTTCAGAACTGAAATGACCGATGGGATTGGACCAGTGAGACCAGATGCCATCATTTCGCTACAACCAGTAAAAAGCATTCCATCACTGAGTGCTTAAAAAAACATAAACAAAGAAGTAGTAAGAAGAACGAATTTACAGTCTCTTGAGCTCCTTCCAATTTCGTATGTAACTAGGTATCATTCCACTGAGTCGGAGATCGTTAATCCTCCTGCATTGTGCAAAACAAAGCGGCAGATAAACAAAGGAGGCCAACGTAATAAGTATTTGAATTAGGAGAAAACAGAGCAAAAGTTTTACAAATCTGTCATATTCCGTAGTGTAGAGAATGAAGCTGGCAAATTTCCCGTCAAATTGTTGGAGGAAAGTAACCTGTGAGAAATGGAAAGATATCATCCTTCAGAAACACACCACGGGGCTAAAATATCGTTACAATTAACGAAAAGGAAAATCAGAAACTCTCACAGTGTTTTCAAGTTGACCAAGTTCCCAAGCTCCTGAGGAATGGCTCCAGAAAACGCATTTGACTCGAGATCCCTGTACAAGATGAGCAAAAATAATATAACACCACTCGTGTAGAGAATGCTATAAGATGAGAAGAGCACTAAAGTATTTGTTCAGCTAAGCATACAACATGATGGCCTTAATAAGTTCTTGTTTCGGAAAGAGTGAAACCTATCAGTGCAAGTTTCAAGAGGTAAAAGAAGTAATATTTCCACCAACTATTCTTAAAGGATACTTAATACCTGAACTTTCCATTTTTAATAAAGAATAAACCAGTTCCTAGAACAAAGAAGATTGACCGATGCTCGAAACTTACAAGTAAGTTAGTGAAGTAAGGTTTCCCAACGCTTTCGGAATTTCCCCTGAAAGCCGATTCACAAGAAGAGACCTGCAGAGACATTATGTTACTGTTACAAGAGCATTTAGACACTAAAGCTATACAAAACAGAGGGAATATTCTTACATAAAAGACAAATTTGACGAAGTCCACTCAGGTGGTATGCTCCCACTGATGTAGTTGTAGGCCAAGTCTCTGAAATACAGCAAGAAACGGTGGTCAAAAGTAGCAGCTTTTATCTGCCAAGAATTGGTAAAAAAAAGTTGACTATTTAGCCTAAAAGCAAGGTTGAGATACTATTTATGAGAGCACTTACATCTCCCGGAGTCCGGGAAGCTTAAGAATTTCAGGAGGAAGAGTTCCTGGAAGATTATGATCCTTGAATGCACTAAAGAACAAAGAGCAATTAGAAAATGATAATAATCGCCAAGACAAGTTATCAATTTTAAGATAGACAAGTATACACAGTTTCAAGGTGATGGTCACCACCATTTTAAAGACATTGTGCACATATAAGACACTAACACGAAGATGCACCAAAGATAAACTCAAGAACTATGGATCATACGGTAAATATCATCAAGATAATCGACACAAGCATCTCTGTACAGAGCAGCCTATAGACCTAAAGACAACAATTCACCTGATCAACAGACAACAGTGCACGACCAAACACGAATTAATCGTAATGCCTTTAAGATCTTACAAGTGGAAAGACAATCGACGAGATCGTTATGAAGAGTGGATTCTTACATTTTCACAACATGACAATCAGTGTCGTTCGTGGGACTACATTCACACTCTATTTCTTGTTTAGCTGTCGGAGGAGGAGTTTCTGTGAGCCCCACCTTTTCGACCTTACATTCTTCAGCATTAAATTTCCAGTACTTTGAGCCCAACGTGGTTGCGATTTGCTGCAGAGCATCGACTAAGGAGCACGCACAGAAGCAAACAGCATAATACATCAGTGAGCAAAACCCAAGATTATAATACTCTTGGCCTTAACAATGAGTGAGAACATTCATGAAAGTAACAAGAATCAAAAGAAAGATAAAACAATTTATCTAGACCTCTTCATCCACACCAAAGATATAGGATCTTTGAAATAACTGACTTTTGACATAACTCAAGATTGTCATCACCACCATAACAATTCCTTTCTCAAGGAAACTCAATGGTCAAAGGAAATTCAAACCAAATTCAATCAAGGATTATTTAATAAACACAAATTGACCTAATTATCCAATCAAGCTTATGTAATTGACCTGAAGATTCTGGTCCAGAGAAAATTGATAAAAGAAAGCCCTAGAGAAATGCAAACGTCACCAGATAATTTTCGGTTACCAATCAGAAAATTCTCTTTCCAACGAGTAAAATAAAAATTCAGAAACTTTATCATATAAGGAAGCTTTACGAATTAAAAAAAGGCGCAAACTTTGCAGAAAATCTGTTAACCCAGAATCAAAAAAGGAAAGAGAAAGGAAGAAATTTCATTAAAAAAACAAAAAAGGAAACCAGAAAAAACTAACTCGAGACCAACCTTCATCCTGCGGTAATTTGATAGCATTTATACTGTAGAATTTGAAGCAAATGATCGCAAAAACAGAAAATGCAAAGATATTAACATCCTTCTTCTTCTTCTTCTCGGCAAACATTTGATACAGAGATGTAACAAACAAAAAACTCTGTGGATAAGGCAGACGAGAGACGTAGATCAATGTGTCATCGAGAATGATGTAGATCGTAAGGAAGATCTAAAGTTTCTGGGTTGGTTTGGCAAGTGTGATGATTAGTGTTTTTTTCTCAAATTATGACAAATCTACATCAACTGGTTTTTCCTCCCTTCGTTTTTTTCAGGTTTTTTTTTTTTTTTTTTGCTTTTTTTTACTACAAGTCAATTATTTTCTTACAACCGTATATTAATTAGTCAAATTTTGAAATTACAGAGACGAATAATTAAAAACCGAAAAAGAATGGTACAATCCCACAAAGAGAAAAAGCACTGACCCTGCGAAAGTTGAACAAATCATCCACTAGAGGTATGGACATAAAAATAGTATTTATATCTGTTTAGAGAAATTAAGTAATTAACCCTTCTTCTTCTTCTTTTTTTTTTTGTATATACAGTAATGTGTTATTGAAGAGAAGAAGAAGATGACCAAAATACTGAAATCGGGCAAAAAAGAAGAGGTTCCAAAATAGTAACCCAATTATTCATTATTCTATATATTACAGAGTACTGAAGTTGTTTTTTTTTATATATATCATCTGATTTTATTAGTAAATATGAGAACTGCTTACATAGTCATTACAGAGTACTGAAGTTGTTTAAAGCAAAGTAGATTCTTTAAATTTGAAAGAAGACAAAATGAAAATGACATCCAAGATGAAATTGATAGGTGGCAGATTTAGGGATGACCATAAATATATTAATTATGTACTTGTTTTGTTTATGGGCAGATTTACCGGTTCAACCGGCTGGTTTTCCCAAAGGTTTGATTAAAACATTTAGGTTCGGTTATCAAATAATCCGGTTTGATGGCCTGCTCGGGTTAAGGATCCCGCCAATAAAAAAATAAAAAAATAATACATATACAAATATTGGTCGGTCACGCCATTTGGCAGCTATCATGCTTCTCGTCACCGATCTTTGAAACCCTCAACTTTCCGCAATCTCTTCTTCTGCGTTATCCTCAATGGAGTCCTCATCAAACCCCAGCATCATCGAAGAGGACGAGGAACTTTTTCGATTCCTCGACGCACCAGACGAATTTTATTACGATTGCTTGCCGCTAATCCGTCGCGATTCCCGCCGTCAATCGTCGTCTCTCTCGGGTAATCCCTCCGCCGCGAGTCTCCGGCGGAGAATGTCGGCACCTCGACGGAATCTGATATGCTCCGATGCTGAATCGGAGACGTCTTCTTCCTCTTCCAATGGATTTGAATTCGTTGGGAAATCGAGTTATGTGGATAAGGGAGACGAGCTCAAGGGGGATTTCGAATCAAGCGAGAATGATAGCGACGTAATTGAATCAACGAAGGACCTAATTGACGTATCTCCAGAGAAAGAGAACGACTTGGTTGTGATTATGGATGAAACTGTTTCGGGTTCGGACCGGGTTGACCCGTTTCAGGAAGGTAAAAGCTTTTCTGGAGAGAAAACCGAAGAATCCTCGGTGACCACCGTGGGAGATGATCGAGAAGAAGAAGAAGACTACGCTGGATCGGCACCGCAGCAGCTCCGGGAGCCAAATTCTCCAGATTCGTCAGTCCTGGGGTTTTTGGTTGGTCTAGTGTTCAAAGCAATCGAATTTCAAGTCAATCTGATGATAAGCTTTGTCAAGTTTCCTCCATGGTTGCTCAAGTGGTGCTTTCTCATCGCTTTTGACCCCTTTAGCACAATGAAGCTTGGCAGACGCTTTTTAACGACAAGAGTTGGTGTGATGAGTGATATGATATTGGGAACCTTTAAGCTGAGTTGGTTAAAAGATCCCAAACGAATGCTGGACATTGCGTGCAAGTTTGGGTCTGGTGTGTTTTGGGCTGTTTATGTTGGCATCGTGTTGTTTGCCTTGTTGGCTTTGTCCCTTATGCTTGGTGGGTTTATGATAAACCGTGTAGCAGATAAACCATTTGTGGTCAAGGAGATCTTGAATTTCGATTACACCAAGAACAGTCCTGAAGCGTATGTGCCCATAACCTCGTGTGCTGGTGTTGCTTGTGATGGAAGCTGCAAAGAAAGTAACGAAATGTGGAAGATCAGGGGATTGCGAGCTATCCCTCGAGACCACAAGTTGGAGATCACTCTTTCAATGACGTTACCTGAGTCTGCCTACAATAAAAACCTCGGAATGTTTCAGGTATTGGCACAAGTTATATCTAACATTCTAAGCATTGTATTTACTATGGCTTGTAGTTATGTAGAAGATGTAGAACACAAATCATTATGCGTATTCACTACATAAGACTTATGCTTGCTCCTTCATTTTTGACATTTGGATCATGTGTTTGTTTGAAGATTCGGGTGGATTTCTTATCTGCGGATGGTCAAACGCTTGCTAGTATAAGGCGTCCTTGCATGTTAAGATTCAGAAGCGAGCCTATCCGTCTTGTTCAGACCTTCTTCAAGGTGGTTCCGTTGGTCACAGGATATGTCTCTGAGATCCAAACCTTGAGCTTGAAGCTGAAAGGCTTTGCAGAAAAGGACATTCCCACTGCTTGCTTAAAGATAATGATCGAACAGCGTGCGGAGTTTCGACCCGGTGCAGGTATTCCAGAGCTGTACGACGCATCCCTGTCGCTTGAATCAGATCTTCCTTTCTTCAAAAAAGTTATATGGAAATGGCGCAAAACTCTGTTCGTCTGGATCAGCATGAGTATGTTCATTACGGAATTGCTTTTCGCGTTGATTTGTTGCAGTCCTCTGATCATCCCAAGAACACGACGTAGAGACAGACCGCCTTCGAATCCGACCGGAAGTAGTTGATGGAGTCAATAGCCTGCTGTTATGTACATGATGTTTTGTAACACTCTGAAACGGTATTTTCACTTCCTGTTTACTTTAGCTCCTTAAAAGTTCTTTGATTTAATTGTAAAGTCATAGTCTACAAATCAAAGTTGACTCTTATATATGTGTTTAAATTTAAGATATGTTCTGTAAAATCGAGTGTGATGAGTAATAGAATGGCTACTTTCAGTCTCTCCGCAGAATCATTGTGTTGATACTGAATAGTATCTGTGTTGATAATCATTAGTATCATCAGGGGAGAGAAGAGATGTTCATTATATTTATAAAGATATTAAAATTACATTAAATAATAATTTGGATTTCAAAGTTTGTTAGTATAGTCTAATTATGAGAGGAGTCATTTACTTCAACTGTAACCCCATGAAATTATCAGAACCTCTATATTATTTCAAATAATATTTTTCCTTTAACTTTCTGTCTTCACATTTATGTTGCTGTCCATTGAGAGAACACATGCCTTTAATCACAACCTGAATAAACTAAATTGCTAAACTATACCAGTCATTATTCAAATATGTGTCAATTTCCAAAAACTCTTGTTTTTGCTAAAAATAACTCAGAGCCTCTAATCACAGACCTGAATAAACTAAACTATACCAAAACAGGTGCCTTTCAGTTCCAAACACAATGGAAGTTAAAACCATTCAAGCTTCATATACATATCATCATTTCTCCAGGTTTCCATCTGAGCCAGCTGCAGGAAAAAAGAAAAAAAAAAACTCCGACCGGAATCCTCCTCATTCTAAACTCTTGATTTCTTGAAAATGGCGTGCCATGGATTTCTCTTGAAACCGACCCCGAGATCATTTGGCCGTCATAAACATGGAAGGAGAAACAACCGGTATCAACATCACCGAACCAGATGTTCGGCTGCAGCCGTTACAGCAGCTGGCTCCATCTTCACATCCCTCAACATGTCCATCTTCACATTCCACATCCGCCTCTGGCGTTGCGTCTCCAGGTTTTTCCGTATAGCCACCACCACATCTAGCTCTACTCCTAGCCGTCGAGCCACCATGAAACAAGGCTACAAAAAGCTCAAGAATCACGAGAATCAGCCACACCGTAATGACATGAAAAGGACGATCGTTCTTGATCTCGATGAAACATTGGTGCACTCATCGATGGAGCCACCAGTCCGTGTCAACGTCGATTTCATGGTGAGGATAAAGATCGAAGGAGCGGTTATACCGATGTTTGTGGTGAAACGACCAGGAGTCGACGAGTTTCTTGAAAGGATAAGCAAGAACTATCGAGTTGCGGTTTTCACAGCAGGGTTGCCTGAATATGCTTCACAGGTTTTGGACAAACTTGACAAGAACCGTGTGATCTCACAGAGGCTGTATCGAGATTCATGCACAGAGATTAGTGGGAGATATGCGAAAGACTTGTCTCTGGTGGCGAGGACAGACCTCGGGAGTGTTTTGCTAGTTGACGATAACCCTTTCTCATACTCGTTGCAGCCTGATAATGGAGTTCACATTAAGCAATTTGTGGATGACATGGAAGATCAAGAACTGTTGAAGCTTGCGGAATTCTTCGATGGGTGTTATCAGTATGAAGACTTAAGGGATGCAGCAGCATCAGAACCTCTATCAAACGAACTGATTTGATGCACACACACATATATGATATATATACGGCTCTGTTTCATTTTTTTTTTCTTTCTTTTTTTGTTGATTTTCTTTGGGGAGGGATGAGAGTGAGACAGCCTAATGGTATTTTTGCGTTGAAGAAGGATGATTCCTTCCTTTTTCAGCGTTTTTGCCTACATTTGATTGGAAAGTGTGTTGTAAGTTGTAAAATGTAACCAAGAAAATTCGGTGGAAAAAGAATAAGTTTTGGGATACCAGAGACTATTTATAACAAGAAATGATATTCATATCTTTTTTGTAGACCAAATTTTACATATTACATCTTAGTTTAAAGAGATTGGTCTGATTCTGCATGGTATCAAGGAATAACTCCCCATAATTGAGTACAAGAAAATGAAATAATACTACAAAAAAAAGCTTTTAAACTTTAGAGATTCTAGTGAATAAAATTCAATGAAATCAAGAACAATGAACGAAGAATATGAAATATTATGAGAACGTAGTCTTACTAGTGCATTAACTGGTTTCAGTACTAAAGACTTTTGTGGATAAAGTTAAAAGAACACAAGAAAATGTCTCCGGTCAACTTTAACGCTGAGGCTATTCACTTTCTGTGCTTGAGTCCATGCTTGACCAAAAAAAAAAAAACTCATTGTAAAAATATATATTAATATGAAGAAATGTAAATCTTGGCTTTAGTCTTTTTGGACTTGACACTAAGAAGAATGGTTTCAATAAATGAAACCTAAACCATTATATTTTATAAAATTATAATAAGTGATTCATACTGAAAAAAGAAACCCTATTAAATTTCTGTTATTTTAAGAAATAATATTAAACCTGAAACAATTTAAGTTAGAAACAGATTCTAACAGGTTTTTGATTTAACTAGTTCACCAGGCAGAGCCATAGCTGTGAAGTAGCAACAGACCTAAACTGTAATCCCATTATAATAAACCTCTATAATCTCAACTAAATCAATAATGTATCTCTTGTTGGTTCATGTTGTATGTACATTGTTGTCCATTGAGTATATGAAACAGCAAAACTATGCTCTAGTTGTCCAAACTGAAATTTTCTACAATTAGGCATCTGCTCTACTTCACCTCTAAATTCCCATAAACAAACAAAACTAAAACAATTGTAACACTTCGATTCTAGATATGTTCTTATAAAAGTTAGCAGAAGATAGCTAGATTCAGAAAACATCTTACCATTACCAAGCTTGTTTTGTTCACCAAAACTTGTTGTCTTCATTTGGGGAATCAAGAAGCCGTGAGAAATCAATGGCATCTGAAAGAATCATCGAAAACAAACACCAAAAGAAAAATGACCCATTCATGTCTATCTTGACGTTCCATTGTCGCCTTCTGCGTTGTGTTTTAAGGTGCTTTAAGGACACAACCATCAGCTATCCAGCCACAAGACACGACTATACAAAACTCGAAGACCCTCAGAGAGAATATACCAACACGAAAAGGACAATCATCCTCGATCTTGATGAGACGCTGGTTCACTCGACGACGCAATTGCCTGGAGTTAGATACGATTTCATGGTGATGGTGAAAATGGAAAGTGAGATTATGCCAATCTTTGTGGTGACACGTCCCGGTGTGACTGAGTTCTTGGAAAGGCTTGGTGAGAGCTACAAAGTGGTAGTTTTCACAGCTGGTCTGGAAGATTATGCTTCACAGGTTTTGGACAAACTTGATAAGAACGGTGTGATCTCACAGCGGCTATACAGAGACTCATGCACGGAAGTAAATGGGAAATATGTAAAGGACTTATCTTTGGTAGTGGGGAAAGACCTTGGAAATGCTTTGATTGTTGATGACAATCCATCTTCTTACTCATTACAGCCAGAGAATGGTGTGCCTATAAAGGCATTTGTGGATGACCTGAAAGATCAAGAACTCCTGAAACTTGCGGGATTCCTCGAAAGCTGTTACGTGTACGAGGATATGAGGGATGCAGTACAGGATTTGCTGGCAAACTAGCTGATATTTATGTGCATATATTTCTATTTCCGGAAATGTTTTTCCTTTTTCCTGAGCGTTTTCTTTTTTCAATAGGTAATAGTTTTTTTTTTGCGTTGAAAATGGATGCTTTCTTCTTCAATGTTGCACAGATTCCTGAAAACAAAACCAAAAAGAGGACAAAAAAAGAAACTTTTGTACAAACAGATATTTATGCAATAAAAAAGGGTTTAGTTTTAGTAAGAAACTTCTCAACTGGCTTCTGTTATTGTCACTTTTAATATTGCAAATAGCACAGATTTTGTTTCTGAGTTCAAGCAACCAGGTTTATTAAGAAACAGTCATTACACTGGGAGACAAAACTTTAACTAGATCTTTGCTCAATATGGCTTTAGCTGCTCCTAACTTTCAAAACCGGCAGTGAAGCAAAGAACAATCCCAAAACAAAATGTAAAGGCTTTTAGAAAAAACAAGCCATAAACCTTGCTAACACAAACATGTCACTTGGAAAGAAGAGACATGTACTAAGTATCCAATTAGTGAACAACATGAATACTAAAAGGCAAACATATCAGACACAAGTCCAATTGAATCCACATCCACTGAGGGCTTAGCTGTTTCTTTGTGGTTCTGTTATCGTTTAAACATGGGTTTGAGTATTATTCTAATTTTGGAAACAATCAAGCCTTGAGTCTTCTACTCACTGAGAGATGAGAGAAGTAAACGTACTTGTTATACTCCTTCCACAATTGAAAAGAGCATAATCCGGATTGATGCATTACTATGTTAAAGAAGCATACAGTGTGATCGCAAATCCATTCGAGTTTGATAACAAAATTGATTAGCTCAAAATTAAGAAAGATCAGAAAAGAAACAATAAAGAAGCAACTTCCAATAGATATTCTTGATCAAGATCCAGTACAATTCACAACTTGTGATACTCAAAGCAATTGCAACAACACCAATAGACATCTCCCTCTCTCTGTATATATCCAACAAAGCTCCGCAAGAACTACTACAACCAATTTTTAGATCAAAACTGTTAATTTATAACTCACAGAGGAAGACTTGACCTGGAAGTCGCAAGGCTTCGGCTTTGCTAAAGCACAAGTCATCGAGAGCTTCACTACGACACCACCTGCATCTAGGGTAACCCGAACACTGAGATCTGGTCCGCATCTCGCAGCACTTAGGTTTCCTATTAGTCTTGTCCGAATTCGGATTTTTCCGGATCTCTAATAGCTCGCGATCCAAAACACGAACCTCAGATTCAGAAGACGAAAGCCATGGACATAGTAAGAATAGGAGGAAGATCACGAGTAGAAGAGTGAGAGACCGGAAGCTTGAGCTAGATTCCGCCATTGACACACCGAAGAAAAAGAAAAGCTCTGTTTTTTTCTTCGGTATTTTTGGAAAGTTTGTCTTTTTTTTTTCTTTGGTCCTCTGTAAAATAACTAGAGAAAAGCCGGAGACTGGCAAAGCAAGAATGCAAGATCTCAAAGGAACCTCATCGACTCGGCCTACAAAACTACACCTGTGAGAATATATTCACACCTCACACGTGTGGGGCGCAAGTTAGCGGTTACCAGAAACAAAGGCACAGTTGCTTTGATGAAGCATCTAGATAACTAGATCTTTCAATAACTTTGATTATTTATAGATATTCCTTAAATTCATATTTGGTGCATCATATGTCAATTTGGTATTATTTATAGATATTCCGTAAATTCATATTTGGTGCATCATATGTCAATTTGGTATAATACACAAATGAGGATTTGAATCTCTTTAGCATCATTCTCAACCAAGAGATCCTAAAATTATCAACACATGTCAATTTTGGTTCATTGCAGCAAAGAATTAAAATGGAAGGCCTTTGTTAATAATACGAGGCAAAGACTCATGCCAATGTCCAGTAGTAATCTGTAAACAAACTCAAAAATTTGATACTACAATATTTTTAGGTACATATTAATTGCCATTTTTATTGCAATAAAGGACATAACTAATTTAACTAGCTGGAAAAGGAAGACAAAGACCAGACATGTGAACAGAAAATACAGATGTGTTAAAATTTCTACGTGCCTTTAAACGAAGAAAGAGAGGAGTTTAATTACTGTTCCAACAACTTTTCACCAGGATTATTACTCTTCCATGCAAAATTTGGGAAAACTAATAATGACATTGGATTCGAATAAATGCCTTTTTAAAAAATTATATTATATAAATATATATATCAGATCTCTGTTTGCATCTACCACAAAATTTGACTTCTGGGACTTATATGAAAAGCTTATCTTTACAGTTCTCTTTAAGTGTCACTAGCTCCAAGATTCTAACCTGAACAAAAAAACCCAGAATTCTTGGCTTTTAAGACACCATTAAAGCCCAAGAATCAGGTTCTCAAATCTCAAAAAAAGAAAGAATAAAAAAAAGAGCCAAGAATAATCTCTGTGTGACGAAACCAAAAAAACTTCTGAGATTCAAGAACTTGGATCCGAAATTAGAAACTCTTGAGAACAAGAGGAAGTAGCTTACGGAAAATGGCGGGATTCACTATGAGCTTGAATCTGCTTCTACTAGTAGCAATGGTAGCTACAAACATCTTCTCTCTCTACCATCTCTCCTCCACCACCAATTTCTTCCAATCCACCGTCAAATCCTCACAGTCCTCTGTTCCCACTGTTCCCGACCACCTCCTCCGCCAGCTCCACACAATCCGCGCCGCCATTAACCACCTTACGAACCACCAGCCAGACAAATCCACTTCGATTGCTTCGTCCGTGACCTCACGCGCCACCGTCTCCTCCTCCCCACCGAAAGATCTCCTCCTCTACTCTAAGCTCTCGCCCATAGCCTCCGCTTGCCACGACTACCCTGACCTGCTCCACGAGTATATGAACTACACTCCTTTCTCTCTTTGCCCATCCGACACCGATCTCGTCGAGAAGCTCATCCTCCGCGGCTGCCACCCACTCCCTCGCCGTCGCTGCTTCTCCCGGACGCCGCGAAATCCGTCGGATTCCAAGCCTGAATCGAATGTTATCTGGTCTTACTACTCCTGCAAGACATTCGACTGTTTGGCCACTAAATTCCCCGATCTGGGTTTCGATCTCTCCCTCGAGAAATCCAAATCTCAGTTCTCTTCATACAAATCGGAGCTCGATCTCCCGATCTCGCAGCTACTCCAGATAGCCAAATCCGCAAACTCCGTCCTCCGGCTCGGAATCGACATCGGAGGTGGAACCGGTTCTTTCGCCGCGGCTATGAAGGCTCGCAATGTCACTGTGCTTACCACGACGATGAATTTCAACGCGCCCTACAGCGAGGCGGTGGCGTTGAGAGGGCTTGTGCCGCTTCACGTGCCTCTCCAGCAGCGGCTTCCCGTGTTTGACGGCGTGGTGGATTTGGTTCGGTGTGGACGAGCGGTGAACAGGTGGATTCCCGTGACGGTGATGGAGTTCTTCTTCTTCGATTTGGATCGGATTCTCCGAGGCGGTGGGTATCTCTGGTTGGATCGGTTCTTTAGCAAAAAAGTCGATCTTGAGAATGTGTATGCGCCGATGATCGGGAAACTGGGTTATAAGAAGGTGAAATGGGCGGTGGCGAACAAAATGGATTCGAAACATGGTGAAGTTTTCTTGACGGCTCTGCTTCAAAAACCTGTTGCAAGATGATGATGAATCTTTTTGAGGTAAATTGTTCAGCTTGTTCAAATGCTTCAACTTTGGAGAATATACGTAATCACAGATTCACAATCCATAAATGTGATATGAGTTTACCGTAGATGTATGCTTTGTTGCTTTGAACAGTCGCAACTTATGTTGGACTTGGTAGAGTTTTATGCGAAAAGTCTACGTTAATTCTTTATGAAGTTAGAACAAATAGTCTACGTTAATTTTTTATGAAGTTAGAACAAATCAATCAAAGGAATCATAGCTAGGTCAAATCGAAATATTGCTCTAGTTATATTGCCTTATAGGTACTGGCACTTGTTTCTGCAGTGTCTCGATGATAAGAGGAAGTTCTCTGTGACCGGTTTGTGTATTAGTGACGATAAACGAAACTGATCTTATCCATTTACTCTGTTTTAAGAAACATTGCTGGTTCTAGCTCAGTCGCAAGAAACTCGAACGTTGTGTCTTTGTTTCTGCTTTCGCATCTGATCCAAAGCTGTGGGTTGTATTGCAGGGCACTTTCCTCGAGTTTCAGATCGTGTATGTTTGTAGCAAATAGCTTACTGTTGTTGAAGATTTGGAAGACAAGATTCTTGGAACAATTCCAGAACACGAAGCTTTTTTCCAGCTGTAAGCACACAAGCAACAATGTGTTATTTCTGCAAAACAAGAAGTAGGGATTTAAGTCGAGACTTGATCTATTATTTATTGTTAGAGAGACCGATATATGGTGGTATACATACTTTCTGGTTCTTCTGCGTTGTTTCTGTCATGTCTTATATGCATTCATGTTATACGTAAGACAGCATTCTTTGTGGAAGGCAGATTGTAGTTGCAGATATAAGAATGGTTAAGAAGTTTCAGGATTGAGTTCCAGTTTTTGAAAGTTATTCATTCGATGGTGTTTTTATAATGCGAAATAGTACTTCTTCGTCATAATCTGTAGCCAAACCCACAATTTCGAACCTGAACCTGATTCCGAGCCTGAATTGCATACGTTATAAGTCTTTTGACTTTGTTCTGTTTCGCCTGTGAGCACTTTTGAGCTAGCAAATGCTCAATACAAATCCAAAACCAAAGGGTGTAGGATGCGATTTTGCCAGACTTTCTTTGTGGCTGAGAAAATGCGTCTCCATGAACAGTATTCATGCGCCTCATCCTATTGCACTCTCTATCCTAAAATATGGGCTAAATGTATCAATAAAGAAAGTTTACTGTCAAATATAAATGATATTTAGAATATGAGGACTAAAATGTAAAACTTAAGAAGGATAGTATGTGGTCGCGTCTCAGAAAGGTTAGCGACGGTGTTTAACTTGTAATCCGTTTTCTCCTGGATAAAGTCGTGTTTACCTCAAAGAGCTGAAATTGTAAGAATCGAAGTCTGTCTGCGCAATCGAGAGAAGGAACAAATCTCAACAATGGTGAGATTTTACGCTTACCGATTTTAATCCCACCCTCAATTTTTTGTTTAATTTTTTTTTATATATTTAATTCCTACGCGATCATACAAATTTCTAGGGATTTCACTTTATCCAAAATTCTTTCGTGATTGCGGCTATTTTTTTTTTTTTTTGTTACTCGCAAAATTCTTTTGGTGGAGAGTTCTTATGGAAAACAAGCAAAATTCCGAATTTTCGTTATTAACTTATTATGATCATCAGCTGATAGACATCTCGCCTCTGTTTGGTGTCTTGATTTTGATTTTCATTGTCTAGATCAAACGAAACTGGGTTAAGTTCAAAAGGTCTAAAATTTGAAGCTCGAAATTGTTTTAATTAATTTTGTTTTTCATCCCTGAATGATGATCATAGGATGAAAGAGTTCGAGAAATTCGTGGTTCTCATGGTGATTCTGATACTGATAACGTCGCAAGTCAAAGCATCGGGGAGACTAGAGAAGAAGATTCTGGGTTACGCGAAGGCTTTGTAGAAGAGAGCAAAAGACTCGAACCAGATCAACAAAAGCGCGGTAAATACTTCTTCTACGACACGCCGCTTTCTGAGGAAACGGGGGTTTGGATACCTGTCTCAGTCCCACCAATGTTAGAGCCTGATCATGACGAGTGGTCGAAAGGGCTTAGTTTCAATGGCGGTTACTTCCCCGAGGGAGATACGGGATGGAACCAGTTCGTTGACGAAGACAAGGAGCTAACGATGTGGGATGTGATAGTGGATATGTTACTCGCAGCACGTGGTAAAGCGAGTGCTCTTACCTCGGGGAACCTCGAGAGATGCGGCATTAACTTTATGTCTGGTCATTTTCTTGAGCAAGCTTGGCAAGATATGGCTCAGACTCTCAGCGAGGCCAACTTCGGTAACGCGAGAGAGATTCTTGAGACAGAGCCACCCAAGTGGCTGCCTGATAGCGCTTCCTCTGCGTGTATGCTCTGTAGTGTGAGGTTTCATCCCATAATGTGTTCGCGTCATCACTGTCGATACTGTGGAGGGTTGTTCTGTAGGGACTGTTCTAAAGGAAGGAGCTTGCTTCCGGTGAAGTTTCGCGTTTCGGATCCACAGAGGGTCTGTGACGTGTGTTGCGTGAGGTTGGAGTCTGTGCAGCCTTATTTGATGGACCAAGTGAGTCCTGCTGCTCAGCTGCCAACACATGACTTGACGGATCTTAGTACGTTGAGGTCTTGGGTGAATTTTCCTTGGGGACAATCAATGGAGTATGAGATTTATAAGGCAACAAACACTATCCGAGGTTATATATCCAATGTGAGATTTCTTTGGGTCCTTACTTCACTCTCAACGTCTTTGATTTGTGAAGTTATTAGCATTCTTCAATGTTTCATATTTGAAAATCTCTCGTCAGGTCGGATCTTCGAGAACTGAGAGGTCCATCCCAGATGCCATTCTAAGACAAGCGAAGGGTCTTGCGGTAATCACTGTCGCTAGAGTTGGAGTTATGGTTACATACAAAATCGGGACAGGACTCGTGGTTGCTCGTAGAGATGATGGCTCTTGGTCTCCACCTTCAGCCATCTCTTCGTTTGGTTTGGGATGGGGTGCTCAGGTAACGTAGCTCATTTTTTGTACTTCTTAGATATTGAAACAATGCTTTTGTCTATTTGCTAATCACTCAGATGCAGGCAGGAGGAGAGTTCATAGACTTTATTATAGTCCTAAGAACTCGTGATGCCATCCGAACGTTTGGGAGTAACACGCATCTTGTTGTTGGAGCTGGTTTAAGCGCTGCGGTTGGTGTGAGTGGACGAGCTGTTGAAGCAGATATCCGAGCAGGAAGTGGTGGTTATGCCGCTTGCTATACCTACAGCTGCAGCAAAGGTACCCATTTCATTCATGTGTCTCTAGCCGAAATAGTTTTTTACTAGATTGTTCTTTTGGTAAATGGTTCCTAGACTTCTTTCCTTCCATGTCTAAGACTCCTTTCTGATGTTGAAACTAAGCCTTTTAACCAATCTGTATAATCTCCTGTTTTGTTTTTGCTGCAAAAAACTTACTTAGCCGCCATTTAATGAACAGGTGCATTTGTTGGATGCTCGCTTGAAGGAAGCATCTTCACAACACGTACAAGTGAGAACTCACGGTTCTATGGGAGCCAGTCCCTAGCTGCGTCTGACATCCTCCTTGGCTCTTTGCCTAGACCACCCGCTGCTGCTCCTCTCTACCGTGCGCTTGGTGATCTCTTTCAGAAGATGGGGAGGTGAATCTAAACACAGTTGAAGGGTTATTTGTTATTTGTAATGGATGGAAAAGAGATTGACCTGGAAAATTTCTTGATGGTGTGCAGTGAAACTGTTCGGTCCCATACCACTTCTCCGTTGTCTGAAGACTGAACTCGTTGAACCGGTGGCTTTATCTCTTTGGAAGAATAACATAATGTTTGTATAGATTCATGAAAATTCTTGAATGTAAATAGGTTATGGAGGTTTGGATAGTTTGTGGCTTTGTGCCTTGGTGGTGTAAATAAACATACATATATCTAAATTTATTTATTTGTTCTGGAATAAAAGGTACTTGTTTCAAACCTAAAGCCACTGCCTTATTTGTGTTTTTTTTTTTGAGGTTGGTAACACCAGAAACAGCTTTACAAGAACTTTAGACGCAGAAGAAACATCAAAATCTCTCTAGCTCATTTTTTTCTCGAGTTAGCATAGATTTAAAGCTTGTTTGACATGGTTGACAGAGTTTGTAGACCAACACATCCCAGTTATGAGCTCAACATGCTAATTAATGGCGGACTCTGAGCCACAACTAGCTTGCAGAATTCATTTTTATGCCATTTCACTTCGCAACTTTCTTCTTCCGCAGAAGATCTTCCAGTTGGAGATCGTTGATCTTAGCAGCAAGAATGAAGTCGTTTTCCGTCAAGCCACCTGTTGCAAGAGAATCAGGTATTCAAAAAGATACATATCATGATGATTGTAGGACAAATTTATGATCAGGAATCTAAAAGATATTGAAAGATGTTTCAGGTTCAGGCATTTAATAAGATTCAAATCTTCATATCAGTAACACAGACCATCATGATTCTCACCTATTGCATGTGTCCATATCTCGATTTTTACATTATTCCAGCCGACTAGATGCAAATCCGGGTGATGACCTGCATCAAAATAGGTCCATGCTTCACACAAAACACTTAAACAGATCTTTCCTCGCGTTATCTTTTCGTTTAACCTCTTCTTTTTTCTGAGAATGGTCACATAGCATGCGATGCATCGCTGATGATATAAATATACCTTCTGATTCAGCAATATCAGCTACACGTTTGAAGAAATCTAGTCCTTTCGTAAAACTTTTCACAATCCACGACTGATGCAGCTTCAATGTACCATTGTCATTAGCCAAATCCCATCCAGCAACCTGTGTTAAAGGAATAACTGAGAAGTAAAACAGACAATAGACCTTATCTAGCAATAATAAGAAGTGCAAATATTATTATACCTTTTGAAGTAGGTCTTGAGCACTTTGTTCGGTCATGGGACGCAGATCCTTAGCGTTGCATGGCACACACTTTTTGGCTGATAAATCTAAGAAAATAGAGCAGAAACAATACCATATTAATGACCAAGATACAAGGTTTGGGACATTTTTGGTTACAAATCTTGAAGAATATAAGCATCAAGTCCATCTTTTTTAACCAATCGGGTAGAGAAACGAAACGACCATAACGAAAAATATGGAATTTACTGCAAGACAGCAGAAAACTACTTTAGCTAGTAGGGTCTGAAAACGATGAATACTGGTACTGGAACTAAATCTGGTGTAACTCTTGTCTTCCCACCGAATTACACATTAAAAGAAATGACGGTATATTGAAACTTTCCTTCTTGGCTCATCATCATCATCTTGCTACACAGAACCTAATCAATCGGAATTTCATATACACTCTTACAAACAAAAGTGCTAAACGAGTGAAGCATAGGCTACTATTCGTATCATGATTCAATTAAACAACGAAAACTTGATTTAAAATATCAAATGGTAGAGCAGCGGAATGACTGATTAATCGTACCTTCTAGGGAGCAGAATGTTCTAGCTCCAGAAGCAGAGCCAACAGTTGTGGATGATCTTACACTATCTTGTGACATCTCACTCGTCCAACGAACAATGCTGCAATGAAATTGCAAAAAAATAAAAAGTTTTATCTTTTTTACATTCAACAGAAACTTATCCTCTATTGAACTCTATCAAATGGATAATAACTTTAACTACACCAAAATACAGGAACTGATTGATTTGCATTTTTTTTTTAGAAATTGGAGTACAAAAGAAGCTCTAGGTATTAGCAAAACCAGGGAATTCGATTTCACTTTTTAAAAATTCATTCAAACACAACAACAAGAACAATCTGAACCACCGACACTTATAAAAAAAAACCCAGATTATAATCACAAGCCAAGTATCAAAATCCGTCCTTTGCCACTGTTCTTCACAAAAAAAAAACAAAATCTGGTAGTTGAGGATTAAAATCTATTTCAAATGATTACCTTCTGTGACGTCCGTACAGGTTTTGGAACAGTGATGCAGCTGGAACCTGAAAGTGTCTCAAAAAATGAGAGGTGACATGGAAGATACATAACAACGAAAATTCAGAAATACATGCATAAACACATAAACGAAGACAGAGAGATCATTTGGTTTACCTGTTTTCTAGAGATTGAGAAAAGTGTAGGCAGCAAGAGCCGACTCATCGGTGGCGCAGCGGTTGCGGAACAGAGAGACTTTGCGTGATAAATTTTATTTCAATGTTGGAAATGAGGGGCAAATATTAAAAAATTAGAAGTAGATGGTTAAATTTGTAATAACATTTGCTTATGTGGCTAATATGTAAAAGCTCCATTCTAATCTACCTTTCATTCTCGAATAAGTTTTGTAAATCAGTTTTTGGGCACACCAATTCCATGTTAACTTTTGAAATAAACATGTTTCCATATGTTGTTCTAAAGATTTCATGCCCAATGATGAAAAATTCATCCTTATACCATCTGGAAATTGTCTTTCTATCACAGTACCACAGTTTAAAATAGGCACCAAAAAGGTAATTAAACATAAGTTAATGAGTGAACTTATGAAAATCTAAAACATACGGGGCTAATATAGAAAAAGCGATGAAGCGCGTCTCTCAAAAGCTACTGTTTTTGGGTTTAAAGCATTCTCTTGTTGCCAACTCTCAGTGTTCGATTTGGAATCTACAGAAAAAGAGAAACTACTTCTATGGTGAGATTTTTGTTTCTTCTCGAAGTTGTTTCGATTTTCTTTCTTCCTTCCCCAACTTCGACTTCAAATCCTTAGGGAACTTTGAATTGTTTTAGGGTTAGTGCGCCCTTTCCCTTCGAGATTATGCCTAAGTTACTGATCACATTGAATTGATTTCGCAAGTCTTTGTTTCTGGAGTGTAATGTGAATTGAATGGTTTCTGAAGCATTTTTACTTTAGTCTCCGCAGCTTTTTAGTAGAGTTATCTACAATCCAGTGAGAAACTTATCGAAATCTATAATCTTTTATCAGTTGGATTTGTGTTTCTCCTTGTCTCAATAGAGTTCTTTCAATCATCGTTCATCTTTGGATTACAAAATTCTTTCTGATGAACATGCTACTTTCCAATTATAAATCCTGGGTCTTTGACTCTTTGCCAAAACCATGCTAAAGGTGCTTTGATTGCAGCCACATTGTTTCTAGAGAAACTCGTTCTTGCCCATAGTGTTTCGGAATCGACGCTATCTTGTGCAGTGATCTTGTGTCTTGCATGTAATTTTTAGTACTGGATGCGTCAAATTTTGCAGGTTTTTGTGTTAAATCAAGATTCAGGATTCGGCGAACTCAAGCAGTAGAGCAAGCTGGTGGATTTTGCTAGTGGTTGACCATGGGAGAAAACTGGGAGAACCATTCAGTATCTCAAGAGAGTAAATCCAAGAAGCTGGAGAGTAAAAACCATTCAGGCGTCCCCAAGAGTGATCTTTGGACTGATGGGCTTATCTGCGCCTTTGAGTTTATCCGTGGCGCAAAGAAGCATACTGATCCAAAGCATGTTTACTTGAAGCAAGACGATGGACAAACCAGAGTTACTTCCCCCGTGTTCAGTCATAACCCTTTCGTTGATTCCCCTGCACTCGACGTTACAAGGTCAAGGTCGGCGTCTTCTTTGGAATTTAAAGATGACCATCTGCTTCCAACAGTTCATGTTGAGAGGTATGAGGGAAGCCGTTGGGTACCTATTGGTTGGGCTAGAATATCTGAGCTGCTTCAGATGGTGCAAGTAAACGCGGAGTGGCCTAACTTGGAGTTGATGGATGAGGAAGAGGATGTCCCCGTTACGGATTTAGCTGCTCCGTATTGGGAACGACCTGGTGGCCCTACATGGTGGTGCCATGTGGCTGCTGGGCACTCTTCTGTTGAGGCATGGCTCAGAAGTGCTACGTGGTTGCATCCTGCGATTAGTCTTGCGTTGAGGGATGAAAGTAAGCTAATAAGTGAACGTATGAGACACCTTCTATACGAGGTATGAGCATTTTTTCCCACTTCAAATATATGCAACTTGAGATTCAGAATTCAGATAGATCATAGTCGTTTTGTGTATGATTAAAGATGTGTTGTAGTCTCTTAGCTTAGTGAACTTTTCATATAGTGTATTTTCTTGAGTGTTGTCTAACTTTTATTTTTTTGGTGTATGTATCTTAGGTTCCAGTGAGGGTTGCTGGAGGTTTACTGTTTGAGCTTTTAGGACAATCAGTTGGTGATCCACTAATCAGTGAGGATGATGTTCCTGTTGTGTTTCGAGCTTGGCAAGCTAAAAACTTCTTAGTAACTGTGATGCACGTAAAAGGAAATGTATCGACCACCAATGTCCTTGGCGTCACTGAAGTAGAGGTTCGTTTACAATCAGTGAAGATTATTTAAGTTTTAACTCAATATAACACAGACATCTATATATGGAAATTAACCTGCGTTCATTTGCCTTCTGCTTTTCCTTATAGGAGCTGCTTTACGCAGGAGGTTATAATGTACCAAGAACAGTTCATGAAGTCATATCACACTTGGCTTGCCGTCTTTCACGATGGGATGATAGGTGAACAACTGTTTTTTTCTGGTTTAGCTTTTCTCAAATGAAGGCTTGTCTAAGTTTTTACTGGACCAAAATGACTTGAGTTCTAGTAATTTTTTCTTGTCTTGTCTGGAAAGTATCTGACAGGATCTTTTTGTTGTCCTTGATTGATGATAGGCTATTCCGTAAATCCATATTCGGTGCTGCTGATGAAATCGAGCTGAAGTTTATGAACAGGTTCTTACATATAACATTTCCGTTTGTTTGGGATAATACACAATATTCATTATTTAATAACAGAGACGATCTTTTGTTGTTATCAGGAGAAACCATGAGGATGTAAATCTCTTCAGTATCATTCTCAACCAAGACATCAAAAAATTATCAAGACAGGTCATCTTCTTTTCATTGCAGTTACGCCTCCATTTGAAGTTACTAAATGGAAAATGACTGATCTCGTGTTTGAAAGGCCTTTGTTGATGTTATAATTGAGGCTTGATGTTTGCGCGAACCATAGTCATAAACACGAAGTCTTTCTCATGGCAGGTCATCCGAGTGAAGTGGTCACTACACGCGAGAGAGGAGATTATCTTTGAGCTTCTCCAGCATCTGAGGGGGAACCTAGCTCGACGTTTGTTGGAAGGTTTGAGGAAGAACACAAGGGAAATGCTAGAGGAACAAGAAGCAGTACGTGGACGTCTCTTCACGATACAAGATGTCATGCAAAGCAGTGTCCGTGCTTGGTTACAGGTTTTTTTAACTCCACGGTCCACCGAACAAAATTAACATCGTACTAGTAATAACTCTCCCATATGGATTCATTTGGCTGAAACTCAAAACTGTGGTTTCAGGACAAAAGCCTGAGAGTAAGCCATAACTTGGCCGTGTTTGGAGGATGTGGTCTTGTGCTAACCATAATAGTGGGACTGTTTGGTATCAACGTGGATGGTATCCCCGGTGCGCAGAACACGCCTTACGCGTTTGGTCTCTTCACTCTACTCATGGTTGTCATAGGAGCGGTTCTGATTGCAGTGGGTCTGATATACTTGGGGCTCAAAAAGCCCATCACAGAAGAACAGGTAGAAATTAGAAAGCTGGAGCTACAAGACGTGGTCAAGATATTTCAACACGAAGCAGAGACTCATGCGCAAGTCAGGAGAAACAACCTCTCTCCTACTGCTGGAGATGTGTTTGATGGTAACTATATAGTCCTCCAGTGAACAAACTCGAATCCAGATATATCATGTTTTGATGCTACTCCAACTACTAGTTTTACTTACACATCAGCAAGTGTCATCTTGTTGCATAAAAGTCATGTAACTTGAGAGAACAAAGCTCTTAAAAAGACGAGATCTTTCTAATGGCAAAGAAACACACTAATATGTTGAATTTCTATATGCCAACAACTTTTAGCGAAAGAATATTAATGTACTTAGATCTCTGTTTAGATAATCTAGTGCAAGAATTGACATCTGGGTGAAAAAATTATATTTATGTTGGAAGTGACTGTAAATGTTAGAAATCATAAATTTACGGCTAAATGTCTAAAACTTGAAAACATATGGGGGCGAATATATAAAAACAATGAAGCGCGTATTAAAAAAGCTAGCATTGGTTTTAAAGCAATTTTGCCTTTGGAGCTCTCTGTGTTTGGTTTTTGAGGTGTGTGGCGCGATATCGATTTGGCATCCAAAGGGAAAGAGAAGAAGAAGACTGCTCCGATGGTGAGATTTATTTCTCCCTTTTGGTTACGCTTGTTTCGATTCTCTATTGCTTCCCCCAGTTTTTACTATTATCTTTGGGGGACTCGAATTTTGTTAGGGTTTTGCGCACTTTCTCTGAGATTATGCTTAAGTTTCTGAGGTCACAATTAGTTGATTTCGCTCCTTGGTAACAATGGTTTTTCAATTCCTCCTTTCTGGACTTGAACGTGAATTGGAACTGGGTTCTGTTCTTAATCGAAACTGGGTTCCATTGAATGCGACTCAATCTCTTAGGAAACAGATTGAAAGTAAGACAGCTTAAATTTGTGAAATATATGATTGTTATATAGGATTTGAATCAGTAATGGTATCTGGGTGGATCTGATAGTTGTGATTCCCTGTTAAGTTCTTCATCCATATCTGTAAATTATTACAAGACATTTTCACTCATGCCCCGAGCTCTGTAAATTCCATATCGGTTTCTGTTGCTTTTGCACTGATCTTTGCTTGTTGATTTGTTTTATTTTTGTCAAATGATTATTTCCCTTTTTGGGGGTTCTTGAGTTGTAATACCGTTATAATAGCGTTAAGTCACTGCTTTCGCTTTGATCTAATTATGATGAAAGGTACACTAATCTCTCTATCTGGCTACTTTAATCGCACTTTTGGTATAGTATGAATTATATAGTAGGACAAATGGGTTTTGTTTGGTATGAATGAAAAATAGGGATCCCAGAAGTGACTCAGTCGATTGTTTTTGTTTTCCAGTTGAAAGATTAGTTTTCAGCAATCATGGCACTTAGCCAAATATACTTCTTCTTCAAAAGTTTAAAAATACTGCAATTTTATGTTTATAGGCTGATCCTGAACTAGAAGCTATTAGACAGAGGAGAATGCAAGAGCTCATGGCTCGACATGGCACGGTAATTTATAATTTCACTTCTGTTTGTTTTGTTTTTTTTTTCAACAACAACAAAAATTGCACTTTTGTGGCTCATTCTGCACCAACCTAATTAGCAGGGTAAGCAAGGCAATCAGCAGAATCCAGATCAAGAGGGAGCACAAGAAGATGCCAAAAGGTCTGTGTGTATTATTGGATTTCTTCTTTTCGAATTTGGACTTCTTTTTTTCAGCTAAATCTATTCTCTGATTGGAACATTCGTTTAGGGAAGCTGATGAACGTAGACAAATGATGCTTAGTCAGATATTGTCTTCCCAAGCCCGAGAGAGAAGTAAGTCCCATTTATAAATGCTTTGGAGTTCATCTAGTTTATCTTTCTTGTTTCTTCATGATGTCATCGATACGATGATGATCTTCCAAAGCTCGAGATAGACACAATATTTGTGTTATTTATGTATCTCTTTCTTCTTCTTTTTTTCTGTAGTTGCTCGAATTGCCCTGGTGAAACCTGAGAAAGCTAGAGGCGTAGAGGATGTTATACTGAGGGCTGCTCAAATGGGACAGATAGTTGAGAAGGTAAGAAATCACGTTTCCGTGCCATAGTTCATAATTATTTACATAATCATCTGGTATCTACTCAGCGAAGCTGATAGTACACGGATCTTACACATCTAAGAGTTATTGAAACGCTATCTGTTTTTTACAGGTTTCTGAGGAGCGGCTGATAACGTTGTTGGAACAGATAAACAGCCAAACTACCAAACAAACAAAAGTCACGGTACGGACACACAATCCTTGAGCACAAGCTATATAAGAAGCTATTTAAGCATAAGCCTTGCTCTTATCTTAAATCGTCAATATCATTTGAGTGTTAAGTTTATCTTGGATACGTTTACAGATCCAGAGGCGTCGTGGGGTGGACGACGATTAGGAAGAAGAAGATTATCCCCGTGCTTTGTAACATCTATGGAGATCTCACTGCTGAGTTGGTTACTTCGCTAAGATCTACTTCGATGTTTTGCTGTGAAATATGTTTAGTGTGAGTGAATCTTGATGATCTTCCAAATGCTTGGGATGAGACTAAAGTAATCTGAAACTGAAAACTCTGCATTTGATATTTTTGGTATTTCCTCTTTGAACCATCTCTATCTCCATCATTCCTCTCCTCGCATTGCCTTTTGTAATTTGAATATTATTAGAAAGAAAATTTATTCTGTTCTGATATCTAACCTCTCATAAGCTCATGATTTGCTCAAGTCATTTGCTTCTTTTCTGACTAATTTTGTTTGAATTCTGTTTGGTTATTAATCCATGCTCAGATCATCAATTTGGATGATTCTGAGAAATATTTAAACTTCTCTTAGTAATGTTTCATCCAGAACCAAAGATCAAATGAAATAACGGTAAGTAAAACTTTTATAAATTAATAATGTTGAAACTATCAAATTTTATTAATTTATAGAGTTATTAATTTAGTAATAAATTAATATTTTATTAATTTATAAAGATATTTTTTAGTTTGAATTTCTAATATTCATTAGAAAACAAAATCAATTTTTTTCAACAATGTAGAATTCATTCAAAAAATTATCATAATAATGAATTTAGAAGATAAATCAAACAAATTTTATAAACTTGAAACAACTATATTATCATAGTTTATTATATTATATTATTAATATATGTCTAAATATATAATTATTAATTTTTATTATTATCGGGACTATATTTTTACATAGAATTTTCAAAAAAAAATATTAACTTATTATTTTATTAAATTTTGTCAATTTTTATATTGACTAAACTTGAAACTAATAAAAATTATTAATTTATAATGATTATTAATTTATCGAGTATTAATTTATAAAGGTTTTACTGTAGTTAAAAGCAATCATTTGTCAAATAAGTGACGTCCTACTTCAACTGTATCATTCCTTATTTATATGATTGGAAGTATGATTTCTATTAATATACGGTATGTGTGAGAATCAGTCAGTTTTCAGACTTCTGTTTTGATAATAAACTATCATTATTACATATTTTCTTAGTAGGAGAACTTTTTTTTGTTTTTGATTTTGTAAGCAGGTCCACTTTACAAAGATAAAAAAAAAAGTCTAGAATCCATTTGAATAAAGTACCTATATATTCTTTTCTAGTTTTCTTACCAGTTTGTTAAACAAGTTTTTTTTTAAAAGGTTAAAAAAATAAGATAGATATGAAAAAAAAATACAAATGTTAATTTTGGTCCTAAAAAGAGTGAAGAAATTATAGTATAATTATTTCGCCTTGTTACTAAATGTATAAATGATCTTAGTTAGCTTTGACACTCACAGTTGTTAGCTGTTACTTCAAACAATGAAAGAGAAAAGGGACATTGTAACCAAGATGAAATTAAAATGTTTGTATTGGTCCTCAAAACAAAAGAAGAAATTATTATGTATCTTTCTTTATCAGCCTTACTATTTACCGAAAACGTAACGCTCTTTGTTCACTTTGACACTCAAAGTTGTTAGTTGTTAATTCAAAGAATCAACGAGAAAAGAGACAATGTGATGTATCCTCCTCTCAAAAAAGTTTCTTTTTAAAACAATATATATGCTTCGAGATCATGAATTGTTTAAAAGAAGATGTTGAATATCTTTTTCTTTTATCTTTTAACTTATATAACGAATTTAGCTTTGTTGCTTGTTGAACTATCTAAGAATGATGACATAATAAACTTTAATTCTGCTTGTATACATGTTCTTGTGCTTCATCTGTTTGTTAACAAGAACCCGAGTCAGATGACCAATTCACCCATATGTGACTATGTCTTATAGATTATTTACATACACAAACAAAACGACACTGGTCGATAATAGATCAGTCGCTATCATTCGAGAAACCATATGTCACTCGAGCGGACTATATGTATAATTATGACGCTGTTCAGTGATTTGAAAAAGAAAACAATTATTAAGCAAAGTGTGTTACGATCCGTACAATAATCCGTTTATTAAAGTATAAAAGCCAAGAAGTGTTCTTCTTTAGAAAATGTCATTAGTGGAGTGGATGTTGAACTTGCAATCTGAATACAGTTGAGGCTAAACGTTGACTTTTGACTTTTTGACGTTTGAATTTTCCAGTCTTGATATGCTTTTCGATTTCCTAATATTTCTTCTTTTTTTTCTTGTCGGGTAGTTTTGGCACTCTTCGCTGTATTCATCTCATATAGTAGAAATGAACGTCTTCCTTAAAAAAAAAACAAAAAAAAATTGAATGTATTTTTTGATGATGCGTATAGGTTTAGGTTTTTCAGATACATTTTTCGGGAAAAAAACTTTGTATTCTGTGTTTAATCTACATACATTTAAAGATGATAATGGTCTTTCTAAAAATGATTTCCAATTTTCAGATACGAAAGATCAAATCAAGAAAGAATAACAACAGCTGTTGCATTTTACGCTTAATTTATAAGTTATTTTGTAAGTATTATCAAGAATTTGGGAATGGTTAAATGACTAAGTATATTTTAAATTGATCTTATCTCAAATATTGCCATTTACCTTGTGCAATGGACACACCAAACACAATACCATGAAAATGACTTAATGCCGTCGAAGTATTCAAAAAGTTTTTTTCCCTCTCCATCTAGACAAACTAATATAAATTGAAAAAGAAAAACATTCATAACTTTAGTGTCACACTCAAGACTCAACTAAAAACTAGAATTGACAGGAGTGGTTCAATTTTAAAGTGATACTTTCATGTATTGTTTTGAGTTTTGACTATAGAGCTTTACATCTAATGGTGTGACAGTAAAAGTATTATTCACACTAGGTTACTATATACCAGTGCTCTAACACGAAACTAAAATATTTTTTAATTAATTTTTTGAATATACCTAATATTTTTGTATTGAAATATGTTTGTACAATTTTAATTAAGAATATATATAATAAAAAAAAATTAGCTCTGAAAAATTTGAGATAGATTTTCTATATCTTCTCATATTTATTTTGAATTTTTTTTATTCTATTCTCTATTCTATTTTTTGTCGTTTAAAATATTAAACAATTACAAAGAAAAACTTTTAACGGATAATTTATCTATTATACAAATATCTACAACAGATTTGCATGCCCATCACGAATAGCTGATTTACAGTATTATGGAAATTTTCCTTCTCTATTTGTCTCTAATAATCTGTAAAAATTTTGCATTTCCTGAGAATCGAAACCATACCTCCTAATATAGAAACATTAATGAATCGTTTAGTTAACCACTCGACTAAAAGAACTTTTACAATTCTTAATTTTGTTTAAAACATAAGATTTTCATTATGCTTTTACATGATAAACACCGATTTATGGTATTAAAAAAAAAAAGATTCATATAATCAATCCACCCAAATTTTTTTTTATAAAGTGACATAGGGCCTTGTTAGGTTATCAAAGACAAAACAAACAAATGGGAAAGAAGAGCGGTGACATGCACGACCTTACTGACCCAAACGGTCAAAGACGGTGCCATTTTCCTCCACGTCTCTTCTTGATCACTTTTTTTGTGTTGCATTTAGCCATTTAGCAACTTGATGCGAAGTTCAAACAATAAAAATGCAATCATATGATTAATTTAGGTATACACAATTACACAAATTACTCCAAATACTAAAACTCGGTTCATCCCTGACATTTTAATGTGTCGGGAAGTTAAAATAATACTTACAAATATATTTTGTCTCTTATTACCATCAACTTTTGTCATTTCTTGTATCATTATTACTAATATACTATATTTCTTCTTCTTTAACGTTTTTTGTATATTACTTTAAAAAAAAATACGTTATGATAAGATTATTTTTCTACGTTCCATCAGGATAAGTCTAGACACTTATCTTATTGAAGTAAATAATTAAATACTACTATATATATATTAAGCAAAGAAAGTGAAGTTATTGCTTTGGAGGATGTTGACTGTTCACAAAACAATTGGTCTTCATTGACTTTGAATCAACACCAATAATTAACGTAGCTCCAAAGTAAGGAGTATATCTACAACAACCCATATTTGAATAAAACAAAAAAAAAGAATTTAGTTAGTTTTATGGAGGTTATTAAAAAATGGGTTCTAGAGATAAGCAAAACAGAGACTTTGCTTAACCATTCAGTTGATTAGTGTATATGCGTATAAACTTGGTATAATTGGTTATGATTCGCTAAGAAAGCTTTCTCTTTGACGGGTGCAAAGATGTTGGAAGTAGATGTATAAGTCTACATTGCTTTATACCTTTGACCTATATTTTATCGTTTTTAATATTCCTTGGCAGGATCTACGTATTAAATAAACTTTTGAAATACCCAATCATATTGCATTCGCATAGACCCCAATTTTTGATATTGTCTAATCGATCGTTCTTAATGGACATTGACAGTTTAAATTTGTTATATATATGAACCATTTATTTGCTTGATACATAACATCCTGCGGTGATGATGATCACGTCTACTCAAAATAAGATGTACGTATGCTTTTCAAATTTCAACTGAGTTTTCTATTTTACTTATATGTTTAAATTGAAGACCATGCAGATTTTTTTTCTGAACAGATAGTTCATAGCACCAATCGTCATGTAAATTCAGTAACATAATTTAAGAACAAGACTATTCATCGTCCTCAACCAAAATGTATGTTTAGAAGTTAAAAACAAAATAAATATGTTTAGAAGTTAAAAACAAAATAAACTAACCAAAGCATTACTGTTAAAGTTCATTATAAAAGCATTAATCTTAGTACTGTAACTAATTATTTTAACCTTTCATGTACGACGTTGTGTGTGAAAGCTCAAAGTACTCTATCCAGTTTACAAAAAAAAAAAAAAGGATCGTATATCATAAAGTTATACAAATTCAATTTTCTGTTTGGCAAAGCATAGTGTGGTAGATAGGATTAGAGAGAAAAAAAAATTGTTAAATGTTTCCTTTATTGAAACCACTTATTGGTCAATAGCTCTCTAGCTAATTTTATTTGAAGTTGAAATTGTCAAACCTATCTTTTTCACATATATAAAGATATTTTAACAATATTATACCCATTAAAGTCTTCAATGATCATGACACTTTTAAAATTTCTAGTTTCTCCCTCTTGAATTATTTCAAAATCTATAGTTTGTATTTCACATTTTACAGAGAATATTATTTCAAATAACATATCATAATCGTTATTTCGGTTTTTGGTGAAAATATTTATTTGGTGTAAGAACGAGTACTAGTTGAATCCAGTGGAAAGTGCCTCTGCCAGTCCAATCCCTATGCTAATGTAAATAGTAACCATATTAGCCTATTACACTTGAATTTCTCTACTACAAGAATTACACTAAAGTAGATTTTGGACATGTAATTTATACACAAATCATTTAACAAATGTATATAAATGTGTACGATAATTGGTGGACGAAATCATTCTTAAAGCACCTTTTAGAAGTAGTTAAACCTAGTAACACTTTTCAAAAAATATCAGCAACAAGACATTTAAGAAACATATATGCATGGTGTCTTTAAAATAACAATTTGGTAAAAAGTTTAAGTAGCTAAAACATTGAATCACATAAAAGTAGAGATCATTAAGAATTTCAAAATTACACTGTATTAAGATGGAAATATTATCAATTTTCACTTGGTTTTAGACTACTGTAGCCCAGAATTAATATGTAGCTGTTCAAACACTATAATGTACTGGTTTAATTTTGTATATAGAAACGTTAGCCATTCTATTTATTATAACCAATTGGTTTTGATAAGATAATTCATAAATGTTTTACAAGCCAACATTATGAATGAAAACATTTTTATTTTTCCCAAAAGCTATCGCTTTAAAAGTATATTTAAATAAAATCTTCATTGAATATTCAAAACCAAAGACCATCGAAGCAAATAGAGTAAAGTTGAATGGACTTGTATTTATAAGACTTATCACCCAAAGTCCACATATAAACCTAACACTTAAGTTTGAAGAACCAACTCGTTTCCTCATCTTCTCCTTCTCTCCTCTTCTTTAATGGATGATTATTCTCAGCACAAGTCTTCAGAGGAAGTATCCTTCACTAACCTAACCGATTGCTTGCAAAGTTCATTAGTGATGGATTATAACTCATTAGAGAAGGTCTTCAAATTCTCTCCTAATAGTTCCCCTCTCCAACCGATTTCACCATCCAAAATGGGCCAAATAGTTAATTACCCTTACTTAAATCTCAATCCGAATTCTCCACTAGTCTCTTCTTCATCCAATGAAGCTGACCCTAAAGAAAACTTCGACGATAAGAGTGGCCAAATGGAGGATAAAGAAGGAGACCAACATGGTGTTGGTGAAAGCGCCAAGCAATTGTGAGTTTTTCTTCTTCTTTCATTTTCCTTTATCAAAATGTGAAAGATGAATTTATGAGTCCCAAAATTTATTTCAGAGTTCCTCGTTTTTTTATAGTCAAATTGTATTTGATAAAGGATTTTTTTTTTTTTGCCTCTTATATGTTCGGGTAACTAGATCTCCTGAACTAGTCGGTCTTGAGTCATAATGTGAATTTTACAGGAAATCAACAATCACTTTGACTACAATTACTAAAATTCTTAGTTGTTTAAACTTGAAACCCTAAAGATTAACATGCTGTGTTGATGAATATTGTTAGGAAAAAACAAGGTAAAGGGAAAGGAGAGAAGAAAGAAAGAGAAGCTAGGGTTGCCTTTATGACCAAAAGTGAGGTTGATCATCTTGAAGATGGTTATAGATGGAGAAAATATGGACAAAAGGCCGTCAAGAACAGCCCTTATCCAAGGTTCACTTCCTGATCACTACACTGCTCCAATTATATAATATTTGACTTGTCCATGTAAATAACTATATCATATAATATGTATGTAAGAGTTAAGTATGCGTTTTCAGGAGTTACTATAGGTGCACAACGCAGAAGTGTAACGTGAAGAAACGCGTAGAGAGATCGTTTCAAGATCCGTCGATCGTAATTACAACCTACGAAGGAAAACACAACCATCCGATCCCGTCGACGTTGAGAGGTCCCGTGGCTGCGGAACATCTTTTAGGCCAGCGTGGAAGCGGTCTCCTCCATAGCTTTCCACGTCACCATCAAGAGTTTCTCATGCTGAATCATCCTCCGGTCAATTATCAGTCGCTGGGATCTATATCGTACGAACACAGTCACAGTAACTCTAGTTATAATAATAGTAATCATCAACAAGTTGTTGACTATGGTCTTCTTCAAGACGTTGTTCCTTCAATGTTCACGAAGCACGGAACTTGAGAGTGAGTACTAGACTCTAGAGATCCGAATCTTTCTTTTGGTCATATGTGTATATATATAATATATTGCATTTATGAATACATTTAGATAAGTAGATATATTTATTATACATATATTTGGAACTTTGGTTCCTAAATGAGTTATGCCTTGTGAAGATCACTGTGTTTTACTCTTTTTGTTCTACAAATCTGGTATAGATACCTTTTTGAGAAAGTATAAAAACATCAAAACCTGCAGATCCAACAAACGATTTTTCACAGCAAAATTACTTGAGAAACATTTGTTTTTAATTTGTTGAGAAAAAAAAAAAAGAAACATTGGTTTTTAATTTGTCCATGATAATTGGAGGAGCCAGCTCTACTCGTCTGCAGCGGCGGAAGAGTGGTGAGGGAAGCTTGCCCAGACGTCTTGCCACGTCATCTTCCCCTCCGCGACTGAGCTCACCACAGAGGCTGCTTCCTTCAAGCTAACTCGGACTTGGTCTTTGCTGTCTCTTTCTCTGATCGTAACCGATGACTCTGAGTCCACTGTGATTGCAAATGGCACTCCAAGCTCATCGGTTCTCGCATATCTTTTCCCTATCGATGTACCTATTCACATACAGACACACACAAATCTTCACTCGGCTTTGCTCCATTTCGAAATTCCAAGAAACTTCGATTTTCAAAGTATGTTTTTTTACGTACCAGTGATGTCAATCTTATGTGAGATGCCAACAGAAGTGAGTTCTTTGGAAATGACTTTGGTTGCTTCCTCGAATTGCTGGTTCTGAACAAGCGGGAAGACCGTGCACTTGATGGGAGCTACAAGTGGAGGGAAACGGAACACGTTCAACTGCTCGTCCCCTGCTTTGCTTGGCCTTGTGCTGAAACAATGCTCGTACAGACAGTATATGATCCGACCAATCCCGAACGATGGTTCAATCACTGAAGGAGTGAAAACCCTCTGGTGCTCTTTCTTCTTCTCCTTTGAGATTGACACCATGTTCTTCTTGATGCTCACGTTTTTCCCGAGGGTACACACTTTGAATTCCACTTCCCCTTTGGATTCCAAGGTTGCTTTCATCTCCATGGCTTCTTGCTCATTCATTGCCTAACAAAACAATTACACAAAGTATGTTCCTTGTTATAAAGCATCACCGTGAGACAAAGAAGCTTTTCACTAAATTGATGGAAGTACTTCAGTCTACCTCCAAAGCTTCAACCACATTCTTCTGATTTCCCTTGAATGCAAGACCCAATTCTTTCTTCACTGGATTAATAACAAGTTTCTGAAAGTAAAGGGAACCATATTAACAACAGGTTTTAAAAAGCAGAGATGACAATGTTGTTGACTCAAATAATCAATACCTCAACTTCTTTAGGTTCCGCATACTTCTCTTCAGCTACAAGAGCAACGCCACTTTTTTCCTGCCGTACAACAATGTATCCACAATTTTACTTTAGTAAGTTTGAATAGCTGCCAAACGAAATAATGAAGAAGAAAGTAAAAGTTAAGTTTCATACTGAGTGAGCACGTAAGTCGTATGCAGACCTATCTGCAATCCCAACACATTCGATCCATCCATACGAACTCTCAATTTCGGCATCCCAACAATCTGCTGCATAGTGGGCCATTTCGTTTGCCAAATGCTGGCGGAAACGCAGCCGTTCCTTGTCTATGCCAAGGCGGGTAAGGAAAAGATACACTCTCCCAATGAAGTATCCGAGAGTTTCATTGTTCACAGTTCCCTATTCCAAAGCATTTTCAGTTCCACGCATCAATACAAAACTAAAAAAGAGGTGTTGTGCGCGAGTGCATAATATAATTAAGTAGCCGAATATGATTACAAATACTGACCTTGGAAACAGCTTGGCCAAGGCAAAGCTTTTTCGCAGATTGGCCAGACATCTGTTCCTCTCTTGGAAACATAAGGAATTCCAAATCTGCTACTTCAGAGAATTTAGGGTGTGACTTATTCTCAGGATCAACAAAATGCTCAATCTCCGCGAGCGTGAACTCACGGACTCTAAGAAGCCCTTGACGAGGAGAGATCTGCGAGTAACACGCTACTTATTGAGAGCCAGACATAATCAGGGGGAAAAACAAGAGCCCTTAAAGAAGAACGAGATAAACACACAATCCATATATCAAAGCAAAGCAGTAAGATATAGAAGGGTAATCACCTCATTTCTAAAGGCTTGACCAATTTGAGCTGCGGCAAATGGAAGTTTTCTGCCATTGTAGTAATACAAGTCCTTAAAGTTCACAAATATACCTTGTGCCGTCTCAGGGCGCATGTATCTGAAACAACAACGATATTCAATGAAAAAACTTACACTCTGGTTAAGAAAGAAACTGGCTTAGCCAAGATTACAGCATGAAAAAAAATACTGACCCTGGAATCAGACCAGACGGGCCAATGGATGTTTGAAACATCAAATTAAACGGGTAAGGATCAGAGAGTGGATTCTTCGTGTCTGGAGCAGTGATCCCATACTCTTTGATCTTGGCACCAAGTTCCTCAGGAGAATAATCTTCCATAACAGCAAGAACATCCTTAAATTCAGCAGCTTTCTCAGCTGAGATTGTGAGATCTTTCTCCAGCTTCTCCGTGCAATAATCCTTGAGCAAGTGATCCGCACGGAAACATGTTCCAGTCTTCTCATCCTTGACCATGAGATCAGTGAACTTATCCACATGGCCAGAAGCCTTGAGTACAACCTCTGGTGTCACACATGGACAATCAACCTCGAGCATGTTCTCCTCGAGGATGAAATGCTGGGAAAATAGGAAGAAATCAATCACATTCAAGAACAAAGCTAACACAAAAGCTCTATCCACTAAATTGCGAATCGAATTCTTACCTGACGCCAGAAGCTAAGAACATTGGATTTGACGGCGCAGCCAGGAGGGCCGTAATCGAAAAGCCCAGCTACACCACGGTAAATCTTGAAGGAAGGGATGTAGAACAGACGCCGCTCGAGGGTATTGACGACGGCTTGTCGGAAAACCTCACGGTTGAGTGATCCGTTCCCGGAGCCGCTGATGGTGGATTGGAGCTGCTTCTCGACGGAGGATTTCTCGAGCTTCAATTTGTTGAGGAGATCAATGGCGGCGTCGATATCCGGCTTCGCTGCACGGGAGGCCTTGAGAGCGCGTACGGCGTTACCCTGGGCTTCGACGGAGGAGGATTTCTCCGAGAGAGATTGACGGAGGGATTGTTCGGTAGCGTCCATTGGAATCTGGATCGGGGAGATGGGTTCGTGAGGGATCGAAATGGATTGGAATCGACGAAAACTGAGGATTTGTCTGCGAGGAAATACAAAGGCAGGGAGAATGCGCATTCGAAGTGTTTGGCTCCACTCACTGTAGCCTAGGGTTTAAGAGATAATAAGAAACCTTTGGATTGAATCAGAAGGTTCTGGTTTCTTTTGGGATTCTCTTTATAAAAAAAATTATCTTCATCATTAAAATTAAGAAATAGATGTGCTGAGTTAACCCCACAAAATCGTTCCATTAAGATGAAATCTAAACCCAATATAAAAAGCATTAAGTGTATAATCCATTGTTCTAAAATCCCAAAAGTCAACCCTCGTTTTCACATTGTCTTATATGTGCATCCACTACAATATTACATATTATTTGAGAAATAATATTATTGAAAATAGCTGATTTGTCAATACTACAGCCAAAATTGATACTTTTAATTGATGATATGTAAATATGACATGTCAAACTTTCTAAAATAAACAAAATGTTTTGATTGGTTGAATTAAAATAATAGAAATTGTAGAATTAAAACATAAATAAACTATATTATATTTATAACAAATTTAAATTAACAGAAAATAAAAGTTATTATAATTTCAATTTTTTACATATATTCATAATTTAATAAAATATAATTACGAATTTTTTTAACAATATATATATATATATTATAATTTCATATAAAACGAACAAATAATACTAAATGATTCAATAGAATAATAAAAATTCTATTTATTAATAATACTTGAAGTATGATATATTTTTATTTAGAGAAGTTATTAATTTACAAAATATATTAATAACATCTAAACAAGTTTTAAATAAACAAATTATTAAATAATACAATTTTAAATAAAATACAATTATGATAAAAAATAATTTAAACAATAAAATGTTAAAAATAATAAAAAATAATCAACTTTTATTGAATTTTTTTTTAAAAAACGTAATTTTAAATAATTTTTCTTTTCAAACCAATATTTACTAAATGAATAAAATATATATTAATTATTATTTTATAATATTAATAGGACTATATATTTTTCTATAACTTTTATCATCTTTTTATTGTTGTTTTCTAAAATGTACATAACTTATGTTACCATCTCATCTTATCTCTTATCATATTTTAAATAAGAATTAATTTTATATCATATGTATATATATACATAAATTTATTTTTCATTGTTTATCAAAATTTTGAGAACATAAATAAAATGAAAAATAACCGAGCGAAAGAATAAATTATAATAAGATGAAACTTATAATATGAATAAG